TTAGCAAATTAAACAAATATTATTGAACTCGGCTATCGTAGGCGCATTTATGAATGGGAAGTTGGTGGGCGTGTGACCGCGTTAAAAAAAATCTCAAGTGATCTAATGACCGCTTGAAGCCTTAAGAGTTAACCCCCTTTAATGTTGAACTGGAAATTTCGCTCGTGCTTCGCGGAGGCAATCATTTCCTTCTCTGCAAGAGTGGCTCATCGTTGTAAAGTGTAAGATATCAAATGGTGTTTTTTTTTTGTTGCATTTTTTTTAGCATTCATCAGAAATCGACCTCTTGTGAAATTTCTTGTAGGTTTATTTTTAAAGGTTTGGGAATTATGCGTGGAAACAAACTCAGGCAACTTTTCCCGATGGTCTTTTAATTTCTTTGAGTGGATTCCACTCTTTCTTATCGGCGCATTAAGTGGCTGTTACATTCATTCAATCTACTCCCCCGCCACAGACTGTGTTCGCAACCTTTCCATTGGACGTACTTCCATGCCCAAACACCTTATGGAGGTAATATAAACATTGCCCATTTAATACAAGACCTATTCGGGAATAAAAGATAATCCGAACAATTATCAGAAATAGCGCTAGTTATAGCTTGCTGAACTTAATGAATGTTCGACTTTGAAACTATAGGCAACTAAAAATGAGTACGATGATTACCTATTTCCTTACTTACTCATGCACTAACGTGAGTTGATTTCAGCCTTTCCTAAGGCGTTGGAGTTACTTTTTTTTAAAAACACTATAGGCCTATGGATATTACGTATTTATACGAATGGGATATTCCATTTATAATTCTAACTCACTATCTAGAATGAAACGACATGCATTTTTGCATGTCCTTCTTTGAAAGTCAAAAATTTTAAAGATATGTTGGATTAGAGTATTTTCTCATTCACTGGTTGGTTAGTAATTATGAAATGGGGGCCTAGCCTTAATAGTCTTCCTTGAAAGAAATTAAAACAAAAATGAAGTACGGCAGAGTTTTTTTATAATTATAATGACACGACCTTTTGCCCCTCTTCGTAAGTTTCTGTATGATGTCATATCTCTTCATCACACAAGCAAGATGTGAAAAAAAAACCAGCCCATTACATCATCACCTAAAGTTCTATGACAAATCGTCACAATTTAGGAGTGGGTCCTCATGCCACTTTCGATCTGTGCCGGTGAGATGGTGTTAAGCTGTCCCCCTCCACCAGCTTCTTTTCACACCCCCCCCCTTATGCTGGCTTGATTGACACGTGACACCGTGTAAGACATGTTGTGATGCAACGCTCTGACTGTAGCTAATGAATGACAAAGTGATTTGATTATGTAGTAGCATACGATTCACTATCTGACTCAAGCGTTCAACATATTAGGTTCGACTCAGGCACTGGTATAATCCCCTCTACACGCAACCATTGGCGTACTCCCCCCCCATACACGCAGGCACTGGCATACCCTCATACACGCAGGCACTGGCATACCCCCATACACGCAGGCACTGGCATACCCCCATACACGCAGGCACTGGCATACCCCTCTCTACTTGCAACCATTAGCATACTCCCCCTACCCCCCCCATACACTCAGGCACTGGCATACCCCCATACACGCAGGCACTGTATACCTCCCCTCTACACCCCTACAAGCTGGTACTGGCACAAACCCTCTCCTCGCAGGCATGAGCATACATCTTCTCCATGTAAAGATTGGTATAAAAAAAGTAAAGTTTCTCTTTCAAACCTGACGGTCTATGGGGCAAGTGAAGTAGAGTTCACTTGTTTCTGTGACCTCAGCATATGAAGAGATAGTGTGGTCAGCACTATGCCCAGCCGCCTTTACTTTCCCTAACGTTAGTTAGGTACCCATCAGAGAATGGTATAAACCCTCTCCTAAAGTCAGAACCTCCTCCCACCCCTCTCTTCCTTTTAGCGCATGACATCATTTATTGAGGACCCACAATCTTTATGAGTTTTTATCTTTTTCAAACATGAGTTTTTTTATTAAAGTTATTATACTGGCTAAACTGAACCCTGTTGTTACCCTCCCCAACCCACCCCTACCACCACCCTTTTGTCAGGGGTATCTAAGACTGTAGTACACCAGCATACCAGGATTATGGTACTTGATCTGATTGGGTCAGACGGGGTCAAGACCATTAGGATGGCAGTGATAACACTGGGGAGATGGGAACTGAATTGATTCACTATGGGAGGAGGGTAGGTAGGGGGTGGGGGTGGAGGTGGACATGAGAGAGATTGAGGGGAGAGGGAGTCCACAGACTTGATTTAACACAATCTTTAGATCTTGTTTCTCCTTATAAACATTATGTCAAAAAGGATTTCTCCACTGAAAGGGATGAATTCCCAAGAAATTGCACAAGCTTAATGCTTAAAGCCTCAATTTCAAAAGAATTACAAGATAAAAAAAAATGTGTGTGGAGTCTGATGTAGATTTTTAGAGTGATGTAATTATAGAAAGATTGATGTAATGTCTGGAGGTTCTAACTTTATTTCATCAGTTTGATCCAAGGTTTAAACTGCTGATCAGTCATGTATAAAAGATTATATTTTGAATTTCATTTTGTAGCTATCAATTCAAGTATTACAAAAGAGTTGATAAAGGATTTATATTCAGGACTGAAACTATGTGGTAGTTTAACATTACATGTCATGTAGAGCATTATTCTGTGCCATTACAAACCATATATTTGACCTAATCAGGGGTCAGCAGTCTATGATTTAACTTATAAGGAGCTTTAGCTTGTGTGCAGTATTTGCATTTTAACAGAGCAGTTTCCAAATGTATTGCCCCTGGTTAGATTTTCTTTTAAAAAATCCCAAAATCTCAGTCCTTCCCACCTTTTAAGATGAAAAATTAAGATGATTATCTGGGGGGATTTGACGAAGTTTGTTCCTAGTGGGTATTAAACTCTATAGACAGTAATCCGATGGATAACATAGTATAATGTTTTTTTTTGTTGAATAGGCCTACTTTTATTTTCCACAAATAACATCAACATGTGTGAATGTATGTCTGTAGAAACATATATACATATAGAGTATTTACAGCAAACCAATTTAACAAAAGTTGCATAAGATTTACATGCATAGGACATCCAATCATTTACAGAATGCTTCACAAAACAAAAATTCTGTGGTAGTTATCATCTATGTTTTTTTTTCTTAACCTCAGACATGCAATCTACAGCATTAGTTTGTTTTAGTATTACAGTTTTCATCATACAAATTTTTTTTTTTAACCTTTCGTTTTTTTCATTTTTGAAGTTCGAAATTATGTACAGAATTTGATGTTGATGTAAAGAAAGTTTCGCTTTTAAACCTGAAGGTCTATGGGGCAAGTAAAGTAGAGTTCACTTGTTTCTGTGACCTTTCAACACTATGGTCAGCTGCCTTTCTTTCTCTAATGTGAGTTAGGTACCCATCAGGGTTGGGTGGACTCAGGGACAATCTACTGACTTGAACCCGGATTCGAACTCGAGACTTTCGGGTCAGCAACCAGCTCTCTACCGCTAGACCAGGGGTCGGCAACCTGCGGCTCGCGAGCCGCATTGCGGCTCTTTTGATATCAAGATGCGGCTCTCCAGCTCCTTGAACAAATACTAATAATCTTAATAAAAAATAAAATATTTGAAATACAAAAAATGTTAGTGGCTCTTTAAAACCAGGGAAATTTTGAAAATTGTAACTTTTGGCTCTTCCGCTTCAACCTGCGCTAGACCACTCAGTCCCCTCATCATAAAAATTTGTTTAGTAAGATAAAGAAAAGCAAAAAACAATTTTAAAAATAAAACATCTATAATATCTACAAAATAATTGTATAATGAAGCTAATAGTTTTCTATTTAAACTAGAGTTTAATAATAATTATAAAATTTATAAAGATTAAAGATTGGAATGACACTCAGCAAAGATTTTTAATATTCATGATTTGCATAATAATAAACAATGATCTGCATTTTATTTGATTATTTTTTTAAAAATTCAAAATTTTTAATGTTTTTTGGGAGCAGAGTTATTAGTTCTCTCCCTTGGTTATTAAAAATATAACACTGGGAAGAAGCTTTAGTTGATATTCAATTCTTTGTTTGGAGACTACAATAACAATTTTAATTATTTTTAAAATTTTCCAATTCAGTAGATAGACTTTATCTATATCAAAGTTTATCAATGTATTTTGACATTATAGTAAAGTGGCTGTTAATGTTTTTAAAATGGACTAATAAATGTATTGCAATGTTGATCTTGTTTTGTATATGTTAATATATATATGAAAATCTTTTGGCGTCTCAGCCTCACAGTTAAGGAAATAACTGAGAAATGTTGCACCTTTTAAGTACAGTTTGAGGTTTATAGAAGGAAAAACAAACAATGAAAAATATAGAAATAGAGTTAAAAACAAAAATGCATGTTCAGGTTTTTTTCATCTGGACGACAGAAATTGTTATAAGTTACAGAACCTGTTATTTTCATTCTCCACTCGATAACTCACTGTTATTCATTTTTCAAACTGAATGGTTATCCCATTATTAATTTTAAAAAAAATTGTAATTGAGTAAGTAATTGTGATGTTTAGCATTTTGTTAAATAAGCTGGCAATGACAAACTAGCTCTATTCAAAATATTTAAGTAACCCAAAATAATCAATTTTTAGAAAGAAAGAAAGTTTAAAATAAATGGTATTAACTTGATAGTTACTTGACATCTTTTTAAATTCCCTGATAACTAAACACAAGAATTGGTTAGATCCCCTAACATCAACATATCTATTACCTCCCTTAACATCTACATATCTCCTCCACCACACACACAGAGCAACCTCAAAAAAAAAATAATTCACCATAGCTCAGGACAAGGTGTAAGAATGGAACCATAAATGAGAATGTGATGAGATGACACCATCACTTTTGTAGAAAAACATGGTGTACTACCAAGTGTAATTATTCCTGAATTTATATTTAATTGATGTGTTTCTGATCTCTCATTCCAGATGATTCCTCTGCTTTAGAAGGCTGCCCATCTCCAGATTCCTACGTCTGCCAGGAATCAGCAGACAGCAGGGAGAAAAAACGGCCATTGTGTGTGCCCAAACTTTGGCTGTGCGACGGGGACCAGGACTGTGAAAATGGGGATGATGAGTTTAACTGCAGTAAGTCAGATAGTAGTTGGCAGATAGTTTAGTGCTAGTCACTCCACTGTTTTTGTGTGGTCACTCCACTGTTTTTGTGTGGTCACTCCACTGTTTTTGTGTGGTCACTCCACTGTTTTTGTGTGGTCACTCCACTGTTTTTGTGTGGTCACTCCACTGTTTTTGTGTGGTCACTCCACTGTTTTTGTGTGGTCACTCCACTGTTTTTGTGTGGTCACTCCACTGTTTTTGTGTGGTCACTCCACTGTTTTTGTGACGGGGACCAGGACTGTGAAAATGGGGATGATGAGTTTAACTGCAGTAAGTCAGATCTAGTCCAAGTAGTTGGCTGTTAGTTTAGTGCTGGTCACTCCACTGTTTTTGTGTGGTCACTCCACTGTTTTTGTGTGGTCACTCCACTGTTTTTGTGTGGTCACTCCACTGTTTTTGTGTGGTCACTCCACTGTTTTTGTGTGGTCACTCCACTGTTTTTGTGACGGGGACCAGGACTGTGAAAATGGGGATGATGAGTTTAACTGCAGTAAGTCAGATCTAGCCCAAGTAGTTGGCTGTTGGTTTAGTGCTGGTCACTCCACTGTTTTTGTGTGGTCACTCCACTGTTTTTGTGTGGTCACTCCACTGTTTTTGTGATGAGGACCAGGACTGTGAAAATGGGGATGATGAGTTTAACTGCAGTAAGTCAGATCTAGCCCAAGTAGTTGGCTGTTGGTTTAGTGCTGGTCACTCCACTGTTTTTGTGTGGTCACTCCACTGTTTTTGTGTGGTCACTCCACTGTTTTTGTGTTGTCACTCCACTGTTTTTGTGTGGTCACTCCACTGTTTTTGTGTGGTCACTCCACTGTTTTTGTGTGGTCACTCCACTGTTTTTGTGATGAGGACCAGGACTGTGAAAATGGGGATGATGAGTTTAACTGCAGTAAGTCAGATCTAGTCCAAGTAGTTGGCTGTTAGTTTAGTGCTGGTCACTCCACTGTTTTTGTGTGGTCACTCCACTGTTTTAGTGATGAGGACCAGGACTGTGAAAATGGGGATGATGAGTTTAACTGCAGTAAGTCAGATCTTGTCCAAGTAGTTGGCTGTTGGTTTAGTGCTGGTCACTCCACTGTTTTTGTGTGGTCACTCCACTTTTTTTGTGTGGTCACTCCACTGTTTTTGTGACGGGGACCAGGACTGTGAAAATGGGGATGATGAGTTTAACTGCAGTAAGTCAGATCTAGTCCAAGTAGTTGGCTGTTAGTTTAGTGCTGGTCACTCCACTGTTTTTGTGCGGTCACTCCACTGTTTTTGTGTGGTCACTCCACTGTTTTTGTGTGGTCACTCCACTGTTTTTGTGTGGTCACTCCACTGTTTTTGTGTGGTCACTCCACTGTTTTTGTGACGGGGACCAGGACTGTGAAAATGGGGATGATGAGTTTAACTGCAGTAAGTCAGATCTAGCCCAAGTTGGTTTAATGCTGGTCACTCCACTGTTTTTGTGTGGTCACTCCACTGTTTTTGTGTGGTCACTCCACTGTTTTTGTGTGGTCACTCCACTGTTTTTCAGCCTGCTTTTCTGGATTCACTTCTATAGCCTTTGTCCATCCAAGAACAAATTTCAAAGCAGCAGTTGTTTGATTTTGGAGTTATCTCTCCAGCTATCAGGCCTCATCTGACGTTAGGTTCAAACTCTGGACTTTTCGGTTTAGCAACCATGAGCTTTACCGACCCGCCAACGCCGACCTCCATTTTTTTTATCAATAATGTAGAAATATTTTGTGACTGTGTATGTTGTGTTGTGATTTCCAACTGCTATGGCTCTGTCTACAGCAAATTCCCACTGTGCAAGCCACCATTTCCAATGCTCTGATGTGTCCCAAGTCAGATGTATTCCCCAGAGCTGGCAGTGCGATGGGGAGAATGACTGTGATCTCGGGGAGGACGAAGCCCCTGAAATATGTAAGTTCTAAGCTAGGAATAATATGATGGAATTAAAAGCTGTTCTTACCCATAGCAAAATTTCATCAGTAGTAAATTTTTATTGTATATTTATTTAATCAAATTAAATTATTTTAATTTGTGGATTTTATGTTGTTTGTTTTTTTCTTAGATCAGCTGATATATGTCTTTGAAAATGTTTAACTCTGTAAAAGAGTCAGACGAATACTAAAAGTTAAAACGGATAGGCAGATAATTTTTGAGTACAGCACTTTAATGGGGTTGTTACTACCTTAATGCATGTAACCTTTTTCTGTTAGAATAGTGAAATTTCTGTTTGTTGGACTAAACATCAGATACACGTGACCTCACCATCAGTTGAATTATATATTATGTCTTAAATGTTATATTTTTGTCTTATATAACTTATTGATTTTATTGGAAATTATTATACAATATATTTTAGGCTTTAACGATTTGAAATGCATTGTGGCCTTGACAGATAATTTAGACTCTGCGTTCATGTTTCTGTTTTTCTTTTTTGATGTCACTAATCAAACTCTTAGTAATTAATACATTGTTTTTTTATGCATTGTGCCGTCTGATTCGGAATATGAATATTGTGAATTACAAAAACTTGAACTTGAAGCGATCTTTGCATGACAGTCCGGCATTTTCTAGTGCACTGAAGTGAACTAATCTTGTGAATTTTTGCTCAGAAAACTTCATGCATCACTGGATTTAATCACTAACATTTTATGTTGGAGAGATATTTTTTTTTTTACATGTTTGATATTTTAAATCTCAATGTATATTATTCCATTTCAGTAGCCTTTCAATTATGAAGAGATTATACGCTGAAAATTTAAAATTAGTTTGGAAAAGTTAAGTTTTGTTTTATGATGACTTGAAGAATTCAGTGTTTTTATTATTATTTTTTCGTCTCATTGTACGGCTGCTCAGGTTTTCTGGATAACAGAATATTGACGGGTTTGATAGAAAAAATTTATCACGTTCTGTATATATTTATTTTTATAAACACAGCATAGCCTTTAAGCACATGTGTTCTGGGTTTTTAAAATTTTTTTTTATAATAAAGTTTTTTTTTGTAGTCTGGTTTTGTTTTGTTTTCCACATTTTTTTAAAAACGTGTATTAATGTATTAAATGCAGGTATTGGAGCTTTTGTTGTTATAGCTACATTGTTTTTCTTTACATTTCTGAACAGATTCTGCTTTTATGAAACTGGATGTTTTTGTTTTCTTTAAAACAAGAGTTCCAGTTTTAAAAATATTCCACCAAATTTTTATCTTTTTGCTTTCATTTTTTGTTTTGTTTTTCCCAGGTCGGAGGAAGTCGGAGAAAAGTAATTGTTCATACCCTGCTTGTATTCTTCTTTAGTCTTGTATCACTTATCATCCTATCATCCCGCATTCTTCTGGCTCTATCTATTCTACTGAAATAATCCCCTTGCATTCATTCCTTTTCATGAGGATTTTAAAAAATTTCAACCTGTTTTTTTGCCAAAACAAAGTTGAAATAATTAGTTTTTACTAGACGAGTTTAATTTTTTTTAAAAACCAAACAAAATTCTATTGTTGAAATATGTGTGGTTATTTTTGGCACGTTGGATTTTTAAAATCAATATTTGTTTTCTTTCTAAAACAAATCAGTGTTTGTTTTTTAGCTAAAACAAATTAATACTGAATGAATGCTGGAAGATTATTGCTGACTGCTATCATGTGTTCAGATTTTTTTTGTAAGAAATAAAACATTACAGTTACTTCACTCCACAGGCACTCATTCAATACTTGTCACAATGGCTACCATCAATCAAAGCTTTAAAAGTTTTTTTGTTGTTGGTTTTTGCAGCCAGTAAAGTGAGATTATATCTATTTATTTTTCATGCAAACTTTTTTCTTCATCCAATAAATCACATACATTTTTAAACAGAATTTTTTTATACTAATTCACAAAATCATTTTTTTTTTATCATTACTAACCTTATAATTGATTTTACCACAGTTTAAAATTTTAAAGTGTATAAAAAAAATCAATGTGTAACTTCCATTTAAAAAGAAATATTCAAAATCTTACATAGCCATATTGATTAGAGAACACGTTTTAATCAGCTGTGCTATTTTATTTTTTTCCAACAATTCAGAATAAATATTACAGTTAACTATTTTAAGTAATAATCCAAACAAATGCTTACTTGAAAAAAGAAACTCTGAAATTCTTACATTGATAAATTTCAAGCCATTGTTTACTCTGAATATTGTTAGGATCATTTATTGTTCCTGATGCTCATTCATGTTGTTCATTTTAAAAAGAATTACATGTGATGGTTTTCATAGAACTTGAATCACAGTAATTATTTACTGGTTGTTGTGTATAGCTGAAAGGGTATTAAATAAGATATTAGCTTGTTAAATTGGAATATAAAAATACTGATAAATAAAATTTATCAATAAACTGAATGAGCTTGGGATAGTTTTCAAACAATGGGGCCAGACTGATGATCAGTCATCTGGACATGGTGACCAGTCATCTGGACATGCTGACCAGTCATCTGGACATGGTGACCAGTCATCTGGACATGGTGCCCAGTCATCTGGACATGGTGACCAGTTATCTGGACATATTGACCAGTCATCTGGACATGGTGACCAGTCACCTGAATATTGGTGACAAGTCATCTGGACATGGTGACCAGTCACCTAGACATGGTGACCAATCACTTGGACATGATGACTGTTCATCTGGACATGACAACAGTTATTTCAACATGGGAAAAATGGTGATTTCTCACTAGATATAGTGACCATTATCTGGAGATGGTTAACTATCTGGACATGGTGACTAGTCATCTCACCATGGTGACTAGTCATCTCACCATGGTGACTAGTCATCTCACCATGGTGACTAGTCATCTGGACATGGTGACCATTCTCTCAGACCATTATCTGGACACGGTGACCAGGCACAACCAGATCCCTCCATTTGTTGTCTGACTTTTTGTTTTCACCCCCTATAATTTCCTTCACACATTCCTTCTTCTTTGCTGCCTAGGTCGGACAATGTCTAAAAAAGGAACTTGGTCCCGAGGTCTGTATCTCACACTGCCATCCAGCAATAATAACATCATCACATAATTTTTTTTATCTTTGTTGCTGTACCCTAATAATGTGCTTTGATTAGCTGATTTCACCCTCACAATTTTTTATCCTGCCCATGTATCCAAATGCAGGAATATCATAGCAACTATTTCCCTATGTAACTTTAGCTTTAATAACAAGATTTGTATAGTATATTCAAATTCTAAATCAGGCAGACCTGTGTAAATTATGATTTAGTACAAACACAAATAAAAAAAAACTAGATCAATTTATAATCCCTAAATTTCTCATATTAAAGTTAAGAAAATAGAATTGTAATGTTTTTAATGAACCCCCTCCCCTATATTAGTGACATTTTAAAATGCACAAATATAAATTGATAAATTGCATGACACATTTATTTTCATTGTCTAAACTAGTGCACATTAAAAATTTAATAAAATTAAGAAGCTATTCCTTTTAAATGATACATTATTAAGATAAGAAATATATACAAATGGTTCCAATTAATCTTTTATTCTATTTTTATTTTTGCTTAAAATTAACCCTTTAATGCCTAGATTAGTAATCTCTGCCATAATATTTTTGGTGAATAAACTTTATGTAAGATGAATTTGATACTATATCTCTATTATACTCATTAGCATAATTAGAATTTAGTTATTATTTTAAAGTAATTTTAGTTGTTATTTATCTGAAATAGGTAGTGAAATCTGAGCCGTTTTTGCTAGATTTATTTAGATTTTTTTTTCCCTTTCAATATTGTTTAAAAAGTTTCTTTAAAGCAAACAAACAAACATTAATATAAAATGCTTTTTTTTATATACTCATTTAATTTAATTTAATTAAAAAAAAATTCTTATAGAGTGTGTTTAAACTTAAATAAAAAGATTATAAACATTTCTTTACTTTATATGAACATATTCATCATCCATTCATAATAACACTGTTCCCCCAACCCCTTCTCAACTTTTCCACAATATCTCTTATCCCAACAATTTTTCTCTTATCAACCCACTACATCTTACTGAAATTTGATTAACACAATTTTGATTACCGGTTGATAGAAAATGAGGAAGCAGATTTTAAAATATAAATATATATATATATATATATTATATACATTTTTTGGAAATACATCAGTATATTCTGTTATAAAAATGCATTCATCAAACCAACACAATAAAATATTTTTTTTAAATGGATAAAGAGTTTAATACTGATTAGTTCTTTAGATGAGAGATAGGTAGTCTGTAATGTTGTAGCTGTGTGAGAATGGAGTTACTGTAGGTGTAGGTGGTGGTGGTGTAGTGGTGGATATTTGTTATGTCTTATGTTGATGTTTTCAAAACTGATAAATAATTTTGGAAAACGCCTACTCAGGAAAAAATTTCCTTATTTTATTAATTATTTACATATCTAGAATATTAGTATCTGTATACTTTTGATTTAAAAATATATTTAAAGAACGGTAAAAAAAAACCAACATATACTAATTTTGAGTTCATTTAATACAATTATTTTAAAGTATAATCTAAAAGTTTTTTTTTTAGTATTTATTTGTTTCTTTTAAAAGTTTGAGTCAAGTGCTTGCCTGTACCTAACCAGCTATTTAAAACTAACTAGGGCTTGTAAAAGCTTCTAAAGATTTCATTTTAATGGGATATCATTTTATTATTTAGACATCTTTTACAAGGAAGGTAACTCCAAAAAAACAGATTGCTTTAAATTTCATCTTGAATGAGCTCTTGTTAATGTTATGCATCCATCTTTCATTTGTCTTCTGTGTAATGTTTTGTTTGGGTCAAATTATAAAAAGATTATTTTTTGTTTTGTTATTGTTGTTTCTGGATTCCTGTAAGAATGAACAATGTCATGAATAAGCAGTTACTGGCAGTATCAAATTATGAAACTTTGTTTATTTAAAAAAAAAACTCTGCTAAAAAAATAGTGAACAAACCCTTCAGTAAACAGTGTTTTGTATTTGTAATAGTCTCAATAATTTGATTTGAATATTACCACCCCCCCCCTCTCCCCCACCCTTTCTACCCTCCCTACTATTGGTGAACAACTTGTTACCATGGTAACCATGATTATATTTTATGGAGCAGATGAATTCCCCATTTACCTTGAAGAGCATCGAAGATAACTTCATCATTCCTTTTATTAAAACTTTCCTTTAAAATTTAACCGTAGAATGCTTTAAATTGCATTGAACTTGTGTTAACATATAGATATGCATGAGCACATTAATGCATGCATATGCATAATTAAACTTAAGGCATGTGAGTTTATTAAATTTATAATTGACTTGATGATAACAGATTATGGAAATGGTCCCAGTATTTAATTACATGATAGTGGTAGATGTTTAATAACATACGCATACAAGGGAATGCATACACAGTAACATAATTATAACATATCTACTGATCTAATTGTGCATACTTGTTGGCTTGGGTTTGATGAGAATTTGGAATGTACAGTATGACCCCCTTAATTCTTTCAGCATGCCAAACTATATACTTAGAATTTTCTGCTTTTAAATATTTACCTTTCTTTAGATTTTATTCAATCTGTCATTACACAGTGAAGTAACTAATTCAAGGATAATATTTGTCAAGATTTAAAGGGGAGGATACTCTGGTTTTTATTAGCTTAAGCAAAGGGCAAATCTTTATTTACTAACTCAGCTGTTTTTTCTTCTTAAACTTATTGTTGAGGGTTTAGCGTTTTATATTTTAATGTTATAAAAATTTGATTTTGATTAATCACCACGCCTCTTTAACAAAAAAGGACAATCACTAAAATAAAATCAGACCTTTTTTCATCGTTCTGTTTATAAAAAAATGTGTCCCATTAAGAGTTTGCAAATAATAACCAAGAACAAGTAGGTTGTGCTCAAACAAACGGGTAAGGACATGGAAATGGTGTTTGATCTCTACACAGAGCAGGCTGTAAGAAAATTCAAATAATGATAAAATATTTGGCTTTGAATATCAGTTCTGTTACACTTCATGTAGTTGAGTGCAGTAACTAATTTTTTGCTTTTTTTTTGCTTTGGTTTTATGGGTTATATTAGTGTAAACTTATGATTATAAGTAAAATTTAAAAATAGACAATGACTAGATAATGTCTTTTCTGTAAGTTAATTTATCCTTATAAATAGAAAAAAATGTCAGTACTTCTAGTTGTTTTGCATGTGTTTGAACGTGTTAGTATGTGTGTATGCATGTGTATGTGTGTGAGGGTTGCGTGCATGTATGTTTTGTTGATGTTGTAAATGTTCATATGTATGTACTTGCTTGTTGATGTGTGTGTATTAGTGGTACAAATGTGGGAATGTGTTTATATGTACATATGTGAATGTTTGTCAGTGTGCATGTTCAGGTATGATATTGTTAGTTCCAAAAACATATGCTGTATTTTTAAAAAAATCTGGTGTTCAATTTTCAAAAAAATTAATTTATTCAAGCTAATCCATGGATTTCCTTCTTCTATAAGGTAACCTTGTGGACAACTTCAAGTGTCCCAACAAGTTCCGATGTCCGAAAACACAAACCTGTATCAGTGTAGAACAAGTGTGTGACGGTACAACAGACTGTGAGTCGTACGGGGCTGATGAGGGACCCCATTGTAGTAAGAAATGTTTTTAAATTTTTTTAGGTTCTTACAAAAGCTCAAGCAGTACAATAGAGTTATGGCAGTTAGGGTCAAGGTTGAAGCATGGGGAAATTTACAAACACAATAATAGGTACAAAAGCAAAAAATATTTTCGCGTTAAAATTCAGTGAAAAAGTCTGCCAAATATAGTTGAGATAAAGCACAGAACTGCACATTCAGAGCTTGTAAAAACCTTTTTTTTTTTTTAAAAAAGTTTAATAGTAAACGTCAAATTAAAAAAAATTGAAACATTTAGTGGATGGCCATTACTTACTGTAGATTAGATGTTTTGTACTCATTAGTAAAGGAGCAGATAACTTTAAATGTATAATTTGTTTACAGTAAATAGAGCATGCAGGGTAAAGAAATGTCCAGGAAATATGTGTAAAGAGACCTACCAAGGCCCAATGTGCTATTGTGAAGAGGGCAAAGAGTACAATAACTCTGCTTGTATTGGTAAAACATGAGATATCCTTTATAGTTATTTTAGTTAACCATTAAGGGATTCAAATAAAAGATAGGGTGGAAAAAATTGAAATGTTTAAACATATTAAAAATAAAAACAATAATAAAAACTAGTGATTTAAAACTGTAAGCCAAATTTTAAATAAATTCTATTATTAATAAACAATAGGATTTAATAATAATAATAAATTCTGACAAAAAATGTAAACAATTGTGTATTTCAACTTTTACATGCCAATGCTAGTAAACAAAACAAAAAATGAATTTTATATTAGTCTAATAGAAGTCTTGTCAAAACTTAATAATGCTTTATTTTAAATTCTCAGTTTTTTTTAAACACATTGTATCTGAAACAAAAACATTAATTTAAAAAAAATAATTTATGAATGAGATTAAAAAATAGGTTGCTCAAATTGCCAGATTTGAATGAGTGCAACTACCCTGGATTCTGTGATCAAATGTGTGTCAATTTTGACAAGGGATATAACTGCTCATGTAAAGCAGGATATCAGCTTGTTGGAAAGGGGAGTTGTAAAATTAGTGGTGAGTTTTTGTTGTTGTTCTTTTTACAGCAACATTTTTATACTGCTATAATCAATGTTTTAATGAGTTAAAAAGGTTTAATAATATTTGAGCTCTATCGTCTAAGCTCACAGTCCTATTTTTTTTTTTCTGACAGATGTCCCTTGTATTCTTGTTTTATTAATTTTATGATATAATAGTCACTACAATACTATAAGGTGAAAGAATAGACAAACAATTCCATTTTGCAGCTATTACTTCTAAATTGAAGTACTTTATTGTCTTACTGTTACACATTGTGTTTTTGTTTTTGTGTTTTTGTTTAGATAAAGCCCCTGCACCTGTGCTTGTGGTGGCTGGGTTCAGAAATATCACGCTGTTCCAGATCCCTTCTAATGATGACAGGCCATTCACTGTTGTACCATTTAATGGACCGGGTTATTCTATAACAGCAATGGATGTTGATGTTAAAAATAATTCTGTTTGCTGGGTAAAAAAAATATTTTCTTTTGCTTTTTTATTTTTAACAATTTTAAAAGTTATTTGAACATTTTTTTTAATGGAACATACACCAAGACCACAGTTTTTACTTTTTAAAAATTATTTAGATAGTATTACTACACCATTTATGTTGATTTTAACCCTTATTGCTACTATCATTTGTAATACTAACAACACATGAAGTAATTTAATATTTTTGTGTTGTTTTACAGGTAACACATTCTGAAGATTTAGTCCAATCCAAGTTTGTCTGTGCTAGGGTAGATAACTCTGCAGTAACATGGGAGATAAAAACTCAATACGCTCTAAAAAGTAAGTCTAGTAGTACAACATTTTTATGAAATACAATATAGTTTACTACATGTTAATAGTGTAAAATATGCTAATATATTTACTTTTTTTCTGTGAGCAAAATAAATTTCAACTACCATTCAACAATATGATCATGTTTGTTCCTACCAGATGTGAAGTCTGTGGCCAAAGACTGGATCTCTGGTAACTGGTATTTTTCTGATGAGTTTAAGGAGGTGATTTTTTTCTGCACCAGTGATGGAAGCTACTGCCAGAATATTCTCTCTATGGGGATCAAGCGACCTAAGCGTATAGCTGTGGACTCGACTAAAGGGTAAGAAATAAGCATTAAAATACGTTTTAATATTTGAGACTAAAATATATAATATTTATTCATTTGGACTATACTAAAGGGTACAAATAAAATAAGTTTTTATATTAAAAACTAATAAAAAAATAATACTTCATTTGGACTCAATTAAGGTTACAAATAAGCTTTAAAATAAGTTTTGATATTAAAACTAATAAAAAATAATTCCAATATGTTTGCGACTTATTTTTAAAATGTAATTTCATGGTGACTCTACTAAAGGGTAACAAAAAAAGCTTTAAAAATAAATTTAGATATTAAAGACTAATTTAAAAAATATAATTTCTTGGAATTATTCGGAAATTATTAATGAGCTGTATTGATTCAATGAACTTTATAAATAAAAAAATATTTATATCATATTTTAAAGAAGTTCTTCCGTCTTAAAAATACTATGATCACATTACATTAATCAGTGCATCTTTTAAAATTATATATTCTTGTAGATAAAAAAAAAATGTGTATATATATTATTATGTATTTATTTGTATATTTAGACCTTTTGAGTTATCTCTGATAATTTTTTTTATCTACTTCAGATTTCTTTTCTACTGTGATTGGTCATCTGATGCGATAGCTCCGATTGGCCGATTAGACTTGGATGGAAGCAATCACATGAAACTAGCCAGCATTAAAATTGCACATCCTAATGGCTTAACACTAGACCTTGCAAACTCTCATGTGTACTGGGGGGATTCTTATCTAGACGTCCTAGAGAGGATGGATTACAATGGACGCAACAGGATGGTCATTGCCAAGGGTCGAGATGTATGTAGCATTATCTCAGTAACACTAATAGTAGAATTGTTTTAGAAGCACTCAATTGAAAAATAAATTTAAAATTAACATCTTGATTTTTTTTTTAATGCTACTTTATCATTTACAGCAACACCAATGTAATACTAACTTTAACTCAACACCAATATTTTAGATTTGTCGTGTTAAATCAAAACACATAAAGAGATTTTGTGTGACTGTTAACACACACAGCAAACATTTCTTCTTAATTGTACCCATATTAGATGAAAAGTCAGTAGGAAATAGAGTTTATTTTTATATGGCCATTATTATACAGGAGCTGTTTGAGCAATACATTGCCCAAGTCAGGTGCTCACTAGATATTTATAAAATTAAGGGAAGCTTATCCAGATTACTTGACCTGACAACCAACCCTGAGACTCAGTATAGACCTAACACAATTTACTGCTTGACCACTCCATACATCCATAGCTGCATAGGATTTATTATTTTAATTATTTTCTGCTTTACATTTATTTAGTGCTAAGTATGCAACAGTTAAAATGTTAAAAATGTCATAGCTACTCTAAATTTATTATGATGATTATTCACCACTTTAAAAATGTTTTGTGCAGACATTTAATGTCTTTGGGATGACCATTCTGGAGAACTACCTTTACGTGGCGGATGACATAAGCAACAAAGTCATCCGCATCCACCGCTTCCACAGTGACTTCCCACACAAGGATGTCATCAGTGACAATGTCAAGCCCTCAGCCATGAAGCTTCTCCACTCAGTCATGCAGCCCATTGACAGTAAGCTTGTTTTTTAAAGTTAAATTGGCTTTTTTATAGAGACAGATACAGTATCTGTCTAGTTTTTTTCTGACTGTATTACAAAGTTAGGGTTATGGTGAGGGTTTTATTGCTGATGCTAGCAAAAAGCATCAAAAATAACTAAATATTACTATTATAATACATCAGTAGGTGACAGCTGTGGCTGTAGGTTTTATAGATAATTTACTTGCAATACATGTTTGTTTAATCGGCTATACCTTTATAAATAAATTTACTTGCAATTCATGTTAGTTTAATCGGCTATACATTTATAAATAAATTTACTTGCAACTCATGTTCGTGTAATCAGGTATACATTTATAAATGTAAAGTTCCCTTTTTCGAACTGACAGTCTTTGGGCAAGTGAAGTAGAGTTCACCTGTTTCTGTGACCTCCGCATATGAAAGTATAGTGTGGTCAGCATTATACTCAACTGCCTCAACTTTCCCTAGCCAGCTATATTAGTTAGAAAATTGTTATTGAATTCTTTTATAATACAGGTATAGTCTAAAGGTATATACTAATAAAATATAATTTATGTTAAGGAAATTTTTAAAAACAAACCTGATTTAAACATACGTATGTCTCTTACCATTACAGGTGATACAGATGTGTGTACCCAAGCTGGCTGTGAACAAATTTGTATTCCTATCCCTAATAGAGCGACAAACATGGTTAAGGCATCATGCATTTGCAAGGCTGGGTATACATTAGTAGACCAAAAGAAATGTGAAAGTAGGTTTTTCTTATTTTTGAAAGAAATTTAAGTTTTTCTTTAAAAATTTTGAAAAAAAGTTTTCCTTCAAAAGACCAAGACAAAAGTAATTTTAAATTTGAAAGTTTCCCTATAAAAGATTTGGCAATAGTGGTATAATTTAAACTGATACTTAAACTCATAGAATTTATTCTTGTGTGTTAATGTGGTTTTTATTTAACATTCAAAGACTAAACATGCACATTCTTATTCAACATGATTTAGCACTGCATAGACTTAAATAATTATTTCATTGGAAACATTTTGGTTCTTTAAAGTCTCATTTCATTTTTTTTATTCTTCAGAGAGAACTACAAAGAAATTTTTTATCCTGACAAACGGTCAGCAAGGAATGATACACTTTGTCTCAACTGAGTTGAATGAAGCTGATCTTGAAATTTACCCTCCCATTGCCAATTTGGGCCGACCCAAATCTGTGGATTTTGACTCAGTGGAGGGTTACATCTACTTCTATGATAATGTGCTGCACTCCCTCAGGCGTAGGAAGTTTGATGCTGATACAGAATCTGAAGTTTTTGTTGAGCAAGGTCTAAAAATTTGTATCATTTAAAACATTTTTTTTTTATTTAGTGAACAAATTTGTGCAAAAACAATGTGATACGTCGCACACCATGTGCTTCTGATGGCCAGGCATTTTAAAATTCTACTATCACATAAAGTTCACTCTAAACATAAACTATCCTAAAATGCTATCTGTTAAAAACTGCTAACTATATGTTTAATTTAAAAAACAAACACTTTTGTTTATTGTTAGGTGCGACAAAATTAAAAAAATCAATACTATTTTGTTAATTTAGAATTTTTAGAATAATTTTAAAATATTTTTATGTTATTGTTAAATGTATCTCGAACTCATATACTAATTTGAACTTTGCAGTAGTTAGATGTTTTTAACACGTTTTTCTTAACTCAGCTTCGCGTTTGTTTGTTTGTTTGTTTGTTTGTTGTTAAAATTGACATCGAAAATTAACCCACTTCTGATTGCTCTATAGATCTGAAATTTGGCATGCAGGTTACTTTCGCCTAACAATTTCAGATGCAATCATAAAAACTAGCAATTATAGACCGTAATTAGCTTAATTTAATTACGCTCTAAGGACCATAAAATTGAGGACACGATTTCTAAAGATACCGACAAGACTGAAAACCTATTGACACAGTTACTTCGGCCCCAATCGATGTGAGCGCGCTGGCCGTGATCGTATAGTGGTTAGTACTTCGCGTTGTGGCCGCAACAACCCAGGTTCGAATCCTGGTCGCTCAAAATTTTTAGTCCGTGTATTTATAAACACTTAGTCAAGTCATACTTAATCAAGTCATTGGATAAAGTAGAAAATAAACTATATAAAAAACTTTTTTTAAAAACCACGTTTTTCATGTGTAGCAACGGACTAAAAAGGAGAAAATAAAATTACTTCAAAAAAAACTTTTTAAAAAACCACGTTTTTCTTGTGGACTAAAAAGTAGAAAATAACTATTTACATACATTTGATGACAAAAAACGTGGGTCGGGCAGATGGGTCGGGAAATTTGATGGTGAACGTACCCACGTTTTTTGTCATCAAATGTATGTAAATAGTTATTTTCTACTTTTTAGTCCACAAGAAAAACGTGGTTTTTTAAAAAGTTTTTTTTGAAGTAATTTTATCTTGTGTCTGTTCAGTAACCTTTCTAACTATTCTAACAATACCCTTAAAATAAATTTTCTATTGTCTTAACATGATCCTTAACATAAATCATCTATTGTCTTAACATTATCATTAACATAAATCTTGTATTCTTAACATTATCCTTAACAATAATCTTCTATTATCTTATCATTATCCTTAACATAAATCTTCTATTGTCTTAACATAAATCTTCTATCCTTAGCACTATCCTTAACATAAATTTTCTCTTGTCATCTGTAACACAGCACTTGCTGTAACTTTTCTTCTGTCACCCAGGTGTGAACTGTGATGGTCTAGCTGTGGACTGGCTGGGCAGGAATGTTTATTGTGCTGACACAGGCAGGAACAAAATCTTGGCCATCAGCATCAAGAACAGCAGTTACATGTACACCCTCTTGGACTCAGAGAAAGCCAAATCTTTGATCAACCCAAAAGCACTGGCCATTGACCACAGAAAAGGGTAAATTGCTTTTGTGATTGATGTCATTGATTTTTATTTGTTGATTAAAACAATGTAATAGAAAATTATATATTTATCATAGCTGTAAAGTTAAATTTTTTAATATAAAATATAATTATAAATATTGGTTAAAACAGAAAAAAATAGCATTAAAATGGTAATACTGAGAAAAAACAACTGAATAAAATAGCTTTTGTAAATAAGTAAGTATGATCTGATCCTAGGGTTCCCTGTACCAGTGTCAATTAATCAACTGGGAAACTTGAAAATGAAGCTCTTTAAATAGTTTACACCCAGTAGTATGATACAGGCTAGATACAATCAAATGTATTGTGTACTGCCATGATTACATAAGGGAAATAATTCAATTCAGTGATTATTAAATTTTAAAAAATGCATTTCCTTATCATTTATTTACTTTGCTTTGGATCTTGATAAAAAAAACCCGAGTTGGATGTTACAATATTGTACCAAGTTTTAATTTTCCTATATTTGACTAATTGACAATATGAGGAATATATTTATTTTTCCTCTATATTACAGAACCCTGTATTGGACTGACTGGGTGATCTCCCCTGGCGTAGGAAATCCTAGCATCAACTCTGTCAGCATGGATGGCAGCCAGTTGAACAAAATAGAGTCCAAGGGAATCCAGTGGCCTAATGGCCTAGTTCTTGATGCTGCAAAAGACACCTTATACTGGACAGAGGCTTTCTATGACAGGATTGAGTCTATGTCCACAACAGGTGAAAGAAGAAAGGTGAATCTTTTTTTTTTATCCTGTGAAAAATCAGGTGTACCAAATAAATATTTTAGTAGATAAATGAATTTCTAAGGTATCCTAAATATTTGTTTTAAAAGAAGTAGCAATGAAATAGTAAAAAAGAATTACTTGCCAAGTAGGCCTTGTTTTTTTGTTTATTAGCCTAACTAGGCAATACTTGTGCTCATGAATTGTAGAATCTTACAAAGTCATGGTTTTTTTAACAAATATTAAATTATATTGATATTTAATGGTGACTACTATTTTAATGTTTTCCTAAATAAGAAAAATTTACATAAATAGTCACTATGATTTGTACTTATTCCTTATTACTAAGAATGTGTAAAAATAGTAGTCATCATTCACGATTACTTTACTTAAATTTTTTTTAATAAACTGATGACTGCATAAGATAACTAGTTTTCATTCTTAAATTATAAATCTTTCTCTTATTGTCTATTACTAATATCAGACTGAAGTCAACTTCACCAGCAACCTGCACCCGTATGGGCTGACCAAACTGGACAACAGGCTACTGTGGGCTGAGTCAATGGACGGGAGTCTGATGCAGCTAAATCTTAGCACAAGCAAGGCAGTCTTCTATCGCAATGGTAGTGCCCCTGTGTTTGATGTCAAGCTGTATGATGATGAATTACAACCTAGAGGTAAGAAACAAAAGTCTTCTATCGCAATGGTAGTGCCCCTGTGTTTGACGTCAAGCTGTATGATGATGAGCTACAACCTAGAGGTAAGAAAGAAACAAAAGTCTTCTATAGCAATGGTAGTGCTGTGGTGTTTGACGTCAAGCTGTATGATGATGAATTACAACCCAATAATCTCAACTTAGGTTAGGATATTTTAAGTCCTAAGGAAGACACTTAGTCAACCCATATTTAATTGTTACCTGACTCCAGTTGGGGAAAGTAAATCTTACTGGTTATAGAGCTGATCACACAAACCTTTCACAATCTGACAGCACAAAAAACTGGTGAACTTTACTTCACCTGCCCTATTCACCTGGTCTGAAAAGTAAACATTCCTCTTTAGACCTAACGATCCATTGTGCAGATTAAGTGGAGTTCATGTTTCTTGACCTTGGCATTTTAAGGGATAATGTGGTCAGCACTATACCCAACCACCTTTACTTTCCCTAACGTGAGTTAGGTACCCATCAGAGCTTGTGGATATGGGGACGTTCCACTAACTTGAACCCGGATTCGAACTCGAAACTATCGGGTTAGAAGTCTAACCTGGTCTGAAAGGGTAATACTAAATGTCCAGATTTGGTTTTCAATGTTCATTTTTTTCAACTGCTGTTTACATCAGCAATGGGGTCTGGTAGAAAAAAGTGGTTTAACCAAAAGCACTTCAACCCAACAGGTACCAACCCATGTGCCAACAACCACTGCAGTGATCTGTGTCTGCTGACCACTGCTGGCGGCCATGTGTGCAGGTGTGCTGATGGGAGGACATCCACAGATGATGGAGTCACCTGCACAGGTAAGTTGTTTCAATTGTTTGCTAGATATGCCATTATATACTTTTGGAAAAAGTATGCAAGGTCTTGATGTATTACTGATGTATTATAATAGTAGAGGATAGAGTACTACTTGCCAAACATTTTTGATTATTAACAAAGACTATTGTTGTTACCATTATTAAATGAATTGAAATACAATATCATTTTGGTTTAGATGGTTTGTTATAACTCTCCTAGTTTATTTAAGTAGTACAACTCATAGTCCAATTTGTTATATGTAATAAAAGAGTGTTTTTAAAGGTCAGCCCTGCTTCAACTACTTTTCTAAAAGCGCCTGATTAAAAAATGTAATGAACATAAATTATATACTCGCATAACTGATGGTTATTTCCCTTTCTCTTGATCTTGCTTTTTATAAGCTCCCCTTTCAATTACTCTCAGTTAAAAAGGTAGTTATGAAACTTCATGGTAACTATTTTATGAATTTATCCAATAAATCTGGATCTTTGTTGCCAGCAAGTGAATACTACTAAATCCTTGATGATGAACAATATCAAACTTAAATCATATGTGAATAGCTGATGAAATCAACAGTTGATGAGCGTTGATTGTTTTATCCCCCTAGGAAATGTGGCCCCTAGACAGTGCCAGAAAATTCTGGAGTTTCAGTGTAAAAATGGTGACTGCATACACAGTGCCAAGACATGTGATGGTCATTTTGATTGTAAAGATCACTCAGATGAGGATACGAGCAGCAATGGAGTGTGTGGTTAGTGGTTGAGACCTTGTTTACATTTTTAAATTTTTTTAAGTTCATGCAACCTTACCATTGAAACATTTTTTTTTCTACATACAATAATTTTTTTTAAATAATAGATTAGCTTTGACTTTTTAAAAATTACATACAATTTATATTTAAAACCCTAACAGAATAGCTTTATCTAACAGTGGAACTAAAAAAAAAAAATCAATAAATGCATGTTTTTTTTAGAGCTTTTGGACAAAGTAAGACTCTTAGATGCGGTCTAAACCCTTTTGGTTAGCCCTGCTTAACCTCTTATCTCCCCTGTCATTTAAGTTCCATGTTGACCAACTGTTTAATATGAAAGCAATTTTGAGTTTATTTACCTACAACTTTTAGCCAACCGCACCTGTCACGGCAGCGAGATGTTTGCCTGCAACACGTCCATCTGTATTTACCTGCAGTTCAGGTGTGATGGGGAGCCTGACTGTGCCCATGGGGAGGACGAACAAGGCTGTGACAGTAAGTTAGGAGTATAACATTTTTCATTTAAACCTCTCCAAGGATGTTAATGGTCTACCAATTTGCAAAGTCATGTATAGTATTCTTATTGTCAGAAATAAAAATTTAAAAAAATTAGCTGCAAAAACTTACTCTATACATCCCTTAACAATGATGGGCCTCTCATGTCCCTTGTTTCAGAATGAAAATTAAAAAAATTCACTTTACATTTAGAATAGTCAACCCCCCCCCCCCCCCCCCCCCCCCCCCACCCCCTCCCCTCATTACTCCTCCATCCTGGAAATATATTTAGTAAAAGATTAGTTTTGAAATTATGTTTATTTGGAAAAATAATTTTTTATTAAGGCCACACCATACTATTTCTGTAATAGGCTACTATTGACACATTAATTTTTAAGGCCACACAATGCTGTTTCTGTAATAGGCTACTATTGACACTATTTATTTTTAAGGCCACACCTGTAGTGATGACCACATACAGTGCCAGTCCAACAAACAGTGTATACCCCGCGGCTGGAAGTGTGATGGGGAGAAGGACTGCCCCGATGGCTCAGACGAAGATGACCATGTGTGCTGTCAGGATGGGAAGTGTGGTCAGTGTTTGCGTCATCTTGTTCAGCACTACTGCAACACAAAACACACTTATTTTATTTATCCTAACTCTTTGATTAGAAATCTAGATTTTCCACCTCTACTTTGGTTCTATCTGTGCCATCGTTCACTCTAACATCCTCATCATCTCTTATTTAGTATTTAGCAGTGATGTAAAGGTGTTTAGTTATGATTGGGATCTTTCAACCTAATTTTAATTGTTACCCTTGAAATAACTCATTACACTGTATCATAAGCTATAAATCTGTTAACAAATCTGTCTTGGTATACTCATATAATATAATAGTTTATTCCTTTTAACAGCACTTATATAAAAAACATGTTGACTTTCTCATGGCTGAATGTTAATTTTAAAAATGACTGCATACGTTTTCAAACATTCTAGTTTTTCAAAAATTGCCACATTCTCTTCTGCAGGTAAAACCACTTGCGGACATGATCAGTTCCAGTGTCTAGATGGCAGGTGTATCAGTTATGAATTCAGGTGTGATAATGAATACGACTGTAAAGATAACTCGGACGAGGTTTGTGAAGCTTGAGATTTTACCTGCTAACCCAATAAAACAGACTTGCATTGAACTTGAACATTTAAATACAGTGGAACCTCAAGATACAGATTTCATTTGCTCTCTAACATTGCTCTTATGTCATATTGCTCATATTTCTTGTACCACAGAGCATTTTCTTCATTACAATTATTTAAAAGCCATTAATCAACATCACTGGGTTTTGATTAAGATAAGTGAATCTATAGATGATCAATTTTGTGAAAAAACATAATTTAAAAAAATGTAGAGAACTAAAGTAGTTTTATAAAATATATTTACCTTGGAAACCAGTTGACTTAAGCTTACAGCAGATGCTGGCGGGGGTATTCTCTAGACTGCTAACGTTTAATTTTCATTAACTTTAATTTCATTACTTGCTTCACTTGCTTAATTTTTATACCAAAGCAAAATATTGCTCATATGTCGAGGTACCACTGTAACTACTTTCAAACTAATTTTTGTACAAAAAGTGGAGAGTAGAGTGATCCTATTAAAGGTTTCAAATGTCTCAAAGTTTGTTTTGTTGTAAAGCTTCCTGTGTTTTTAAATTACCCAGCTTGACTGTGGAGAATGGTGTGACCCCATCAGAGAGTTTAAATGTGTCAATGAAAGCCGCTGCATACCTAAGCTGTACAAGTGTGATGGGGAGAACAATTGCCTAGATGGGGCTGATGAAAAGGGATGTGGTAAGTTCATTAATCTCACAAAATAATACTAAAGTGTGTAATATGTCTCTTTTATTCTTGTTTAGAGGTTACTGAACTAGATTTATTTTTTACATTGCTAATATATTGTGATGACTGCTAAGTTATCCTTTTGACCCTATGGTCAATAGGGCAGATGAAGTAGAGCGCACCTGCCTCTGTGACCTCTGTATTGTCAAAGGATAGTGTGGTCAGTTTTATGCTCATCCTCCTTTGTTGTCCTTAACTAAAAAGTATTAAATAGCATATTAATTATGTTTATGATGAATGTTTAAAAAAAAGGGACAGACTTTTAAAGTACACATAATTAAACATAAGCCAATGAAAAGTAACCTACACATTTCTGTTGAAGAATAAAGTGTTTAAATATAATTCTAGATTTGAATTTTTGTATTTAAAAGTATTTTTGTTTCCTCACCAGAGAAGAGAGTGAAGGTCTGTAAAAGAGATGAGTTTGCTTGTACTGATGGCACCTGCATAAAGTCCATCTACCGCTGTGACGTCAACAAGGACTGCTTGGATGGCTCTGATGAAATGGATTGCTGTAAGTTTGTTGGCTACGCATAGTTAAAAATTAAGTTCAGCTCTTCAGATTGTTGTTTATTAACAGTAGCTAGTTGTTCCTTCCCTTTTTAGAAGTGGAACACTGATTGGTAGAAACTAATAGTAGCTTTCAATCAAATTGTTTATGACAATGAATCTTCATTCATAGTGTAAATCTAAACTGATTTACTTGAACATCTTGTATTTAAAATACTCTTAGTTTTAAATTCTGCAAAGAATTATGTAGAGCTACTTATTTGAATGAATGAGGCCTAATGTAATTGTTATAGAGTTTAGAAGTGAGAAAGACAATTTTCGTTTGTGTATATATATATATATATATATATATACACAATATATATATATATATATATATTTCTTGACAAGCTATGTTGTGCTAAATAAAGAAATTTGCCTTAAGTTTATGCTAACAATTTTTAAACAATCTACCTCAGACCATGAATTCTTTTTAAATTATAAAGTTTGATTATGAAGGTGTTTCTAATAACCAACAGCAAAAAACACCACCCAGAAAACATGCCACTGGTCTGAGTTCAAGTGTGCTGATGGGGAGCAGTGTATACCATCCTTTTGGCAGTGTGATGATGAATTTGATTGTAAAGACAAATCTGATGAGAAAGGTTGTGGTAGGTGAACTATTTGACAAACTTGCACTGAAAGGGAAGTGAAATATCCTTGGGTTTTTTTAATAACAACCCACAGACAGGTTACAAAAAAATACTATGTTATCAAGCATGATAAAAATAAAAAAATAAAAATTTTTTTTACTGTTTGTATATTTTTGAAAGACCTGGTATCAAACTCTCATTTTGTTTTATTATATTAATTACATACTTCTATTTTCAATACTTTTTAACTCTTTTTAACACATCATAAAATCCTACAAAAACAAACATTTAATTAACTTAATGTGGTTATGTAGACCTATATGTCTAATTGTGCAAGATTTTAATTATGTCCTGTTATAACCTGTGTCTGATTCTTATCTCTTCTATCTCCAGCCAAGTGCCATTCTCCTAACTTTGCCTGCAAGACCCATGAAACAATGTGCATCCCACCAGAAAAGCTGTGTGACAACCAGAACGATTGCCCTGATCATTCTGATGAAGGGAGGCTTTGTGGTAGGAACAGACCTGTTCACATACAAAGATGTCTTTGATTTGTGATAGTGCAAAGATATACTAATTTTACTTCTGTTTGATTTATGATAATACAAAGATGCATTAATATTGTATTTTTTAAATTATATATTTTAATGTTGTAGCAATTTTAATTTTATTTCTAGAAAAAGATTTATATTCTATTGTCAGCTGCCCTTGTTCGTTATAATAAAAACATTGTTACAGCTGCGGATATACTAAGAACATCCTTTAAAATTGTACATCAGCTTCACTATTTAGCTATATATCACATTTCAAATTCATTTACTGAGGATGGTTCTTAATTTTGTGACTTTCTTTTAATGAAAGTGTCAACAAATCTTATTAAATTGGTTAATGATTAAAAGTTATTTAAAGAGTTGAATGCTGGAAACATTAAAAGAAAGAAACAACTTTTAAAAAGTTGTCTCTATGTTTAGATAATGAAACAAATAAACTACTGTATGTTGCAGAGTATGACATGTGCCTGAACCATGACTGTGAGTACACGTGCCACAAATCACCTGAGGGGTTCCTCTGTTCATGCCCACCTGACAAGATACTCAAAAATGACAACAAAACCTGCATGGGTAAGAAGTGATGCACATCTTTTTACTTTCTCGTATATACGAAGTATAGAGAAAGTATTGTAATCCTGCAAAAAAAAAAAATTGAGATTTTTATAAATCTCGACGTTTTACACCTCACTGATACGGAAAAACATAATTTTGCAATCTTGTCCGTGTGTCTGTGTGTAAACACGATTACTTGAGTACCATTAAAGCTAGGTTGGTGAAATTTCATATATAAGTATTTTATCAAAATCGTAGATCCATATCAACTTTTGAGATATTTCCGATAACCGGAAGTGGTACTTTTTTTACTTTGAATTTTTAAAAAGCCTATAACGTGAGTACTATTTCAGATAGATAAATGAAATTTCACATGTAAGTAAAAGATCTAATTCTCTACCTTCTATCAAATTTTGAATAATTTCTGTTGATCGGAAGTAGTAATTTACGCTATTTCCGATTTCTCAAAAAACATGTAAATTTAAAAAGTACTAATAATATTGCGCACTATTATGCACATTTTCTTTTGGCGTTCGCTTGGTGCGCAATTCTTTTTTCTATGAAATTCTATTTTTAAAAGTTTAAGTAATTAAAAATCATGTCTATATTCAGAGTTATATAAGAATATTCGAGAAGGTTTAGGGGAGATCACTCCCGGTTTATTTTATTTCATGATAAATAATTATTTAACAGCTTATATATTATTCAGTGAACAATTTATGTATCAGGTAATTTAGCCAACAAATAACAATTTTGTTAACAAACATTAACAGTTATTAATAGGAATAAATATGAATTAATTAACTGCTAACAATGTAGTAAACACATCTGCAGGTAGAAATTAAGTTCACAATTAGTAAATAAATAACACACTAGTAGATCTAAATACTATTAAGTTAACAATTCAGTAGACTGATAATTGTTATCTGTTAACAATTTAGTTATAATTAATTTTTTCACTTGAGTTACTGATATAAAATAGTATGCATGTAGTGTTTATTATTTATTGTAAACATTTCTGAGTTGGCTTTGTTACAGACATCAATGCATGTGAAAAGTGGGGTACCTGTAGCCAGTTGTGCCAGCAGACGCCAAATGGCCACCATTGTTATTGTAACCCTGGTTACACACTAGAATCTGATCACTTTAGCTGTAAACCTAATGGTATGATCTTTTACTGAAATTCTTTTCTTTAATTTTGTAAATCATTCATGTTTCAAAATATACTTAATAAAATAAATTTGACTTCTTTAATTATAATTTTTTATTTTACATAATTTTTAATTCAAATTTTGAAGTGACCGTTTTAAATTTTAAATTTTATTTAACACATATTTAACACATTTATCATTAAACCAACCTATGTATCTGTTATTTTTAAAACAAAACCAAATTTATATTAAACCAACCTACATATCTGTTATTTTTAAAACAATACCAAATTTATATTTTTCAGATAATGAACCACTTGTCATCATCTTTGCCAACAGGCATGAAATCCGACTTTTGGATCTTAAAAACAACACACTCTTATCTCCTTTGGTATCAAGTTTGCAGAATGCTATTGCTCTGGATTTTCGTTATTCTAAGTCTAAGTCTTTAGTGTTTTGGACTGATGTCAATATGGATAAAATATTTAGAGGAGAAATATATGAAAATTGTGAGTTTTTTTTTTAAATTTTTATTGTACATGTTACCTTTTTCAATAACAAGTCAATTTCTTAAGAATTATATTTGAAGTAATCAGTTGAATTAACATGTGAATAAGATAACAAGCAAAAAAACAGCAATTTGCTGTGAATAATGCAAAACAACTATTTTGACATTGAAAGAAACTGGGATAAAAGTTTGCCCAGTTACCTCCCGTGTCAGGTTAGACAATCAAATAAAAAATGGAGGACACTTAAAACTATTAAACCCAAGGGTAACCTGTTCCATTAATATAAAAATTACTATCAATTTTCAGTGTACTGTTTTGTTTGTTCAAGTTTTCTTTTTTTGTACACAATTTTCACATATCTGTTTTAATTATTACCGGTGTAAAACAATCAATCATTTTAAAATAAATTTTATGTTATGATTCTTACCTTCCCTTGACTGCTTATGTTAGAAGTAAATCTTTTTACTTTTCGTCCCCAATTAATTTCATGATTCTTACCTTCTCTTTACTGCTTATCTTAGTCCATCTTTTTACTTTCTCGTATATACGTAGTATAGAGAAAAACATAATTTTGCAATCTTGTCCGTATGTCTGTGTGTGTGTGTGTGTCTGTGTTTTTGTGTGTGTAAACACGATTACTTGAGTACCGTTACAGCTAGGTTGATGAAATTTCATATATAAGTATTTTATCAAAATCGTAGATCCGTATCAACTTTTGAGCGATTTCCGATAACTGGAAGTGGTACTTTTTCTACTTTGAATTTTTCAAAAGCCTATAACTTGAGTACTATTTCAGATAGATAAATGAAATTTCACATGTAAGTAAAAGATCTAATTCTCTACCTTCTGTTAAATTTTGAGTAATTTCCGTTGACGGGAAGTACTAATTTACGCTATTTCTGATTTCTCAAAAACACATCTAAATTTATAAAGTACTAATAATATTGCGCACCATTATGAACATCTTTATTCGGCGTTCGCTTGATGTGCAATACTTTTTTCTATGAGATTCTATTTTATTTTTAAAAGTTTATGTATTTAAAATGGATTAAAAATCATAACTATATCCCGAGTTCCCATCCCCTGTTGTTTTATATAAGAATATTCGAGAAAGTTTAGGGGAGATCACTCCCGGTTTATTACTTCTTGTCCCAAATAAATTTTATGTTTTGATCCTTACCTTCTCATGACTGCTAATCTTTTTATTTCTTGTCCCAGCTGTTTCCAAGATAGAACCTATAGTAGAGAATGGTCTAGCCACCACAGAGGGCATAGCTGTAGACTGGATAGCCAACAACATCTACTGGGTGGAGAGTAGTCTGGACCAGATTGAGGTGGCCAAGCTGGATGGCTCAAGCAGGGCCACCCTGATAGCTGGCAACATAACAAATCCTCGGGCCATCGTGCTGGATCCCAGAGTCGGGTACACTTTTTATTTCAGTATTCAAAACTCAGTTATCTTTCTTGTAGTCAAAACTCAGTAATCTTTCTTGTAGTCAAAACTCAGTTATCTTTCTTTTAGTCAAAACTCAGTTATCTTTCTGTTAGTCAATACTCAGTTATCTTTCTTTTAGTCAAAACTCCGTTATCTTTCTTTTAGTCAATACTCAGTTATATTTCTTTTAGTCAAAACTCAGTTATCTTTCTGTTAGTCAATACTCAGTTATCTTTCTTTTTGTCAAAACTCAGTTATCTTTCTGTTAGGAAATGGGAGCTACTGTTTAACCTTTTTATTAGTATTTTACAGCGCAAGAATATTAAGTCCATGCTTATTTATAATGTGGATAAAAACCAACACAAAATAGCTATTCATTAAAATACTAATTCTATTAGTTGCTTGCTTAATCCTGTTCCTTATTATAAAAATTCATGTATCTATGCAATGTTGCATAACTATTAGCGCCTCACTCTCCTATATTTGTTTATTTTAAAACTATTATTAAGTAAAATAATTGTTATTAACTGTAATTAATTTCTAAATAAATGAATATAATTAATTGTATTTTTTTTTTAAATGTAATAAACTACAGACTATTTAAAACTGGTGAAATTTTCTGTTTTTATTTTGGCTGTTTAACAGAAAATTGTTCTGGACTGACTGGGATGGACATTATCCAAGGATAGAGTCCTGTTCCATGGCAGGGGAAGACAACACAAGGAAGATTGTCTATGATATCCGTAATCTGAAAGGTGCAGGTTGGCCCAATGGGTTGACTGTTGACTATGACACAAGGCGTTTGTACTGGGTGGATGCTAGGTAAGACACTCCCGATGTTCAAACTGCTCAGTTCAATGTGACTATTAATGCAATAAAATATCTCGATTAACAATTGGATATATCTTTCTGTATGCTCAGTTTTTTGTGACTAGGAATACAATTAAATATTTGTTTAAAAATTTGGATTATACCTTTGAATTAGAATGAATTTACCTTCCTGTATGTTCCGTTCTATGTGACTAGTAATGCAATAAAATTTCTCTCTAAACAAGTGTATTAAACCTTCCTATTTGAGTGTTGGGTTCATAGTTAAAAAAAAATTTAGATGGTGACCAATGTTTACATCCCATATTGGAATTTTATTTCTGTTTTACTGCAATACTGTTTCATGTCCAAAATTATATGCTAGTTCTCATTTAATTTCAAATTTAGAGAAACATTGGAATTTGTTTTTAGCAGAATAACTTTTTTTCAGGAGTTACATATAGTTAAAAAACAAAAACAGTTACTGGTATTTTTATTGAACTAGGTAATAATTATATTTAATATATAAGCACATATTTCTTCAGTTTTCAAAAGAACCTTTATAAATTTGTGTTGGCTTGTGAAGGCTACAAAGAACATTTATAAAGTTGTGTTCTCTTGCATGTTAGACTCTATCCATACCATCACATATGATGGTGACAAAGAACATTTATAAAGTTGTGTTCTCTTGCATCCATACCATCACATATGATGGCTACTAAGAACATTTTTCTCTTGCAGGTCAGACTCCATCCATACCATAACGTATGATGGTGACAACTACCAGCTGGTTCTGAAATCTAACGAGCAGCTCAACCACCCCTTCTCTCTGACAGTGTTTGGGAACTACGTCTACTGGACTGACTGGAGGTTCAACTCTCTGGTCAAGGTAATCACTCATAGTGTGGAAGCTCTGCTCAGAAGTTTTATCTGCCAAAAATATAATTAAAATATAAAGATTTAAATTTAATTTTTTATAAAATGAATAAAATGTCAAACTAAAGAAAATCCCATTTAAAAATGTAACTTTAATTATACCTTTATGTCAGCAGAAAAAAAAAAAAAAGTAGTTGTTTTAATTTAAGAATAAATATTTCTGAATTGTCTGAAGTCACAAAGAAACTTTTTTAAAGAGAACTAGTTAAATCCCTTATTTTGTTATTTCCCAAATACTACATCAACAGCATACAATTTTAGATTAGTAAATGTACTTTTTATACTGTTTTTCATAAACATTTTTTTTGAAGAGATTGTATTGGTTGTGACTTTGTTGTGTCCAGTGTATTGATCACTCACAACCAAGCTTACAACTTTGCTAGAAGCTAAAGAGATTTAAAAAATTTCTCGTCAGGCTAACAAGTTCAATGGCAACGAAGTAACAGTCTTATACAAAACATATCAGCAGCCTTTTGACCTACAGATGTACCACCCTATGCGTCAACCCCAGAGTGAGTTTTGTAATTAATATTTTTTTATTAATATATGAATTTTGATTCTTTTGGATTTAACAGGTAGGGTGATACATATACAACATGATGCTTTTTTGATGATTATACCCACATCCTCTTCATCTTCCTCTCACCCTATATATCTGATATATAGAATGTAATTGTCTAACTTTTCTCTCTATATAGAATCTAATTGTCTAACTTTTCTCTCTGTTGTTCAGTGATCAACCCCTGCTTGAACTCCAAGTGTAGCCACCTGTGTCTGATCGGAGATAACCTGCAGCCTGTCTGCAGGTGCCCCCATAGGTTTAAGTTGAAAGACAAATATACCTGTGAAGGTAAGCGATTTTGCAATTAGCATCAACGTCAACATGTTTTTTTCTTAGAAATCAGCTGTATTTTATTTTCAAATTGTGAAGGAAAAATAGTCGTTTTGATTCTTAAAATTTCATAACTTAAAAAAAAGAGTTGTCATGTTTTTACCAATAAGACATCTTCTGAAAAAAAATGTTAACAAATTAAAACAAATGAACCATTTAGCCAAAATTAAAGTTGATATGTATAAATGACAAAACCATTTGGTTTTAAAGCCAGCCTTGGTCTCAAGATGTATTTCTCTTATATTTAGATGACAAAACCATTTGGTTTTAAAGCCAGCCTTGGTCTCAAGATGTATTTCTCTTATATCTAGATGACAAAACCATTTGATCATAAAGCCAGCCTTGGTCTCAAGATGTATTTCTCTTATATCTAGATGACAAAACCATTTGATCATAAAGCCAGCCTTGGTCTCAAGATGTATTTCTCTTATATCTAGATGACAAAACCATTTGATCATAAAGCCAGCCTTGGTCTCAAGATGTATTTCTCTTATATTTAGATGACAAAACCATTTGGTTTTAAAGCCAGCCTTGGTCTCAAGATGTATTTCTCTTATATCTAGATGACAAAACCATTTGATCATAAAGCCAGCCTTGGTCTCAAGATGTATTTCTCTTATATTTAGATGACAAAACCATTTGATCATAAAGCCAGCCTTGGTCTCAAGATGTATTTCTCTTATATTTAGATGACAAAACCATTTGGTTTTAAAGCCAGCCTTGGTCTCAAGATGTATTTCTCTTATATCTAGATGACAAAACCATTTGATCATAAAGCCAGCCTTGGTCTCAAGATGTATTTCTCTTATATTTAGATGACAAAACCATTTGATCATAAAGCCAGCCTTGGTCTCAAGATGTATTTCTCTTATATTTAGATGACAAAACCATTTGGTTTTAAAGCCAGCCTTGGTCTCAAGATGTATTTCTCTTATATCTAGATGACAAAACCATTTGATCATAAAGCCAGCCTTGGTCTCAAGATGTATTTCTCTTATATTTAGATGACAAAACCATTTGGTTTTAAAGCCAGCCTTGGTCTCAAATATATTTCTCTTATATCTAGATGACAAAACCTACCTGTTGTTCACCAAAGAAAGTGAGATCCGAGGGGTGAGCCCTGACAATGCCCACTACAACGTCATCCCCTCCATAACAGTGCCATATGTGGAGAATGCCTCATCTCTTGCTTTTGATTTCCTGGTAAGTTTGTTGATGCAGTTGATGAAAAAAGCGGAAGCTGCTTCAAATTTGTACCTAAAATACATGAACTGACAACTTCTCCCTAAAAATTTTAAAGTATTAAGTAAAAATACATCAACTTGATCAAAATTTAATTTAACAAACTAATAGCATTAAAAAAAAAAAAAACTATGTTGTTTTAGGCTTTTAAAAAATTTTTTTTTAGATTTGTATACCTTGACTGACTGATCTCCTTTGTCAAATATCCACCTAGGCACGATGACTTTAGTGTTTGTAATGAGAGAAAGCTGTTTTACTAATTTAACTTTTAATGGCCCTGTATTGTACTTTACATTTAGTGTTTTACTTTTTTAGCATTTAGGACCTTCTGTTGTTTCATTTACATGACTGTTCAGAATTTTTCTTCTTTTTTCTATTCTGTTGTTCTAAAAGATGATTTTAATTTACTGAACTCCAATCAATGTTTTTAATTGACTGAACTTTAACCAATAGGAAGACCGTCTCTATTGGACAGATATAAAAAAGAATGTCATCACCAGTGGCTTTTTGAATGGAACTGGCATCACCACAGTCATTGATTCTGGTAAAGTTTTATTTCATGGGAAAATTCTTATCTCTGAGTGGTTGTGTTCATTTTTGTGTGAGTTTTATTGGCCTTGTTTTGGTGGGTTTAATGTGTAGTAGAGGTTTTTTTTGGCCACTTTTCAGGTCGGTTTTGTCTATTGTATTTTAAAAATTTTGGTTGAGTAAATTTAATTTAGGGTAGCTTTTGATCAGGCCTACTTTTTGATCACATTAACCATGTCGGTATAATTATTATTAATATTTGAACATTCGAATACAAATTCTTAGCAGTAGAGAATTTGAAAACTGCTGTTTGTTAAAGTCTTTCAAATTTTTATATTCATGACCTATGCTGCTCTGCTAGGATTAAAAGTTAAAGTACTAATTTTGATTATATGTTTAATTTTTAAAAAGTATATTAAAATTATTCTTCCATGTAGGTCTTTCCAATCCATTTGGCATTGCCATTGACTGGGTGTCAAGGAACATGTATTTTTCCTCCTACACTGAAGAGTTCGGCTTCATCTCTGTAGCCAAACTAGATGGGGCCTACCGTAAAGAAATATACCGGTCAACTACACCCTCAAGGCCAACATCCATTGCCATCCATCCATCTAAAGGGTCAGTCTTTTTGCCAATTACTTGCTGTGTTTATAGTTTGTGGATATTGTGGTCTGTTCTATGCCCAACTGCCTCTACTTTCCCTGGCTGGGTGAGCATAAGAGCATGCTATTGACTCAAGCCTGAATGAAGCTTGTGTATCAACACATAAGAAATCACAGCAATCTATGTATGAACTGTTCAGTTGTAAAACTGAAATGTTTAAATCCCAGACTGTTAAAAAAACTTCTCAGGCTAAAACTCACCGTTCTGTTAAACATTTGGACTTATACATTTTAGAGGCGAGCAGAAACAAGTTATATACTTTACTTGTATTTCATTATTCCTACCAACTTGTCTATACACCATTTAGATTGCTGTGACTAATATGATAAAACAAGCCTTTGACTCTTGAATATTCAGTTAAAAGTTCAAAGGTCGTCTTTCCATTAACACAATGTCAGGTCAATTTTCAACATGGAAACTTATTAAACTATCTACTAAATATTGATTTGACAACTGTAAAATAAGTGCCGCACCAAATGATAATTCATTTTATTTCAACTTTTCCCCCCTCTCCCTAGGATAATGTTTTGGACTGACCTAGCGGGGGACACACATTCTATATGGAAGGCCAACATGGATGGGACTGAGGCAAACATTTTTGTCAAGGGCATAAAAAAACCTTCCAGTAAGTTTTTCCTTCAGAGTTGATTTTCCTGGTTCACAGCCTTAAGCTTTCAATTGGAATGGGCATAAGTCCAACATCAGTAGCATTCATTACCCAGTTAATTACACTTGTTCATTACCTCATTAATTAATGTACATATATTTAAACTGGTTTACAAGCCAACACCTTTTTTCCAGATTTTGTTAGGAAAACAACTCTAATTTTATTAATGTTTTTTTATTATAGCTGATGTAATTTTATGTCATTTATTAATTTTTCATTTACGTTATAGATGTTTGTTTATTTAGAATAACTAACTCTATCTACCTCTATAGGTTTGGCTGTTGATATGCAAAAAAATCGCTTGTACTGGATCAGTCTGGATGCCAATGGATATTTTTGGTGCGATGTATCCAGTAAATGTAATCCCAGCCAGGAGCTTAGCCAGTGGATCAAAGAGCCTCTATCCATTACCTTCTACACAGCTAAAGGTCAATCCGACCCTGTGTTTTTCTTCTACAACAAGAATTCTAGTGTTGTCAAGGTAACATCCTTAAACCTTAAAACTGGAGTTTTATCATTGTTACTCTTTATCTGATACTACCTTGTTTATACATAAATAAATGTCCTTCAGTTAAAGCCCTGTATTCAGCCTTGTGATACTGTAATTTTATTGCTTAGTACTGAAGCTCATTATTGTATTAACCTTATAAAACTAACAAACTCATAAATAAGGGTTTATTAATAACGGTTACACTTTTTGGTATTTATTTTCATAGCATGTTTAAAATGAAATTTTTTTTAAGTTGACAAAATAAAAATAAATATATTTTGCAACCTATTATTTTTATATAAGGGAAACAACTCATTTTCATACCACTGTTTCAGTATGCAAATAAGACAGTAACCACAATGAGACAGGACACACCAAATGTCTCAGATCTTAAAATCTATGATCCAGCTAGTGTGCTGGGAGGTGAGTCAACTTTTCTTAACACTTTAAAAAATTATATTTATATGTTTTTTTGCTGAATCTGCCCTTTCTGTTTCAACCCATTTCATGCTTGTGACCATGTCAGTAAAAATAAATGTCTCCCCCCCACCCCTTCTAATTTTAACTAATTCTATTATTGTAACCCTGTCAGTAAAAATAATGTTTCCTTCACCAGTTAGCAACCAGTGTGTGCGCAACAATGGAGGATGTGAACAGCTGTGTTTCCCATCTCCCACTGGCAGTGTGTGTGAGTGTACAGTCGGCTACGAGCTTGTCTCTGAGAACAAGTGCAAAGGTTGGACAATTGCAGATATTTTAAAGGAATTAAGACAAAAAACTAAAAACATTTCTTTTTCTAGATTTTTAAGAACAAAATACTTTATTTGCCTAATTTTTTAAGCTAACCTGAAAGTCTCAAATTTGGATCCCAAATTCAAGGCCATATGACGTCACTGAGTCCACCCAGCCCTAATGGGTACCTGACTCACATTAGGGAAAGTAAAGGTGGCTTGGTATATTTCTCACCATATTATCCCTTCAAATGCCAAGGTTAAAGAAATTGGTGAACTCTATCTGCCCCATGGACCAGTTAACCCATTGAAAATAATTTAAAATCTTGTTTATTCTTTTATTTTCTCTCTCTAGGAATAAACCAATGTATCTAGTTCATACTTATCACATTTCTGTATATTTAATATTAAATCTTCTTTCCTTTTCTCCAGGAATCAACTCCTTTATTCTGTACACACAAGGCTCTGAAATCCATGGTCTAACCCTGGGCACTAAACAAACCCCAGCATTGGCTTCTATATCCAAGATATCACGGGCTTCCTCTGTGGACTTTTATGCAGGTAAATAATTACTACGTGAATGCAGGAGATTATGAATTAAGAGGGCTGTGTGGTACAACTTTAAAAATCTTTAGTATAAATGTTGATGATGTGTCTGGACAAAACAGGAGATTTGGGATCCAGAGGACTGTGTGATAGAGCTACAGACTTTAAAAATCTCTAGTGTAAATGTTGACAATGTTTCTGACACCATTCCCAGCTTAGAAAAAAAGGAATTGAGACTTGCCACACAATCCATTTATTAGTTAGGGGCTTATAAGTAGATAATCTGTACTACAACTGCCATATTGGTTATCAATTTCAGTTGGTACTTTTCTTGTTGTGATTTATGAGGTTTTTTAATTAGCTTTCTTGTTGTAATTTAATTTTTAAAATCTATTTTAACTTCGTTATAATATTTTTATGAGTTATTTTTTAAAATCCTTTTTTGTGTAAATTATCTTTTTATTTAAGTTGCATTTGAGTTGCATTATTTTGAGAAATATGTTACCATTTTTAAAGTTATCTTTTTTGTGATGTGTTCCCTGTATGAGATATCTTTTTTATGTAAATTGTTTGATCTTATGTTACTATTTTTAAGTTTGAGATCATCTTCAGAATTGAACAACTTTTAATCCCTAGAAAATGCAAGCTTTTTATCGCAGTCTTGTGTTCACTCTATACTAGTGTCATGGTAAATAATTTTCAGAGAAAGGTGAAATCTACTGGGTAGACAGTGAACTGAGGCTGATTTCCCGTATCAAGAGGGATCTCAGCGGCAGGCAGATCATTGTCTCACAGGGAATATCAGGGGCCGAATCTTTGGCGGTTGACTGGATCGCAGGTAAGAATGGGAAGCAGGCAGATAATCGTGTCACAGGGAATATCAGGGGCTGAATCTTTGGCGTTGACTGGATCGCAGGTAAGAATGGGAAGCAGGCAGATCATTCTCTCACAGGGATATAGGGGCAGAATCTTTGGCCGTTGACTGGATCGCAGGTAAGAATGTGAAGCAGGCAGATAACTGTGTCACAAGGCATATAGGGGCAGAATGTTAGGTACTTGACAGGATTACATGTAAAAATTGATGGATCAGGGTATAGCAGGGGCAAAATCTTTGTTTTGACTGGGTTACTGTCCATAGTGGAGCAAGGGGGGTAATCTAATCTGATTAAATCTTTGGTGTTTGATTATCCTTGTTTCTTCCTGCAATACATGTAAATTAAACTGATCTTGTAGGCAACATCTACTGGACTGACCAGGGCCACAACACCATAGAAGTCACACGCCTGGACGGGACGAAGAAATATGTCTTGATGCATGAGGATATAGAAAAGCCAAGATCAATTGTTGTCAATCCTTTACGAGGGTATTTCATTGGCTTTTATTATCATTGTCTTCTGTCATGTTATATGCAAATTAAATACATGCTCTAATTAATTTGTTTTACACAAGTTGAAATTAATGAAAATTGTTTAAATATTAGAAATGATGATTTCTTCATGTAAAAATGATAATAAATAAAATGTTAGCAGGACACATTTAACGACTTTTAAAAAAGTATCCATACCTTAACTTTAATCAACAACCTATTCCCAAACCAAAATCTGAAAATAAACCCCTCGGCAAAATTATTTTAAGCACTAAAAAAATCATAAAATAATGTCATTTTGCCATTTAAAGTAAAAGGAACAAATAAAACAATGTTAATAAGATTTCTTGGCTAATTGAACATTAAAATAATAATTTTTGTTTATATTGGTTAATAAGATCCATGCTGATGCTAATTATTATTGTAGATTTTGCATGTTCTAACATAATAATTTTCTCCCAGGTACCTGTATTTTGCTAATGGCGTAAACAACCCGAGCATCATACGCGCCAGGCTGGATGGCTCGGAGAGAAAAAATTTTGTCATCTCAACACAAGCCATGCCCTTAAAGGCACCGGATGGCTTAGCCGTGGATTACGAGACAGATGATCTGTACTGGTGTGACAAAGGCACCGACATGATTGAGAAAGTTACGCCCACAGGAGAAAGGTTTCAAGTGCTCAAGACAAACCTCACGGACTGCATGAGTGTGGCTGTCCACAACGATAAGCTTTTTTGGGCAGATGGGTAAGTTTTTACTTCATAGGTAAAAATAAAGTAAAGTTTCCCTTTCAAACCTGATTGTCTATGGGGCAAGTGAAGTAGAGTTCACTTGTTTCTGTGACCTCGGCTAGGTACCCATCAGAGTTAGGTGGAATCAGGGATGGTCTGCTGACTTGAACCCGGATTTGAACTCGAGACTTATGGTTAGCAGTCCAGCTCCCTACCACTAGACCACTCCGTCCCAAACTTCATAGGTATGAAGAATAAATATATCTCCTCCTTTTTTTATTACTTGAGTTTTGTTTTTCATTCTGCAGAACTGATTTGCAAGGCTCTATAAAATATATGAATAAAGACACTTCTAAGGTTGCTTCAATCACAGTCCTCAAGACAAATATCTTTAAGTTGAAGGATATCAAAATTTTTGACTCCAGATATCAAAATGGTACAAACATTCTAATTTTGTCATAATTTTAAAAAAAAAACATGTACGAAAGATACCCAGAGTTATGTTTATAAAAATGAATTTTCTTTTGGAAAAATTACATGATAGGAAGTTAGGGAGCAAAATTGCGAAAAAAAAAAAAAAATATGAGACTAAGAAATAAGCAATGAATTATGTTTATTTTTAATGTCTACTTCAAAATTACCAAAAGGTTATACTTATTTTTAAAATATTAGACACTGTTTAGCATGAAAGTATTTAAGTTCTACTAAAACTGTTTAAAATAGTAAAGTTAAATACCACTAACTTTTATACAAAGCAATATGTGTAGTAATTAGACCTTACCTTTCCACAGGGACCAATCCTTGTAGTATTAACAGTGGGGGCTGCCAGGAGTTGTGCTTGTATCGTGGCCAAAACAAATACACATGTGCTTGTTCTCATGGCAAATTAAAGTCTGATGGGAAAAGCTGTGACGGTCAGTTTTTTTATATTGACAGAGTTTTTATCTATTTTCTAATCACTTTTTTCCAACAAGGCACTGGCACATTACTGTATTAGAGAAATGAGTTGCCAGATTGTACTTAAAAAGTTAATACAATATTTTTCGAAATTTAGATTCTGTATAAAAAGTTTGGCTTGTTTTAAAAATATAACAGGATTTTCCAACATGCATCGGAGAAGCATTTACCAGATGGTGTTTTTGAAGTAAAATTATGTAACTTTTTTGATACATAATCCAGTGGTACTTAAGTTACTTCCTGCCTTGTACTTGAATCCTCTCTATGTTTATTTCTTCAAATCTGTTCACAGAGCATTCAGCTTTCCTACTCTATTCTGAGGTGACCTCCTTGAGAAGCTTTATCCTGGACAATACAACAGACCAGAATGCTCCACGCCAATCCATCCAGAATGAGACCAACATGAAGAATGTTATAGGCTTGACCTTTGATTATGCCACTGAGAGAATATTTTTCAGTGACATCCAGCAAGGGAACATCCAGTCCGTGTTTTTCAATGGCACAGGGTTTAAGATTATTGTTGAAAGTGAGTGCTTTCTGAAAATTGTTTGAAATCTAATTAGTTTTTTTAACTTATTAAAAAAAAAATTTTCACCACATCTTGGTAATTGGGACTCGAAGTAATTACATTTTAAAATGTTCGAAGTAATTACATTTTAAAATGTTCGTGTTTTTTTTTTAAAAATATTTTGAAAATTTAGAAATATTTTGTATAAGCAAATTTTTAATTTCTCCAACATACTATAGCATTGGCTACTAAATAGGCCTAAAAAGTGTTTTGGTACTTTTTTAAAATGGTTTTTCTTAAGTAACTAACTAATAATTTTGGATAATAATATGGACATTGCAAACCTTGCTGTAGCTCCACAAACTATTTTTATTTTTGTTAAATTTTTACCAAAAATAACTTTTAATTTTTCCCAATTTATTTTAAAATCTCTCTTGGGTGTTTTCAGAGGTGGATGAAGGAGGGTTATTGTCCTTTAACTAACACACTGTCTCAAGTTTTTTAGATGTAGGATACGACCCATTCCAGAACCACCCCTACTCCACAGAAGGAGGGTTATTGGCCTTTAACTAACACACTGTCTCATGTTTTTTAGATGTGGGATCTGCTGAGGGCTTGGCTTATGACCCATTCCAGAACCACCTCTACTCCACAGAAGGAGGGTTATTGGCCTTTAACTAACACACTGTCTCATGTTTTTTAGATGTGGGATACGACCCATTCCAGAACCACCTCTACTCCACAGAAGGAGGGTTATTGGCCTTTAACTAACACATTGTCTCATGTTTTCTAGATGTGGGATCTGCTGAGGGCCTGGCCTACGACCCATTCCAGAACCACCTCTACTGGACCAGCTACTCAGGCTCAAGTGTCAATCGCATTTCTTTCAAACAGAAAACTCCAGTCACTGAGGTGTTTTATAAACTGGACAGCACGGATCACCCTAGGGATATTGTAGTCAACTCGTGCATTAGGTACTTAATAAAGCTTGCTTTTTTCTTACCAACAGTTTATGCATATACTTGAATTGATTTACAATCATAACTGTTAATTATGTTAACTATACCTTTAATTTTAAACTAAGGTTATCAATTTAACTTAGATACAATTAAACACATTTTATTATTTCTTGCCCATTCATTGATTCCCATCTTAAAATTCACTCACTTACTAATCAATCTAAACATACTTGAACATATTTATTATCTTAAAATCTTGCTTATGTATTGATTCTCATCTTAAAATTCACACATTTTGATTATACTTTAAAAAAAGAAATTGTATTTACTAATTAACCTATATCAATTTGAACATATTTATATTCTCAACACATCCTTCTAAATGATTGATTTCTATCTTAAAATTTCTCACTTATTGTTTATCCTCATAAATTTTATTTTTCAGACGTATTTTCTGGACCAACTGGAGTGAACGACGTCCATCTATTCAAACAGCTTCCTATAACAGTGAAGGTAAAACCAACACAGCTGAGTCGATCATCACAGACAAAATCAGGACGCCAAATGGTCTGGCCATTGACCACAAGGGGCAGAAGTTGTACTGGTCTGATGCCAGACTGGACAAGATAGAACGATGCAACTTTGATGGAAGCAACAGAATTGTAAGTTCTTACCTCCCTTTATTATTAATTACAGAGGAAAAATATTTTTTTAATTTTATATGATTAACATTAACATGCATTAAAGGTTTGAAGTTTTATTACACATCTTTATATGGGGAAGGCCTGATATTCTAACTCAATTAAAACCTGCATTTCTGCTCTGTTTTCTTACTAACTTTATTCTGTTTTTAATGCAACTCTGTAAAAGATTAAACAATCTTAATGTATATAGTTACTAGAGCTGAAAATTCTTCAAAAATTTTATTTAAAGTAACAAATTTATTTCTATAGTTATATTTTTAGTTATAATTACCAAAAGCTTTCAAAATGCAATTGAAAGTAAAAAGCAAAAAGTAGTATAATTAATTAATTATTTTTATAAAAAATGCAGGTAATCGTTAGCTCTGTCCCACAACATGCATTTGGCCTGGCCGTGTATGGAGACTTCATCTATTGGACTGACTGGATGCTGCGGGCTCTCATTAGGGTCAACAAGTATGACGGCTCTGATGTGACTTTCCTCAAGAAAAATATCAGCAGGCAGCCCATGGGGATTATAGCTGTAGCCAATGATACTGATAATTGTAAGTCTTTTAAGGTTAGAGGTTATACTTTAATGCTATCCACTGAGTTTGGTGAGATGTACCCGATTATTATTGCTGGACCAAAAAAAATTGAAAACATAATTTAAGCTGAAAAAAATTAAGAAATTAAATATTTAAGTATCAGTGTTATAATAGTTGGAAATGTAACCAATTTACAGTTAAGACTGCGTTGCCATATATTTTCATCAACCCAACACATCAAACTGAAGTTTCACTATAGTTCGACAAACTTTGATGGCTTTAACGTAGGTCGTGGATTACATGTTTATAAATCACACTTTTTACTAAAAAAAAACATTTTTAGTAAAACTAAATACATTTAATACTTTTAAAGACATGTCCTGGTAGCAGTTTGTTTATTTACATTTCTTTGTGAGGATGAGGGTAAAAAATTGCTCATAGCTTTTTTAAATTTAGTTTAGGTACCAAAAATTCTAAAAGCATCATTATGTCAAATACAAAAACTACTTTTTCGCTAAAATTCATTAGTCTGTTATTAGATTTTGGTTAGTGATTATACTTTATTTGGATGGATTTTAATCATAGTTGAAAGTTCTTTAATAAAGCTTTTTAGATTTGTTTTTTGGTTTAAAGATCATGTTTTATGTAAATGCAATTTGTTGGTTACTAAGAGCTTCTGTATTAAAATATCAATTTTTTGTATCAATTAAAATATTTTTAATCTCTATAAAAGGCAAGCTGAACCCCTGCTTTGAGAATGCCTTTGGTTGTGCTGAGAAGTGTCTGGTGGATGACAAAGGCAACCCATACTGCAAATGTGGACCTGAACAAAGGCTTCACACAGATGGCAAGAGATGTCTTTGTAAGTCAGTCTGTGATTCATAGCCAGCTCAACACATGTTGAACCTTTCTCAGTTCATGGAAATTTACTAAAATATAGATGGTAGTAAAAGACCTACAGTTGTGTTGAAATTATAGCAGTTATGCTAAAAAAGAACTAATACAACAATTTTAATTACTCTAATTGCTATTGGGGCATAGTGATGACCTCATTATCATATCCAGAGGTCACAGAAACAGGTGAACTCTACTTCACTTGCCCCATAGACTGTCAGGTTTGGAAGGAGAACTTTACTTTTTTACTTTGATTGCTGTTGAATTTGAAGCAACTGCATATATTTAAAATATTTACCTGTTGGAAGAAAAGCTCTAGAATTTTATTAGTTCCCAATTAAGAATTTTTTATTAATATTCAGAAATAAAGTTTATTATCTTGCTAATTAAAAGGTTGGTGGAGTTGTAGCTACTTTAAGTACTAGAACTTGAGCGTTAAATATTGTTGTTGATGTTACTTCAGCAACCATCCCCTCTATACAAGAGCTGCTGAAGAATTGTGAGGCTGATGACTTTATCTGTGAGGACAGGCAGCAGTGTATTCCCTTCAACAGGACATGCAATGATATACCAGATTGTCTTGACGCTAGTGATGAATCTGTCAGCTACTGCAGTAAGTCACTGCATATAATTATTGTGCTAATCGTGCTACTGCACCTCTTAATAGGAACATGTGGTGTATTCAGGCAGTAGAGCACACTTTTGATAAACTGTGTGTTAAGTTTGGAAGCATTGGTGGATAGAGGATCCCTGTGTCTAGTTAGCTCTGATGAGTATCTGATTCTTGACAATATAGTGATGACAATATACGAACTCTTCATACTCTGAAGACAGATAAACTGATGAACTCTAAAATTATTGTCTGAGTATGTTGTTGACATTAATGTCAAGAACCTGCCCCATTAGGTCTAAAATTACTGAATGCTATGTTCTCTTAAACGGATGGCATGGTTGGATATTAGCGTGATTGAATACTTACCAGAAATTCTTGAATTAGGATCCTGGGCTTACTGAGTCCACCCCTCTCATGGGTGCCTGACTTGCGTTAGGTAAAGTAAAGGTTGCTTGGAATAATGCTTACATTATTATCCCCTCACTTGTAAAGGTTACTAAAACAGGTCAATTCTACTTCGCCTGTACTTTACTTCTTTTGTTATCTCAGCCTCAAGAACATGCCCTATCAACTGGCACCAATGCCAGAACAGCAGCAGGTGCATCATGATGAACAGGCTGTGTGACTCGCGCAACGACTGCGGTGATGGCTCGGACGAGCTGGGCTGTGCATGTGCACCCAGTGAGTTCCAGTGCACTATAGGGATGTGCATCCTGGCCAAGTACAGGTGTGATTTTGACAGTGATTGTCCAGACCATTCTGATGAAATTGGCTGCAGTAAGTTTTTGGTTTTCTATCATCTTGTATGCATGAACTTAATGTTTTATTTACAATTTAAACATTATTGAAATTCTTGATTATTACATGTTGTAGTTATTATAATCTTTCAAAAAATCTGTTTATTTGTTTGAGATAAATATTTTTTTCTAAAACAATATTTTAATATCATTTTTAGAAACAAAGAAAACAATAATGTTTAAGGTTATCTCCCCTGTTAAGATTTACCTCCCCTACAAACTGTTTTCATCACTGCTTTGTTTTCGCCTTATCTCTTAGACAAGACCTGTGCTGAAATAGAGATAGGTAATGTCAAGCATGCAGGCTTGGTCTCATGCAACACCACATCCATGTGCATCTACCCCAACTGGATCTGTGATGGCAGCAACGACTGCTGGGATAACAATGATGAGGCAAACTGTGAGACTATTGGTGAGTTAACATTTGACCACTGGGATTATTTGTTTTTTTTCTCTTATTTTAGTCTTACCATTGAATTAATGAAAAGTTAACATTTTAAGAAGAAGAAAATAGTTCTTATAAAATCATGAACTGAAAATATTGTTTAGTTTCAAGGTAATTTTTTTCCTGCCAGGATAGCTGTTAGGATCAGGATTAGGTTAGCATCAAAATTAGGGTTAGAGTTATAATTAAGTTAGTCCTTATAACAAAAACATAGCTTTGATACAGTCTGCAAACATTTTGACTAATACTGAAAGGAATTATTCTTCTAACTTTAAAAGTAACAAAGCTTATACTGTAAATTGTATATGTACATACTGACCACTCACAAAACCACACAGATCAACTCACTTCTGGGTTAACATTTACTCACCTAGCACACAAAAGTTCAAGGCCTGTCACTACACTACACTAAATTACACTACAGTTCACAACCAGCTATACTACATTAACACACAATCCTCTGACCGGTGTGCTCTTTACCAGTTACTGAGATATACCCTATCCACATTACACTGAGAACCTGTGTCCATAAAACTTTTTTGTCCGTGTCCACAGTGCCTGCAGGCTGCACTGACCATGCCTTCACCTGCGATGATGGGAAGTGTATACTCCTGCAGTGGAGGTGTGATAGCGAGCTGGACTGCACTGATGGCTCTGATGAGAAAAACTGCAGTAAGATTTTTACTATGTTAATCAGCTTCAGAACATCTGGGCTTTGTGGGTGATATGCTTGCCCTTTGTTGGGGAGGGGGGTGGGGGAATATTTGCCCTATGTGGGCAGTTCATCTGGCTTTTGTGAGTAGTTCAACTGGCTTTTGTGAGTAGTTCAACTGGCTTTTTTGAGTTGTACATTAACCATTTGTGTGCAAATGGGTTTATTGTGGTGGTGCATATGCCCTTGTAAGTGGTACAATGTGAGCGGCTAACATGCCTGTATTGACAGGTAGCTACATTTTATGTTTACCTTTGTGAGTAATGTTAAAAGCCATGTGCGAAAGATTCCTTAACCCCATCTTGACACATAAAATGATACATCTAAATGACATTGTTTTAAATTCTTTCCTTTGTCAACTTTTTAAATGTGTTCCTGTTATTTTTAAACTGGCCATCTAATTATTGTTCCTTTTATTTTTAAAGTGGCCATCTAATTAAAGTTTTGTCATCTACTTGCAGCCTACAGTTGTGGGCCTGACCAGTTCAAGTGTGAAGAAACTGTCTGTATTCCAAAGTCTCATGTCTGTGATGGGAGGGAAGACTGTCCTAACGGCATCGATGAAAAACATAACTGTAAATATTATTTTAAAACTCTTTGTTTTTTTTTTTTGTTTAAGAAAATCTTAATTCAGTTGGTGGTGTATTTTACTAGTAAATGAAAAATATTGTTAGTATTGTTCAGGTGTAGTTTTTCTTTAACTAAATTTTATGGTTTTTAGTCTGATGTAATCAATGAGATAAAAAATGTATCTAACTACTGTAAACTTCTGATTTTACAATGCATTAATTCACAGCATTTTTAAAATTATACACATTTTAAAAAGATTAAGTTTGGTTTAGCTTTTATATATTTTATTAAATTGTTTTTTGTAATGCAGTGGTTTGTATTTTACTTAAATAAGAATTTTTTTTAAATTTAAAAGAAAGGTGCATTGGTTTGACTTACATTATATTAGATTTTTCATTTGCAGGCCTATTATATAAAAGATGGTCATTATTTATTTTTGTCAAGGTTCACTGAACTGCACAGATGATCACTTCAGGTGTGACAATGGGGTATGCATCTCCAGGGAGTGGCTGTGTGATGGGGAACACGACTGCTCCAATGGGGAGGATGAGAGGATGGATGACATTGCTAAATGTGGTCTGTACATTTTTATAACTTCTCTTTCAATCAATTATACAGTACTGAGTATAGGTGTGTTTGAATGTAAGAATTATGTAGATTTGTTTTTACACATAAGGTAAAGATCTTTGTTAGACTTAACAGTAACTCTTGGCAAGTGTACTAGAGTTCATGTGTTTCCGTGATCTTGTGAAGATAGTGTGGTCATCACGTAACGCAATGTTGCAACCACTCTTGCTGAAGATCTGCAAACCAGAACAAGTGTCTGCAAATTGGAAACTGTGATATCTAGTGGAGTTATTAAAGAAAAGTGACCTTTCTCAATGAAACCATTGGAGAGGAATCATGCAAGGTACTCATGAGAATATGCTTGAGAGGCTGACACAGGCCTTTCGACAAAACAATTAAATTCAGGCAGATTTTTGCCAGAACATGTCATGTACTGAGCACATAGCCACTATACACATATTTGTTGAACAGTCAATTGAGTGGCAATCCCCTTTCTACATGACTGTTGTCGATGTTGAGAAGGTATTTGATAGTGTGGACAGAGATGTTGTTTCTCCCTCCAAAATTCATCAACATCTTCCAGCAGCTCTTTAAAGACTCAAACTGTCAAATTATCCACACAAACAAGCTGACTAACAATTTTTTCTGCGAAAACTGAAGTACGTCAAGACTGCTCAGACCAAAAAGCTGGAATTCAGTTGGAGAACCAAAATATGTCTGTTTAATAGCAATGTGAAATCTGTTCTCCTCTATGGTTCTGAGACGTGGAGAGTAACACAACTAATTACATCAAACTTCAGACTTTCATTAAACGGATGCCTGGGTCGCATATCGAACATCAGGTGGTCTAAAAGATAAGCGATGCTGAACTGTGGAGAAAAACAGGGAAACAACCTATTGGTAAAAAGATTCAAAAGCGCAAATATTGATTGGGCACAATCTGCATAAACCAACTAGCAACATCACCAGACTTGTTCTAGATTGGAATCCCCAAGGAAAGAGGAAAATAGGTAGGCCAAATTAAATGTGGAAAAGGTCAGCTGTCAGTGAAGCAGAAACAGCTGGAATGTTGTGGGCCCAACTTGGAGGAATCGCCCAAAACTGAGACAAGGGGTCCAGGATTACGCTGATGATCACTAAACACATCTTCCTTTTCTTTTCCCCAACACAAGCCAGGTACCAATTAGAGCTGTGGATTCGGAAATAATTTGCTTGTTTATTCCTAGAGATTAAAACAGTACTGTTGATTCAATAAGGTCACCTTTATATCTACATGTATGATATGACAGCCACATCATCATAATCAGTACAAACTGCTTACATTATAGAACCTACAGCCTGTTCTTCTGACCAGTTCCTTTGTCTAAATCGGCGCTGCATCAGGAGTGAATATTACTGCGATGGTGACAATGACTGCGGAGATAACTCTGATGAGCCCAGTACTTGTGGTCAGTTTTATTTTTTTTTGGCTATTTTTTTAAAAAGATTCTTATTCCCTCTTGAAAGATTCTTTTGGGATTAAAAATTTGTAAAAGAAAATAAGCAACTAAGTTAGGATCTTTTGCTCACATCTGTAGGACATCTGAGTCCACTCATGTCTAATGGGATCCTGTCTCACCTAAGGGAAAAACAAACAGTGCTGACCACACTATCCCCTTGAGGTTGAAACAGATTAACTCTACTATATCTGCCTCATGTGTCTTGGGCACGAATAGGGAAAGATTATGAAACAAGATTTACCCTTTCTCAAATAGCTTATTTGTAATATAGACATTTTTCAAAATTGTTATTTTATAAGTGTTCCATAAAAGTTTAATTTAAAATATATAAAATTTTCAGTTCCGATGAACGGGGCGTGTAGTGAGAATGAATTTCAGTGTAAGAATGACCTCAAGTGTATTCCAGCAAGCAAGCGCTGCAATGGTAGATATGACTGCCAGGACAGCACTGATGAGATTGATTGCTCTGATGTAGAGGAGAGGTTCAACTTCTGCCAAAACAAATCTCTGTACCCGTGTGACAACCAGGTGTGCATTGAAGAAGATCTGCTGTGTAATGGTAAAGATGATTGTGGTGACAACTCTGACGAGCCAATCAACTGTGGTAGGTTTTCTGAAATTTTTATCTGGCTAATAATTTGGTAGATTTTGTTCATTTTTATCTGGCCAATTTAAAGGTTTTTATTTTGTAAATATTTCCTGTACTATGGTAGCTTTCCAGTGCTACATGTTTTCCTTCTCTCAGTACCCAATATTTCTGGTCCATGAGTGTAAGAGGGGGTTCAACTTTACTAGTGATATGGTACACCTAGCATCTAGCTCACAATTTCAGTTTTAAATTTCATTCGGCAAATTCTGTAATGTACATCAACATAATAACATACCCATCAAAACTATACTAACATTAACAGAAGGTCTGCCTAATTTTCAGCTAGTGACAGTGATCAGATGTACTTAAGCTTCCCCTTTTTTTGTCTAAAAATCAGTTATTGACCTTCGTTTATAATTTTTGTTTGTTGTCCAGGGATTGACGAGTGCAAGTCCAGACGTCCAGTTTGCAGTCAGGTTTGTGTGGAGAAAAAAATCGGCTATGAATGTAGGTGCAACCCAGGCTACACTTTCAACGACACCTTGGACACGGATACAAGCCAGAGGAATCAGATACTGAAAACTTCCCCCAACAGAAAGTGTGTTGGTAAGTGGAGGAACCATCAAAACTATTTTTAAAAATGTAATCATATTTTTAGTCTGGTCAAATGGTAGAGCATTCAACTGCTAACAAGAAAGTCTAGTTTGTATCCCGGGCTTGAGTCTGTAGGGAGTCCCTGAGTCCATCCAGCTCTGATGGGTGTCTGACTCAACTCTTGTTAGGGAAACGAAAGAAAATTCCTTTTATGTTATAAATTAAAATGGGACGGAGTGGTCTAGCGGTAGAGAGCTGGACTGCTAACCCGTAAGTCTCGAGTTCGAACCCGGGTTCAAGTCAGTAGACCGTCCCTGAGTCCACCCAACTCTGATGGGTACCTAACTCACGTTAGGGAAAGTAAAGGCGGCTGGGCATAGTGCTGACCACACTATCTCTTCATATGCTGAGGTCACAGAAACAGTTGAACTCTACTTCACTTGCCCCCTAGACAATCAGGTTTGAAAGGGAAACTTTACTTTTACTTTTTATAAATTAAAGGGACTGTTTTAGGTTAGTTTGAATGTTCTAGTATTTGTTGTTGTTGTCATTTGACTCATCCTTTCTGTATTTACTGTGTAGATGTGGACGAATGTTTGACCACCTACCCATGCAGTCAGTACTGCACCAACACAATTGGCTCATTCAAATGTAGCTGTGCTGATGGCTACATGATGCTGCCAGATGGAAGGTCTTGTGTGGTAGCTGATGGTAAGCTCATTGTGGATCACGTTGTTGCACAACTCATTAAGGTTTAGATCATTGTGGATCACGTTGTTGCACAACTCATTAAGGTTTAGATCATTGTGGATCACGTTGTTGCACAACTCATTAAGGTTTAGATCATTGTGGATCACGTTGTTGCACAACTCATTAAGGCTTAGATCATTGTGGATCACATTGTTGCACAACACATTAAGGTTTAGATCATTGTGGATCACGTTGTTGCACAACTCATTAAGGTTTAGATCATTGTGGATCACATTACATATGTTGCACAACTCATTAAGGTTTAGATCATTGTGGATTACATTGTTGCACAACTCATTAATGTTTAGATCATTGTGCTACATTTTTTATCATATACAATTAGATTATGAATCACATGACATTCTTGAATAATTTTTTTTTTTAACTTAGGCTAAAGTACTAGTAGTTTTTAATATAAATTTCTCATTTCCAAACAGAAATTGTTAAAGTGGTGTTAGCTTTTTAAAATAGATAACATACACATAAACAGAACACATCAAACTCTAACTCTTTAAATTATAAGAGGAAAACTTTAAAAAGTTCAAATTTAGTTTGCAAAAAATAAGCTAACTTGAAGTTCCCTGTATTCAGTATAGCTGCATTTTTTCTTCTTCTTTTTTAATTTTAATAGTTTGGGTATTTCCTCAAACGCAGATAAGTATCACAGGCCAACATTTTTTGTGCAACATTATCTTTTGCCTCAGACTTCAGTATGCTTTTTATCTGGATTTTCTTTTATAGCCTTTGTCCACACAAGAACAATCTGTGACATTTTTTTTCTCCCCTGAACAGGTATAGAGGTTTTGCTTCTAGTCTCCAACAGATACTACCTGCGCCTCATCAGCACCAACAGAAACAACGTCTCTACCTTCACCAGCGAGCTGAAGAACTCCGTGGCCGTGGACTACGACTGGAAGGAGCAGATGGTGTACTGGTCAGACATAACTAATGACAGGAGCAGCATCTCCAGGATGGGGGTCAACTTCACCTCCAGGCAGAACACAACTGTAACTTTCTTTTCATTATTTTGTTTAGGCACTTACCCTACAGCCATAGGTCAGATAGAGTTCAGCTGTTTCTTTGGTTTCATTATTTTGTTTAGGCACTTACCCTACCATCATAGGTCAGATAGAGCTTAGCTGTTTCTTTGGTTTCATTATTTAGTTAAGGCTCTTACCCTTTCATCATAGGCCAGTTAGAGTTCAGCAGTTTTTTTGTTTCATTACTTAGTTAAGGCACTTACCCTTTCATCATAGGGCAGTAGAGCTGTCATCTACATATGAAGGGATTGTGTATTGGCATTCTGCCAATCACCTTAAATTTTCCTTAATCTAAGCTGACTCATAATTAGAAGGACCAAACTCTAGGCTTTTAGATTGGCTATTTAGGGCTCTTTCATTTTCCCACAGTACCAAGTAACAATAATGCTATGAATCACCCAAGAAATGTTTAATTATTTCTTAATAATGACTTGATTTAATAGCGATATTTGACTAGATGCTTTACTAAATTAATATCAAACAATTCACTGCCTCTTACATAAGCATGGCATGATTTCTATTCATACTATGTAAAAAAAGTTTTATAACATTTGTCTGAGCTTTTGCATAACCACTAAAATAATTTCATAAAAAAAAAAAACACCTGAAAACAGTTCATTAAACTAAGTTAATTATTAACACTGACTCTATTTCTGTTTTCAAGGCACCAATGTACCTCCACACCAGCACAGTGCGTAACCCTGATGGCCTGGCCGTAGACTGGGTGGGGCGTAACTTGTACTGGTGTGATAAAACAACTGACACCATCGAGGTCTCCAAGCTGGATGGGAGATACAGGAAAGTTCTGCTCAGAAAACAGCTGCAAGAGCCTCGTGCTATTGAGGTCAGACATCAGCTGGTCTTTTCTTGTTGATATTTGTAAATAATATGTGTATAAAAATAATATAGGGGTGTAAATATATACAGGCATGTGGATGTGTATATATATATATATATATATATATATATATATATATATATATATATATATATATATATATATATATATATATATATATATACACACACACACATATATATATTATATATACATACATATATAAATATGTGTGTATATATATATATATATATATATATATATATATATATATATATATATATATATATATATATATATATATATATATATATATATATATATATATATGTATATATATATATATATGTATATATATATATATATATATATATATATATATATATATATATATATATATATATATATATATATATATATATATATATATATATATATATATATATATATATATATATATATATATATATATATATATATATATATATATATATATATATATATATATATATATATATATATATATATATATATATATATGTATATATATATATATATATATATGTATATATATATATATATATATATGTATATATATATATATATATATATGTATATATATATATATATATATATATATATATGTATATATATATATATATATATATATATATATGTATATATATATATATATATATATATATATATATATATGTATATATATATGTATATATATATATATATATATGTATATATATATATATATATAATTATCCTTTTGTATCTGGTGATCCACAAGGCAGATGAAGTAGAGTTTTAGAGTGACGGAACGCAAGATTCTTGGGTCAGTTGTTGTGTTTAATTTAAAACACCAATGCCCACTGTAGACCTGTTTCTGCGAGTGTCTGCCCTTCATAGTTGTTGCCACTGTTTCAGTTCACTGACTGCCCTTCATAGTTGTTTCCACTGTTTCAGTTCACTGACTGCCCTTCATAGTTGTTTCCACTGTTTCAGTTCACTGACTGCCCTTCATAGTTGTTGCCACTGTTTCAGGTGTTCCCGCAGAAGGGTCTCCTCTTCTTCACTGACTGGGGCAGCAACCCTCAAATCAGTCGTATGAACATGGACGGCACAGACCTGAGGGTGATAGTCAACCAAAGAATCGTGTGGCCCAATGGCCTCACCATTGACTACGTCACAGAGAAGGTACTGTTTGATTTCATATCATACTGAAAGTTGTAAGCGCGGGGCTTGTAAGAATAATTAGGTTAGGTTAGGTTTGCCTGTCGTCCCTACTTGGACATATGCCGCTGACAAGAGCTTTCGTAATAATGATTAGGGTGTATTTAAACATATTTTGTGCTAACTGGCTTAACCATAGTTCTACCAAATCAACGAAATGGCTCCATGGTCCAATCGATGATTGGATAATTGGGCCTTAGCAATCAAAGACCTGGGTAGTAAGTTGAGGCGAGCTATTTACCAAATTTTGTATCTATACTTTTTGATATGACACATCTCCTACTGTCTGCAAACAAATATTTTCACTGCTGACATTTTTAACCAATTAGGAATCATATCTTTCAGAGACCAAACCTTCAAAATAAGCAAAGTAATGAAAACATCTTTTGATAGGATTATTTGTCCATTGTCAGCATTTTGAATTAAGTACCTAGTGACAATGCGTTACAGTTATAATATGACAGTGTAATTTATATTTTTTGTTCTACTTTCCACTTAAACATTTCTTACTTCCCCTAGCACTAGTCTGTGCTCCCCTATGAAAGTACAATTCCCAGACACTTATAGCTTGTAACTAAAATTAAAATAACTTTGGAATTCCCATTTAATCCCAGTAAAACTTTTCACTGAGATAAAAATAGCCGTCTAGATTCCCATTTAATCCCTTTATTGTGTGTATCCCACAGTTGTTCTGGGGAGATGGATACTTGGATTATATTGGCATGTCAGACCTTGATGGCCAAAACTTCAGGTACATCATCAAAGACAACAGGAAATTACCACACGTCTTTGCCTTGGGTATATTTGAAGGTAAACATTTAACCCTTGTACCACCAAAGAACTTTGTACCACCTAACACTTTGCCTTTGGGTATTTGAAGGTAAACATTTAACCCTTGTACCACCGAAGAACTTTTTACCACCTAACACTTTGTTTTGTAGAGAAAATATCCTGAACAGTAATTGAAACTGTACAACACTTGACATGCAAAATAAATGGTTTTTTTTTCAAATTGCACCTTTTGTAACAAGCAAATTATTAGTACATTAAATGACAATCTACAAATGACTAGGGCAACAAATGACGAGGGCAACAAATGACTATGGCAACAAATGACTAGGGCAACCAATGACTTGAACAACAAATGCCATTGTGACAAATGCCATTGTGACAAATACCATTGTGACAAATGCCATTGTGACAATTACCATTGTGACAAATGCCATTATGACACATGCCATTGTGACAAATGCCATTATGACACATGCCATTGTGACAAATGATGTGCAACAAGCCACTCTGTTCCCCAGGACTGCTGTACTGGACAGACTGGGAGCGCAGCAGTATACTGTCTGCCTACAAGTTCTCTGGCAGCAACATCACCAGGAAAACCTACTTTGTCCAGAAGCCAATGGACATCCATGTTGTCCATCCATTACGACAAGTACCAGGTGGGTGTCTGGCCACCCATTATCTAATTAGCTGACCATCCATCAAAAGTACAATTAAAGTTTTCATTTAATTGTCCCCCCATTACATTTATACCATCCTTGTTGGTCTGATTCTCATTCCATTGATTGTACAATATCCAACATGTGATACAAGTAGCAAGAAACAAAAAATCACAGGACCTTGGTTCAATCTGAAATATTAGTAGCACCAACTCTTAACCAAAATTAGTAGCATCAACATATCTAATGTATTCTCATTCTATTTTAAACTTATAAGATTTGTTTGTTTTAAAAAATATGATCATTGAAGATACCGATGTCTAATAAAAATAGGTGTGTTAGGTTGTTGGTAGTATTGAAATGGTATAATTATGTATGTTAGGACTAGGGGTAGAATTAGCATTGACATTAGCAAGTCATAAGTGTATTTAGTTAGCCACCAGTAACCTAACCCCCCCCCCCCCTTTTTTTTTTAAAAAGAAGATTCTATTATTATCTCATTACCTGACATTGGGCATAGTGCTGATCACACTATCTCATCATATGCTGAGGTCACGGAAACAAGTGAACTCTACTTCACTTGCCCCATAGACCGTCAGGTTTGAAAGGGAAACTTTATTTTACTTACCTTACACTGGTATAAGAACTCCACCACAAAAGAACAGAGTAAACCAGTGTGAGCAAGGTAAAAAAATGTTATAGTGAAGTTCTTTCTGTTTTGTTTATTGTAGTTGTTGACAAGCAAGGCCTGAGCCCCTGTGACTACAAGATGTGCACACACCTGTGCCTGCTGAGGCCTGCGGAAAACGGACAGGGCGTGGAGGCTGTGTGTGACTGCCCAGAGAACCACTACCTGGCCGAGGACAAGAGGTCATGTGTGTCCAATTGTACCAGGTGAGGTTTTATTTTTTTTTACCTGGTGGGTGTGGTCTCAACTTGACTTTTCATCAAAGATCATTATTAGGCTGATTAGATTAAAAGTGATTCAGCTTAATTAATTTGGCTAATTATACAAGTTAGTATTTGATAGGGTTAGTTGTACAAGATGGATTTGGTTGACTTAATAATATATTACTGAATATTTTCAAGGATAAGGGGAAATAACCAATACTCAACATAACTAGTTTTTACTTTCTCGTATATACGAAGTATAGAGAAAGTCTTGTAATCACTGATACGGAAAAACATAGTTTTGCAATCTTGTCCGTATGTCTGTGTGTCTGTCTCTGTGTGTGTGTGTGTCGATCTGTGTGTAAACACGATAACTTGAGTACCATTACAGCTAGGTTGATGAAATTTCGTATATAAGTATTTTATCAAAATCGTAGATCCGTATCAACTTTTGAGCGATTTCCGATAACCGGAAGTGGTACTTTTTCTACTTTGAATTGTTCAAAAGCCTATAACTTACGTACTATTTAGGATAGATAATTAAATTTCACATGTAAGTAAAAGATGTAATTATCTAACTTCTGTCAAATTTTGAGTAATTTCCGTTGACTGGAAGTACTAATTTACATTATTTCCGATTGCTCAAAAAACGCATGTAAATTTATAAAGTACTAATAATATTGCGCACTATTTTGCACATTTTGTTTTGGCGCTCGTTTGGTGCGCAATTCTTTTTTCTATGAGATTCTATTCTATTTTTAAAAGTTTAAGTAATTAAAAATCATGTCTATATTCTAAGTTATATAAGAATATTCGAGAAAGTTTAGGGGAGATCACTCCCGGTTTATTTTATACAGGGTTCATATACAAAATTATAGATTGTTATTGTTTAATTTTTTTTTTTAAATATTTCAAAGTTAGGTTTTTAAAGTATTAGACTTAAAAACATCATGTTTTTATGAATATAAAGGCTGAGGTGTTTTTAAAATCAAACATTTCAGCTCCCAGATCCTGTGTGCCACCAGCTCCACCTGTATTCCATTCTGGTGGAAGTGTGACAACCACAGGGACTGTGAGGATGGCAGCGACGAACCTGAGGGAGAGTGTGGTAGGTTTTGTGTGTTATGTGGTGGGTTTTGTGTGTTATCTGGTGAGTTTTGTTTGTTTTCTGGTGGGTTTTGTTTGTTATCTGTGGTAGGTTTTGTTTATCTGTAGTAGGTTTTTATCTGTGGTAGGTTTTGTTTGTTATCTGTGGTAGGTTTTGTTTGTTATCTGGTGGGTTTTGTTTGTTATCTGTGGTAGGTTTTGTTTGTTATCTGTGGTAGGTTTTGTTTGTTATCTGTGGTAGGTTTTGTTTGTTATCTGTGTTAGGTTTTGTTTGTTATCTGGTGGTAGGTTTTGTTTGTTATCTGGTGGGTTTTGTTTGTTATCTGGTGGGTTTTGTGTGTTATCTGTGGTAGGTTTTGTTTGTTATCTGTGTTAGGTTTTGTTTGTTATCTGTGGTAGGTTTTTGTGTGTTATCTGGTGGGTTTTGTGTGTTATCTGTGGTAGGTTTTGTTTGTTGTCTGGTGGGTTTTGTTTGTTATCTGGTAGGTTTTGTTTGTTATCTGGTAGGTTTTGTTTGTTATCTGGTGGGTTTTGTTTGTTATCTGTGGTAGGTTTTGTTTGTTGTCTGGTGGGTTTTGTGTGTTATCTGGTGGGTTTTGTTTATTATCTGTGGTAGGTTTTGTTTGTTATCTGGTGGGTTTTGTTTATTATCTGTGGTAGGTTTTGTTTGTTATCTGGTGGGTTTTGTTTATTATCTGTGGTAGGTTTTGTTTGTTATCTGGTGGGTTTTGTTTATTATCTGTGGTAGGTTTTGTTTGTTATCTGGTGGGTTTTGTTTGTTATCTGGTGGTAGGTTTTGTGTGTTATCTGTGGTAGGTTTTGTTTGTTATCTGTGGTAGGTTTTGTGTGTTATCTGTGGTAGGTTTTGTTTGTTGTCTGGTGGGTTTTGTGTGTTATCTGTGGTAGGTTTTGTGTGTTATCTGTGGTAGGTTTTATTTGTTATCTGTGGTAGGTTTTGTTTATTATCTGTGGTAGGTTTTGTTTTTATCTGTGGTAGGTTTTGTTTTTATCTGTGGTAGGTTTTTATCTGTGGTAGGTTTTTATCTGTGGTAGGTTTTTATCTGTGGTAGGTTTTTATCTGTGGTAGGTTTTGTTTGTTATCTGTGGTAGGTTTTGTTTGTTATCTGTGGTAGGTTTTGTTTGTTATCTGTGGTAGGTTTTGTTTGTTATCTGTGGTAGGTTTTGTTTGTTATCTGTGGTAGGTTTTGTGTGTTATCTGTGGTAGGTTTTGTTTGTTATCTGTGGTAGGTTTTGTTTATTATCTGTGGTAGGTTATTTTTGTTACATGTGGTAGGTTTTGTTTATCTGGTAGGTTTTTGTTTTTCATATGTGGTAGGTTTTGTTTTTCATATGTGGTAGGTTTTGCTTGTTATCTGGTAGGTTTTGTTTATCTGGTAGGTTTTGTTTAACTATGGTTGGTTTTGATTGTTCTCTGCAGTAGGTTTTGTTGATCTGTGTTAGGTTTTGCTTTTCATCTGTGGTAGGTTTTGTTTGTTAGCTGTAAACATCTTTTAGCTATTTTACCTGTAAACTATTTTACCCTCTGTTACCTGTAAACTTATGTACTGTTCTACCTGTAAACTAGTGTACTTATGTTATCTGTAAATGATGGACTCTGTTTGTGTACATAGAACCATACCACTGCAGTAGTGCCGGCATGTTCCAATGTGGCAATGCAACATCCTCATCAGACTGCCTACTCCCCAACCAAATCTGTGATGGTACACAGCAATGCACAGATAAGTCTGATGAACTGTACTGTGGTATGTATCTGTTATCATTCTTTTATACTGCTATATTTATCTGAAAGTTAGTCCATTTCTGAATGCATTTGTCTTTGTAATATTGAATTGATTAATGATTAGATAGTAAACACATTTTTTTTAAAATGCATGTTATAAAAAAACAAAGTTGCTTCCTTTTGTTCAGGAATGGGTTTGTAAACTGGAAGTGGGGGCTTAGGAGGGAATGAGAAGACAAATTTAACTTTTTAAAAAAGGAACCTAATTTCAGATAAAGTATTGTGGTAGTGTCTAGGGTTTAGCATCTATACACTAAGATAATGTCATTCGGTTACCTTTCAATTTCCATATGAAATTGAGGTTCCCGTTCCGGTTAAAGCTCCTGTTTACGGTTATTCATACTGTTCTTGTTAAATTTTCAGTTCAGATTAAGTTTTCTGTTCCAATTAAATTTCCAATTCCTGTTCCAAGGTTTAGGTTAAATTCAGGTTTATGTTGAGTTGAAGGTAAAAGTTCTGGTTGTGGTTAAAATTCGGGTTAAAAGTTCCAGTTCTGGGTTTTAGTTCGTTTAATTTCCAGTTTCAATTTCAGGTTCTGGTTAAATTCATGGTTCGGGTTAAGCTTCTGTTTTTTATTTAATTTTCATTTCCATTTAAAGTTTTGATTTAGTTTAATTGTTATTTAGGGTTGAATTTCCGGTTCCATTTAAAGTTCTGGCTTTTGTAAATTTGCGGTTCTGGATAAAGGTCACCTCCCAGACTAATTATCAGTTTCTGGTTTAATTTTGGTTCCAATTGAGATGTTTGGGTTTAGATTGAAGTGGCGGTTTTAGAGAAAAAAAAAGAAACACTAATATCTTACCATTTGTTGTATTTCTTTTTAAAATGTCTAGTTGATTTGGATAATTTTCCTTAATTTATGTTTGTTTTGTTTAGCTAACTACCAAATTGTCCAATGTAATAATTTTTAACTAAGACAAAGTATCCTTAAACTTTCCCCTAGCCAACTACACCTGCATGGACCACTATTTCAAATGTCATCAAGACAATATTTGCATACCGCAACAGAAAGTGTGTGATGGACAAAATGACTGCCCAGTAGGCAAAGAGGATGAGAAATCTTGTGGTAAAGCTAATTGTTTTTACATTACTTGGATGCTACTGCAATTATTGGCCTGAACAGCTTTAAGGACTAAGCCATTTTTTCTAGCAGTTACAGTAGTTTAGATACACTATTTTAATGTATAAATTCTGTGTCATACTTTATTTTTATTTTTCTAAAACTATTTCCATGACATGTGCCAAGGCCAGCCACTCTAAAATATCTAATTGTTCTGCTTAGTTGTCTCCCTTGATTTAGATTTCTTAATGAACAATTACAGTAAAAAATAATGTTTTTTTTTAATTGTATTCTAACAGAGGCTGTTGAATGCCTGCCTGGTCAGTTCAGCTGTAATAACAGCCGGTGCATTCCGTATGTCTGGAAGTGTGACGGGGATCACGACTGCACTGACAAAAGTGACGAGGACAATAACTGTATGCATGCAACATGTCCCCCAGATTTCTTCAAGTGCAAGTCATCAGGAAGGTGCATACATGAGGTAGGTGGGAGTAGACATTGTCTCAGTGTCTGTGGGATGCAGTTCAAGCATCTGGTTGCTAAACCAAAGCCCTCAAATTCTACTCTAGTCTCAGTGTTTGTGGGATGCAGTCAAAGCATCTGGTTGCTAAACCAAAGCCCTCAAGTTCTACTCTAGTCTCAGTGTCTGTGGGATGCAGTCAAAGCATCTGGTTGCTAAACCAAAGCCCTCAAGTTCTACTCTAGTCTCAGTGTCTGTGGGATGCAGTCAAAGCATCTGGTTGCTAAACCAAAGCCCTCAAGTTCTACTCTAGTCTCAGTGTCTGTGGGATGCAGTCAAAGCATCTGGTTGCTAAACCAAAGCCCTCAAATTCTACTCTAGTCTCAGTGTCTGTGGGATGCAGTCAAAGCATCTGGTTGCTAAACCAAAGCCCTCAAGTTCTGTTTGTGTATGTTGGACTTTATAGTCCACACTGCTCTGATGGGCTCCTGACTTGGGTCAGATAAAGTAGCAGTGACTGGGCTAACTAATGACCACACAAGTTGTTTTATGTGCTGCCCTAAAGTAATATGTGGGATCTACTTGATCTTCACTATGGGCTTTAACGTACAAACTCTACTCTCGTGGTCATCGGAATAACACATACACTACTTACAGCACCACATACACTTCTTACAGCACCACATACACTTCTTACAGCACCATATACACTTCTTACAGCACCACATACACTACTTACAGCACCACATACACTACTTACAGCACCACATACACTTCTGACAGCATCACATACACTACTTACAGCACCACATACACTAATTACAGCAGCTGCTCTTGTGAACAACATGCACACCTCTTGCAGCTGTTGAGAATTCAAATCCGTGCAGCATTAAAACATTCCCTTGAATCAATTCCCTGACATAATGTCTACGTAGTTTCTTTGTTTTATTTTGGTTTATTTTCTTACAGAACTGGAAGTGTGATGATGATGCTGATGTAGTTTCTTTGTTTTATTTTGGTTTATTTTCTTACAGAACTGGAAGTGTGATGATGATGCTGATGTAGTTTCTTTATTTTATTTTGGTTTATTTTCTCACACAACTGGAAGTGTGATGGTGATGTAGTTTCTTTATTTTATTTTGGTTTATTTTCTCACAGAACTGGAAGTGTGATGGTGATGCTGATGTAGTTTCTTTGTTTTATTTTGGTTTATTTTCTCACAGAACTGGAAGTGTGATGGTGATGCTGATTGCGGAGATCAAGATTCCTCTGATGAAAGTGATGAAGAATGCCGTAAGGAAATTAAAATTATTTTTTACTCTATCTAAAACTCACTCTGCACACAATTTTAAACATTTAAGGACTTTTTTCAGAAGAATCATATTATAAATAAAATACTTAAAAAAACTTTTTAAAAAACCACGTTTTTCTTGTGGACTAAAAAGTAGAAAATAACTATTTACATACATTTGATGACAAAAAACGTGGGTACGTTCACCATCAAATTTCCCGACCCATCTGCCCGACCCACGTTTTTTGTCATCAAATGTATGTAAATAGTTATTTTCTACTTTTTAGTCCACAAGAAAAACGTGGTTTTTTAAAAAGTTTTTTTAAGTATTTTATTTTCTCCTTTTTAGTCCGTTGCTACACATGAAAAACGTGGTTTTTAAAAAAAGTTTTTTATATAGTTTATTTTCTACTTTATCCAATGACTTGATTAAGTATGACTTGACTAAGTGTTTATAAATACACGGACTAAAAATCTTGAGCGACCAGGATTCGAACCTGGGTTGTCGCGGCCACAACGCGAAGTACTAACCACTATACGATCACGGCCAGCGCGCTCACATCGATTGGGGCCGAAGTAACTGTGTCAATAGGTCTTCAGTCTTGTCGGTATCTTTAGAAATCATGTCCTCAATTTTATGGTCCTTAGGGCGTAATTAAATTAAGCTAATTACGGTCTCTAATTGCTAGTTTTTATGATTGCATCTGAAATTGTTAGGCGAAAGTAACCTGCATGCCAAATTTCAGATCTATAGAGCAATCAGAAGTGGGCTAATTTTCGATGTCAATTTTAACAACAAACAAACAAACAAACGCGAAGCTGAGTTAAGAAAAACGTGTTAAAAAAACATGTAAAATACTTTAAACGTTTAACATTTGTGTCAGGGGTAGGCATGTAGATACAAAGTTTAATTACAGGCTATGCTGTCATTTTTAACTTTCAGTATATTCTTGCACCCACCAAGCTCTACTAAATACTTGACATTAGTTTCTGGAAGTAAATAAAAAGCGAACAGATACACTAATATTAATAAAAAAAGTTTTTTGTGATAATTTTTATAAATAATTAATAGAAGTTAAGACAGATCTGTTTCTTCTGTGTCCATAAACATCAGCCTTCTCACTTTACTCTCTCATCCTTTAAAAACTTTCTTTGGGAACTTGATCAAATTTATTTGTGTCATTTTGGGAACTTGATCAACTTTATTTGTGTTTGAACTCAGATGGACTAACATGTGAGCCAACGTTCTTCCGCTGTACAAACGGACACTGCATCCCTGGACGCTGGAGGTGTGACAACCACGATGACTGCAGGGATGGCGGGTCTGATGAAATGGATTGCTGTAAGATATTTTTTATTACAGTCTCTTTGGATGGTTGATATAAATTGTCTTTGGAAGTAAGCACTTACATTCACTGGATATAAATATCCATTCTTCACCTGCATACATATATCCATTCTCATAAGCATCCACTGTATAGTTTTTTTGGTATCGATTGTTAAACTTCCAATCAATAAGATTTCCTTCATATAATTTCTTGAAATAATTTCTTTTCTAACTTCCAGTTAAGAAGATTTCCTTCATATAATTTCTTGAAATAATTGCTTTTCTAACTTCCAGTTAGATTTCCTTCATATAATTTCTTGAAATAATTGCTTTTCTAACTTCCAGTTAAGAAGATTTCCTTCATATAATTTCTTGAAATAATTGCTTTTCTAACTTCCAGTTAAGAAGATTTCCTTCGTATAATTTCTTGAAATATTTGTTTTTCTAACTTCTAGATAAGAAGAACTGCACCAGTGATGAGTTCATGTGTCAGCATGGTAAATGTATCCCACTGAGTCTCAAGTGTAATGGGGTGTTTGACTGTGCGGACAGATCTGATGAGCTGAAGTGTGGTGAGTTTTTTGTAGTCAGGGCAGAATTTAGTGAGTGGAGTGGTCCACAATTTTTTAACTAGGGTGGACAGGGCAGTATTTAGTGAGTGGAGTGGTCCACACTTTTTTAAACTGGGGTGGACAGGGCAGTATTTAGTGAGTGGAGTGGTCCACAATTTTTTTAACTGGGGTGTACAGGGCCCAGGGGAGTAAACTAGAACATTCCAGTAGTTTTGACTCAAGTTTTACTTCTGTTGGGTGAGGTCTTTTAATTATGGACAAGATAAGAGAGCATGGTATTTGGAACTGTTTTTATTTTCAAAAAATTTTTTTGGCTGGTGTGGTCATATGGAACATTAAAAAGTTCTAATCCCAAAGTCACAGGTTTTGTCCTACTGTGAGTGGGATACCCCAAAGTCACAGGTTTTGTCCTACTGCTAGTGGGATACCCCAAAGTCACAGGATTTGTCCTACTGTTAGTGGGATACCCCAAAGTCACAGGTTTTGTCCTACTGTTAGTGGGATACCCCAAAGTCACATGTTTTGTCCTACTGTTAGTAAGATACTCCAAAGTCACAGGTTTTGTCCTACTGTTAGTGGGATACCCCAAAGTCACAGGTTTTGTCCTACTGTTAGTGGGATACCCCAAAGTCACATGTTTTGTCCTACTGTTAGTGGGATACCCCAAAGTCACAGGTTTTGTCCTACTGTTAGTGGGATACCCCAAAGTCACAGGATTTGTCCTACTGTTAGTGGGATACCCCAAAGTCACAGGTTTTGTCCTACTGTTAGTGGGATACCCCAAAGTCACAGGTTTTGTCCTACTGTTAGTGGGATACCCCAAAGTCACAGGATTTGTCCTACTGTTTTTGGGATACCCCAAAGTCACAGGTTTTGTCCTACTGTTAGTGGGATACCCCAAAGTCACAGGATTTGTCCTACTGTTAGTGGGATACCCCAAAGTCACAGGTTTTGTCCTACTGTTAGTGGGATACCCCAAAGTCACAGGTTTTGTCCTACTGTTAGTGGGATACCCCAAAGTCACAGGTTTTGTCCTACTGTTAGTGGGATACCCCAAAGTCACAGGATTTGTCCTACTGTTAGTGGGATACCCCAAAGTCACAGGTTTTGTCCTACTGTTAGTGGGATACCCCAAAGTCACAGGTTTTGTCCTACTGTTAGTGGGATACCCCAAAGTCACAGGTTTTGTCCTACTGTTAGTGGGATACCCCAAAGTCACAGGTTTTGTCCTACTGTTAGTGGGATACCCCAAAGTCACAGGTTTTGTCCTACTGTTAGTGGGATACCCCAAAGTCACAGGATTTGTCCTACTATTTGTGGGATACCCCAAAGTCACAGGTTTTGTCCTACTGTTAGTGGGATACCCCAAAGTCACAGGATTTGTCCTACTGTTAGTGGGATACCCCAAAGTCACAGGTTTGGTCCTACTGTTAGTGGGATACCCCAAAGTCCATCCAGCTTTAATGGGTAACTGGCCTCAGTTAAGGAAAAGTAAAGACAGCTTAGCCCAACTATACTCGTTCATAAGCCAAAACCCAACAAACTAATGAACTGAATTTCATCAAAGTCAAAAACCAAGCAAAGTTGGATGCATTCAATTATAATTTAAATATTGTAAACTTATTTTTAAAGCCAGTGAAAAGTCATGTTGTGTAGTTAGACAAAAGCTCTACACAAACTAATCTAACAACTTACTTCCTCGTGTAAACGTTCAGAATTTTTTGTGTGCAATAATTGATGAATCTGTGGTTCTACGCTAATAATGTGAGCAATGTTGAAATGTTTAGCTCTGAACTGCAACAAGACAGAGTTCAAATGTAGCTCAGTGGCGCAGTGTATTCCCCTCAAGTGGCAGTGTGATGGGGAGACTGACTGCACTGATGGCACGGATGAGCTGAATTGCAGTAAGTGTTTGTTTGTGTGTTTGTTTGTGTGTTTGCATGTTGCATGATAGTGTAGAATAGAGAGAGGGCATCATTGGTCCATATGTTTTTTGGGATCATGGGAACTATTAATCATTGGTCCATATAATGGGACAGCGAGACCTAGTGGTAGAGTGCTAGACTTCTAACCTGAAAGTCTCGAGTCTGAATTCAGATTCAAGTCAGTTGGACGTCTCTGAGTCCACCCAGCTCTGATGGGTACCTAACATTAGAGAAAGTAAAGGCTGTTGGGCATAGTGCTGACCACACTATCTCTTCATATGCATAGATCATAGAAACAAGTGAACTTTCCTTCACTTGCCCCATGGACTGTCTTGTTTAAAAAAAAAATAAAACTACTTTTTACTTACAATGTGCTGTGGGGGGTGCTTGGAGATTAGTTATGATATATGCTAAGCAAATGGAAGAGCTAAGCCACACACCTCTTTTATATAACAATCAGAGTGAGGACACCTAAATACATCCATAAACATCTACTCATCATATTGTATACTTATTATATAGTAACAATATTTTCTTAAATGTATATTATATAGTTCCACACTTACAACATAGGATATTTTGTACAACAAGATGGCCTCAGGTTACAATCTATTGAAATATTCCCTATCACACCTAGTAATTTCTTTTGTTTATAATCTGATGAAAAATTGTACTGGCTACAAATTGTGTGGTCCACACTTACAACACAAGCTATTTTGTACAACAAGATAGCTACGGATTACAATCTATTGAAATGCTCCCTATCACACCTAGTAATTTCTTTTGTTTATAATCTGATGAAAAATTGTACTGGCTACAAATTGTGTTGTCACTCACAGCACGAAGCTGTACAGAGAAGGAATTCAAGTGTAACAACACCCTGTGTAAGCCCAGAGACTGGCAGTGTGATGGCGACGACGACTGCGGCGACAACTCCGACGAAGACGAGACATTCTGTTGTGAGTATGGCACATCAGAATCTTATTAGAGTGTTTTGGAATAATATGTGGTGTTAGAATCATATGTGGTATTAAAATCACATGTGGTGTATGAATATATATTAATTTTTAGCAGCATTCAGGTACAAAACATAACAAATTTGCTAATACAAGAAAAATTTTGTTTTAAAATTTAAAAACACAACTCATCTTTGCTAATCAAGAGAATGATATAGTATTAATAATTATAGAGCATTTTTTTAAAACTTAACTTTCTGAGGGAAAAAATGTTATTTTTTATATATCTTTCCTTTCAATTTTGCTTCTGTCTGTATTTTAGGCTTTGAAAATAACCCGAGAGGGACATCAAAAGTTATAAACTTTCAGCAGGGTTTCTAAAAAAAAGGCTCTTTAACTTAAATCTATAATAAACTTGTGCTGTCTTTAACATACATCACATAGTCATTCACCTGCGCTGTCCATTATTTCAGCCATGATTGCCTGCCCACCTGGTAAATACAGGTGTAAGACACACAAGTGTATCTGGAACAGTATGGTGTGTAATGGTCATCAGGATTGTCTAGATGGGGACGATGAAGACCCACGTATCTGTAAGTATTAGTTTATTTTTGTATTGAGTGTACTGTGTCAGTAAGGAAATGTAGTGTCTGTGTTGAAGTGTACAATATCAGTCAGTATTTATGTAAACAGTATTAATTAGTAATGATGTGTGCAATATCAGTCAGTATTTATGTAAAAAGTATTAATTAGTAATGATGTGTACCATATCAGTTAGTAATGATGTGTACAATATCAGTTAGTAATGATGTATACAGTGTAAGTCAGTGTTTATGTATACAGTATCCTTCAGTAATGATCAGTCAGTATTTATGTATACAATATCAGTAATGATGTATACAGATTCAGCCAGTAACGAAGGATATGATATCTGTCAGAAATTAAGTATACAATATTAGTCAGAAATTAAATGTACACTATCTGTCAGTAATGATGTATACAGGTTCAGCCAGTATTGAAGTATATGATATCAGTCAGAAATTAAATGTACACTATCAGTCAGTAAAGAATTATACACTTTCAGTCAGTAATGATGTATACAGTATCAGTCAGTAATGATGCAAACAGTGTAAAGTTTTGTGTGCTGCAGGTTCCAAGGTCCAGGTCTGTGGCAGCCCTAACTTTGCCTGTGACCAAAACACCAAGTGCCTGCACCTGTATCAGGTGTGTGACAACAACAAGGACTGCTCTGATGGCTCAGATGAAAACAAGACCATGTGTGGTATGTTGTTTGTTTGATGGCTCAAATAAGACCATGTGTGGTATGTTGTTTGATTGATGGCTCAGATGAAAACAAGACCATGTGTGGTATGTTGTTTGATTGATGGCTCAGATGAAAACAAGACCATGTGTGGTATGTTGTTTGATTGATGGCTCAGATGAAAAACAAGACCATGTGTGGTATGTTGTTTGATTGATGGCTCAGATGAAAACAGGACCATGTGTGGTATGTTGTTTGATTGATGGCTCAGATGAAAACAAGACCATGTGTGGTATGTTGTTTGATTGATGGCTCAGATGAAAACAAGACCATGTGTGGTATGTTGTTTGATTGATGGCTCAGATGAAAACAAGACCATGTATGGTATGTTTGTTTGATTGATGGCTCAGATGAAAACAGGACCATGTGTGGTATGTTGTTTGATTGATGGCTCAGATAAGACCATGTGTGGTATGTTGTTTGATTGATGGCTCAGATAAGACCATGTGTGGTATGTTTGTTTGGTTTGGTTACAAGACTTGAAGACACTTATCATGTCATTCAAGTTCTATGTTCCCAGACAGAACCCCAACATTTGGTGGGCCTACTGTGTCATGCAGTATACGAATGTTCAGGTCATGTTACAGACTATTTATACATTTCTAATCAAGAGTCAAGATGACCACCCTGCCTGCTATTGTTACCTATAAAAAAAAAAAATTTATTTCCAAAAGTCATGAAAAAAAGACCCTTCTATTAATGATAGAATAAAATATAATTTTTTAGATTGTTTCTCATTCTCTTATGATCCTGTTTTATGTGTATTTTCAAATAAAAGAGATCTTAATAAAATTGTAACATCCCTTTTAGGATTGTTTAAAAAACCAAAACAATCCATTAAACAAAACTTGGTAATTTCAATGTTTTTAAATGTAGTTTACCCACTCTCATAATAGCTTACAACTCTTTAAAATCTATAAAGCTTTCATAGAAAGTAAAGTACTCCTTTGAGCCTGATGGTTGGATGAGCAGGTGAAGTAGAGTTCACCTTTTTCAATGACCTCTGCGTATGAAGGGATAGTGTAGTCAGCACTATAACCAGCCGACTTTTCCCTAATGTGAGACAGGTACCCACTAGAGCTGGGTGGACTCACAGAAGCTATACTGAGATGAACCCAAGGAAGGAACTTGAGACTTTTAGTTAGCAGTCATATGCTCTACCATCCAACCACGCAAACCACACCCCCCCCCCCATCAAGTTTAAGTGCAAGTCTGTTAATACTACACACTGACTTGTGAAAATAACTCATCTGTACAAACATTTCTGCAGAGGCATTTAACAGCAGCAAAACAAACAACTGCTCAGTGAACAATGGTGGCTGTCAACATGGGTGTGTTAACACGTCATTTGGTCCCCTGTGTACGTGTAAGGAAAACTACGTGTTGAACCCTGACGGAATGACGTGCTCAGGTACGTACTTTGTTTAATTTCAGATCATTTCAACTTTTACACACAAAATCTCAACTAAAAATAACATTAATTTTTTAAAGTTGCCATTTTTAAACTGTCCCATTGCCCCCCTTTACTATATGAGTCCACCCAGCTCTAATGGGTACCTAACATAATGTTGGGAAATTAAAATGGGCTGTGCATAGAACTAACCATGCTATCCCTTCATATAAAAGAGATCACAGATGTAGTAAAAAGAGTAACAGCATTTGTAACTTGTCAAGTAATAATATAGGAGGAACTGTTTGTGATCTGTACACAAAATCCCATAGTTAATACCTTACACCCCCCCCCCCCCCCATCCTAACTTTATGTAATATCATAGTTGATACCCTACACCCCCATCCTAACTTTATGTAATCCCATAGTTGTCACCCTCAAACTTTATATAATCCCACATTAATGACCCCCCCCCCCCCATTTCTGTAATCCCGCAGTTGACAACCCATGTAACCACTACAACAGCTGCTCACAGTACTGCGAGTATAACCGTAATGAAAATAAAAAAAACTGCACCTGCGCTAAAGGCTATAAGGCTGTGGATGTTAATGATGGAAACAGAAAGGCTGTTCATCAACACTGTTTAGCTGATGGTAAGTTATGTTCTATCTTCTTCTTTGTTTTTAATTTTTAGTGTTGGAAGGGATCGAGCCTTATCTGCCAGAGGGTTTGAACTTGAGACTTTTTTGAATTTATCAACAATGAGATTTTGCCGACTCGACCACGCCTCCATCACAATTAAGGATACGTGTCAACTGGTTATGCGCCATTGAGGCCATTGACTCCAATTTCAGCCTGCTTTTCTTTTTGGATTTGCTTCCATAGCCTTTGTCCAACCAAGAACAAACTACAAGACAGCAGTTGTTTGATTTTGGAGTTGTCTCTCCTAGAAGAGTGGCTGTCCCCAGCTAATGAGCCTCATCTGCCCGAGGGTTCGAACTCGAGACTTTTTTGTTTTAACAACCATGAGCTTTACCGATTTGACGATGCCGACCCCCTCGTTCTATCTAATAACCCTTAATCTATTGGATGCTTTATTTAGAGCAGGAATTTGATTGGCTCAAATCTATAGTTGTCACATTGACTATTATTATGTTGCTATATTCAAACTAAATTTGATTTGTAAAGCTTGTGACACCTGAGCCCACCCAGCTCTAATGGGTACCTGACTAACGTTAGAGAAATCAAGCTAGTTGGGCATAGTGTTGACCACACTATCCACTCACATGTCAAGGTCATTGAAACTCTACTTCATCTGCCCCATGTGTCTTGGGTACAAACAGGAAAAGAAGATGAAATAACAAAACAGTATGGTTATTGTGATCAGTTTCAAATTTTAAAAAAAACATCTTGAGTTGGTAAATTTTACTTTTCTTGTATTGACTTGATTGAGATTGAAACACTGACTTTTAAACATCATACAAATAAGTTTGTATAAGGTCTGGGAATTGTAAGAAAAATCATGTTTTTACTAATATAAAATATAGTTTCATAGTGTATTTTCAAAAATAGTTATATATATATACAACATTTTAAGTTTTTACTCAATGAAACATTTTAAAAATGTATTATTCAAAAAAAAGTTATAATTCTAATTTAATGATGATTTGAAATACTCTTACCATTTTACTTCCAACTCTATTTTGTTTGAATAACTTGTATTCACATTTTAAAATGTGCTTAAAATAGGCCAGGAGCCCAGAGTTCTAATAGCTCAGAGAGATCATGTCATCCTACGACCCACGTTATACGACAACAAGACTGAGATCATCACACCTACGGTAGGATGAACTGCTGTCTCATGTGTTCTGTAGGATTAACTGCTGTCTTGTGTGTTCTGTAGGATTAACTGCTGTCTCATGTGTTCTGTAGGATTAACTACTGTCTCATGTGTTCTGTAGGATTAACTGCTGTCTCATGTGTTCTGTAGGATTAACTACTGTCTCATGTGTTCTGTAGGATTAACTACTGTCTCGTGTGTTCTGTAGGATTAACTACTGTCTCGTGTGTTCTGTAGGATTAACTACTGTCTTGTGTGTTCACTGTCATCTATGAGTCCTGTTTCTGTGTCAGACTTTTCTTCCAGACTTTTTTCTCCAGGGGGGGCAATTGATATTTGGGGGAGGGGGGGGGGAGACGGGGGGACGACACTGGTAAAAGTATAATGTGTTATATATAAATTCTATTTTGTTCGGGGGGGGGGGATATATAAATTCTATTTTGTTTAGGGGGGGGGGGGAGACACACACAGATGCCTGGAAGAAACAATGCCACTATCTATCTAACTAGACTGGAATGTGTCCTCCAATAAATATAGGGCTTGTAAGTCTACGGTCTTGAAATCTACTAGCTGGCAAGTACGAGAATGAGAAGTTGTGACCTACTTACAAGCCCTATTGAGATGCAACAGGTTTATGTTCATACTGTTATGTTCAGTTCAGGAAAAAATAATTTTTATATCACACCTGTTTGTGTATATTGAGTTACATCATTTTGCAAATGAATTATTAATACATGTATCAAATAAGAAATGTGATTGAAATACTCGTCCATGTTTTAAATGAGAAATATGTGTAACTAAATACCAGTCCATTTTTCAAATGAGAAATATGTGTAATTAAAATACTAGTCCATTTTTCAAATGAGAAATAGATCTATGTGTAATTAAAATACTAGTCCATGTATCAAATGAGAAATGTGATTGAAATATCAGTTCATGTATCAAATGAGAAATATGTGTAATTATGTATCAATAATGAAATGTGTGGTGAATGACTTAATTAACATCAGTTGTTTACAATTTTTCTTCCTCTCCTGTTAAGTTCCAGACCATCAGCATCATCTCCATAGACATGGACATCCAACAAAACACAGTGTTTTACATCAACCACACGTCCTCCGGCTACTTCCTCATGAAGTCTGTCTTAGAGGACAACACTGTCGACGTAGGCAAGCGCATGAAGAGACAGCTCAGCAGTAAAGCTCCCGTAAGTTTAGCTCCACTTTTCAGATAACTAAATATATTTGGATGCAGGCTTTTAATAAACCACTGAAAAATTTCTATGAAGCTGTTGAAATAAAACACCCATACATTTTTTTCTGAAGCTATTAAAAAAAAAAACACCAATTTGTGTAAAGCGATTGAAAATAAAACAACAATAAGTTTTGTAACAGTTAAATGTAAATGAATGTATGTTTCGAGTATGTATCTTAAAAAGGCGATACGAATATAAAATATATATGGGTGTGCGCATGCGCTAAGGAAAGGAAGCAGAGAGAGGTAGATAGAGCGCGAGGAGATGACGAAACTGAAAGTTGTGGTTCTAGTACTGACTAGTAGTGTAGCTGCTATATATCTGATATCAATAAAAGACTGTAAAATCACCAATATTGTGGTTTGTATTTGCCTTTAGCTTGTGCCATGAACCCAGTCATACAAAAGGGCCGTTACAAGTTTGCTTTAAGCTATTTCTCTGTATTTCTCCGTTAACTAAGTTAGCATTTAGTTTTTAGAGTAAGTAAAGAATCCTCTTTAGACCTAGCCATCCATTCGACAGATGAAAGAGATTTCATATCTTTTTTTACCTCGACATTTAAAAGGAAGGTGTTGTCAGCACTCTTCCAAGCGGTCTTTAGGCCTACTTATTACTGTATAGTACTTATTATGAAAAATGTTTTTAAAATATATTAACTAATCAATTAGATTATTTTTTCTCTTGAATATATTTTTACAATTCCTTGTTTTTATATAGTTACTGTCTCAGACTTGTGGAATCATTCCATGCTTTTTCTTTACTAATTACTTTCTTGTCTTAAAAGAAGATCTTACTTTTTCTTCACTAATTACTTTCTTGTCTTAAAAGAAGATCTTACTTTTTCTTCACTAATTACTTTCTTATCTTAAAAGGAGATCTTACTTTTTCTTTACTAATTACTTTCTCGTTATCAAAGAAGATCTTACTTTTTCTTTACTAATTACTTTCTCGTTATTAAAGGAAATCTTACTTTTCTTTACTAATTACTTTCTTGTCTTAAAAGAAGATCTTACTTTTTCTTTACTAATTACTTTCTTGTTATCAAAGGAGATCTTACTTTTTCTTTACTAATTACTTTCTTGTTATCAAAGGAGATCTTACTTTTTGTTTACCAATTACTTTCTTGTCTTAAAAAGAGATCTTACTTTTTCTTTACTAATTACTTTCTCGTTACCAAAGGAGATCTTACTTTTTCTTTACTAATTACTTTCTCGTTATCTAAAGGAGATCTTACAGCTCAACAACCGCCAGTTGTTTGAGATGGGCGGCCTGGCTGTAGACTGGATAGGTGAACACATCTACCTGACCGACGTGTCCAACAGAGCAATCTACGTCTACAAATACCAGGCTCTGCAGAGCAAGCTGGTGGTCAAGGGCAACATGGCCAGTCCGTATGCCATAGCTGTTGATCCCATTGCTGGGTGGGTGCACTTGTTTTAGTTACACTTTAGTTGACCTTATGCCATAGCTATTCCATTGCTGGGATAGTTACTCTTTAGGTAACCTTATGCCATAGCTATTCCATTGCTGGGATAGTTACTCTTTAGGTAACCTTATGCCATAGCTATTCCATTACTGGGATAGTTACTCTATGCCCTAACTGTTGATCCCATTGCTGGGTGCGTGCACTTGATATAGTTACACTTTAGGTGACCTTATTCCATAGCTATTGATTCCATTGCTGGGATAGTTACTCTTTAAAAATATAGTTAAAAATAAAGTTACTCTTTAATTTAACTTGAGCTGCACGAAATCTAAACAAGTCCCCCTTGTAAGTGCGCTATACAAAAAAATTAAACATTTACCATAGATATATAAACTAAATACAAAGTTTTAAATCTACTGCAGTAAAAAAATTACTTCCTTCATAACATGTTCTGTACATTGTAGGCCAACTACTTTAAAAAGTTGTTGATAGTCTTAAAAACTGCTGGTACAGTTTATTCTTATAATAATTGTTTTATTCTAAACAAAAAAGTAATTAAAAAGTCATAAAGTATTTTTTTATAATCACCATTTATTATTTTTTTCAAAATATTTTTTTTTGTTCATAAATATCAGAATTACACTTTCATATCATAAATTCTGTGTCAAATCATCATAGTTTTTTTTTTTTTTGGAGTATAATCATAATAACAATTATTTTCACTATCTTTATACAAAACTTTTTTTTTTAATCTTAAAAAAATATTTCTTCCAGCTTAGATACTTTTTTTTAATCTTAAAAAAATATTTCTTCCAACTTAGATATATCTTCTGGACTGACCGCGGGTCCCATCCCAAGATAGAACGTGCCAACCTGGATGGAACTGACAGGACAGTGATCATCTCTCATGAGATCTCCTGGCCCAATGGTCTGGCGCTGGACCACTTCCGTCGCTGGATCTACTGGACTGATACCAAGAAGAACACGGTGGAAGCTGCTAGATATGACGGAACACATCGGCAGATTATTTTCTCCACCAACTGTAGGTTACTCGTTGAAATGTTGTACAGTTTGGCGCTAGTTTTTTTTTTGGAATGAGAACTAAACTTTTAACCAGTTGATTTGGTTTCAACTAATTATGTCCATATGCTGAATGAAGTGTTGAAAAATTATGTACTGTTTGTGTATGGCCTCCACCCTCTGTTCCAACTATATATATATATATATATATATATATATATATATATATATATATATATATATATATATATATATATATATATATATAATATAGCTGTCCATAGACCTTTTCTGTGCCTTATCTAGCCTATGAATTTGTTTGAATACTATGTATACATTCTATGTCTGTCCACAGCCCAGGATCCACCTTTCAGCATTGACCTGTTTGAAGACTACATCTATGTCCTGACCCACAAGACCAGTCAGGTTATGAAGGTCCACAAGTTTGATACCACCCCCATCCCATTGTTCGTCACATTGGAGCATGCCTTGGACTTAATCATTGTACAGGACAAAAAACAACCTATTGGTAAAGTACCCGACATGTATTTATTCTGTTTGTTTTTTAATTGCTGAGTTTTTGTTTTGTTTAGCTTTTTCAATTATAAAAACAACCTTGATTCAGTATTTACGTTGTGATTATTCTATAATATTTTTCAAGGCAAAACACAACCTTGATTCAGTATTTACGTTGTGATTATTCTATAATTTTTTTTCAAGGCAAAAAACAACCTTGATTCAGTATTTACGTTGAGTTTTTTTCTATAATTTTTTTAATAAGTTGTGCAGACTTATGAAAATTAAGCTCTTCGCTATGAGAAAATACGAACCTCATGAATATTTTGAGAAAGTTATTGAGATTCAAAGGTGTCTTTTAAAATATTCATAAACTTAATGATTTCAGCTTTTAGGCTGTACACAATTTTGTCATCATCATAATTATTAACCTGTCTCTAAAAATTATGTTTTTTTCTCTATCCTTAAATTATCTCTACTATTCTAAAACCAAAACATTCACCTTTTTAAAGTATAATGTCTTGATATCTCCAGTGATGTCCAATTGTACAAGCGATAAATCCCCGTGCCTCCAAACACAGATGTGCATCAACAAACCGCAGGATCCCCAGGGTTACGTCTGTTTGTGTCCAGATGGCGCCGAGTTGAAGGGGGACAAATGCAACTACGAGAAACCTGCTGCCTGTGTCGACTATTGTGAGAACAATGGAGACTGCGAGGTCGTGAAGTTCAGTGATAAACCAAAGTGCAGGTAGGGAGGTGATCATGATTCACATAATGATTCCCATAAGGAACAAATTTCACAGAAGTTGCAGGGACTGGGAAAATATTTTTCTCACGAGCTTTGCTTCAGTTGGCCTGCTGATCTTAAAGGGAAATTTACTATTTTTGTCAGATTATGTTATGTGTTTGCTGTAGCGTAGGTTTTTTAGTATGAGACTGATGAAGTGTTGAGTATTTTAGTAGCCATCTAGACAAGAGACTGATGAAGTGTTGAGTATTTTAGTAGCCATCTAGACAAGAGACTGATGAAGTGTTGAGTATTTTAGTAGCCATCTAGACAAGAGACTGATGAAGTGTTGAGTATTTTAGTAGCCATCTAGACAAGAGACTGGTGAAGTGTTGAGTATTTTAGTGGCCATCTAGACCAGTATGAGACTGATAAAGTGAATTGAGCCTGTGTTATCAGTAGAGCAAGATTCTACTTAACTAATTTTATATATATACACTACACTAAAAGGAAGGGAGGAAGCCTTGTGTTAAAAATTGATACAGGATAATTTAAATCTGATATTGGATTGTTTAAAACTCATATAGGATATTTTAAAACTCCAAAGGATATTTAAAAATTGATATAGGATGGTTTAAACTGAAATAGGATGATTTAAAGCTGATATAGTATATTTACAAAGTGATCAAGAGAATAGAACTTGAGTATTTCTGGTTGCTCCGTACTTGGATGTGAATATCACATATTTGATTATCTCCATCTGAGTTTTTTAAGATAAAATATGTCTGCCCTAGATAAACTACTTGTCAATGTAGTCATAAGCTATTTTCATTTGATTTTGAGATGCAAGCCAAATTACCATGATGTGAAATTAGTTTAAGTTACTGTCATTTGTTTTTCCAGCTGTATGCCACACTTCTATGGTGAAAGGTGTGAGAAGAATGCCTGTACTGACTACTGCCCCAATGGGAACTGCTCCCTGCCAAATGGTCCTGCAGGAAAACCTGTTTGCAAGTGAGAGAGAAACCACTTTGTTTAGAAAATAGTATCTCTTAACTCTATTGATTGAACTGTGGATTGTTCCACACTGGTAAATCTGGGGCAAACATGAAAAGGAAAAAGACTGAGTTAAAAAAAGAACAATAAAATTTCATCATAATACTAACTTCAATTTTCAAGCCAATGAAGATAAACCTTAAGACAACTGAGAGTATAATGGTTTGGATGATAGAGCTTACGATTTCTAATCTAGAAAGTCTTGAGTCGAGATCCTGGATTTGAGTCGACTTAGCTCTGATGGGTACCTGACTCACGTTAGGGAAACCAAAGCAACTGGGCATAGTGCTGACCGCACTGAAGTGATTAAAACAGATGAGCTCTACTTCATCTGCCCCATGTGTCTTGGGCACAAACAGAAAAGAATATGATGATCAACAGTTGCTTCTCTCCTGTAATAAAAAAAAGTTATCACTTATCTGTCTCTATCTCTCCCTTGTACAACTAATTAAAAGCTATCCATCGTGTTTTTTGTCATGCCCTTTACCACTGTGCTACTACAAACCAAAGACTACCATAGATATATTTTAAACTTTCCCTTTACCACTGTGCTACTACAAACCAAAGACTACCATAGATATATTTTAAACTTTCCCTTTACCACTGTGCTACTACAAACCAAAGACTACCATAGATATATTTTAAACTTTCCCTTTACCACTGTGCTACTACAAACCAAAGACTACCATAGATATATTTTAAACTTTCCCTTTACCACTGTGCTACTACAAACCAAAGACTACCATAGATATATTTTAAACTTTCCCTTTACCACTGTGCTATTACAAACCAAAGACTACCATAGATATATTTTAAACTTTCCCTTATCAGATGTAAACCAGACTTCAGTGGCGACAGATGTGAAATCTACAACTGCGCCAAATATTGTTTGAATGGTGGCATGTGTAAAATAAATTCTCTTGGTGACCGGTACTGCTTGTAAGTCCTGCCTTAGTCTGAATTATTTAAAAACATGAATTCTGAAATAATTGAAACTATTACCATTTTATAGAATTTTTTTTTCCCTTGGTTTAAGTAGTTCATGACTGAGATGCTCCTGTTGATGTTGAGTGGCTACGCTGTGTGTATATATTTATTTATATATATATATATATATATATATATATATATATATATATATATATATATATATATATATATATATATATATATAATATAATTTTTCATGTCAGCTGCCCACCCTTTTATGGAGGACCACGTTGTGAGAATAAACTGGACGTGCAAGACTGGTGTCCCAAGAGCTGCAAGAATGGAGCAAACTGCACTGTTGAAAAACTTGGGCATGTCAGGTGTGACTGCAAACCTGGCTTTACAGGTGAGTTATGCTCTAGCCTTGTTTCAGAGCTGGGCGCACTCAGGGATGTCCAGGATCTGAACTTGAACTGTTCATGTAAGCAGCCATGTGCTCTACAATCCAACCACAACATCCTGTATACAAATTATAACTTATACAAAATGTTCATCATAGAACTTTCCTTCAACTAGAAAAAAATACAACTGATCTGTTAAACATTGTGATACTTTATGTAAAACATTGTGATAATTTGTCTATGTAAAACACTATGTTATACTTTATCTATGTTAAACACTGTTATACCTTATCTATGTAAAACACTGTTATACCTTATCTATGTAAAACACTAGTACTTTATGTAAAACACTAAAACTTTGTAAGCCACGTTGATACTTATCTATGTAACCAGGTAAGCGCTGTGACCAGTGCACTGATTTGACCTGCTCTAATGGTGGCACATGCTACAAGGACCTGTCCACAAATGTCTCCAAGTGTAAATGTTTTGACGGCCAACCTGGCACTCCCAACTGTGATGATGTCAATTGTGCTGAGCTGTGTTTCTCTGGCAACCTTAAATCTTTGCCTGGTAATTTAATAGGTTCCTATTTTTTAAAGACTTAATTGGCCTTGTAAATATTCTTTAAATAAACTTATTTTTATTAGTTTGTCTACTGATATTTTAATAATGAATATTTTAAAACATTAACATAATTTTATTACCCGTATTTCAGAACCTATGATTAATTTCTATTTTAATGCGTAGAAACTTTTGAATTTAACTCTTGCATTTTATTTTAAACAAAACTTAACAACTGTTGTGTAAACATTATTTTACTCAGATAAATGTGACTGTGACTGCCTGCCCACTTTCCTGGCCAGTGATTGCTTAGACTGCCAGAAAAGCTGTCCAAAGAATACAGTCTGTAGAAATGGTACACATTCTTTTACTGCTTGTTTTGTTTTTTTAATGAGTCACAATTATTTACTGTTAATTCAGTCAAATTTTTTTTTATTTTTCTGCAAGGTTTTCAGAGATTGCTGTAGAGTAAAACAAAAGATGAACTTGCTAGCTGGTGCCAGGTTTTTTCAGTGACTGCAGCTATATTTAAATTTGTTTTTCCCCCCAGTTAATGGCATCTCTGTGTGTGTGTGTGATGAGATCCACTCAGGCCCTGACTGTGAGACTTGCAAGTGTGGCACCACTGGCCAGTGTACTTATGACATCCATGGAAAACCATTTTGCAAGTTTGTACACCTCAATTATTTTATTGTTTTTTTTTAAGTACTGAATCTTCAGTATCACCAGTTCCTAATCTGGGCCATCTCTCTTAATCTTTGATTAATCAATTCATACACATGTTGTTAAAAAAAATTTTGCCCACATACTCACATTCCACTGATTTGAAAAGTAATTCTTGTTGATTTTATTTTTAATTAAATATTTATTTTTGTAGGCGCTTACTTTTCTTAGCAACGAGAATCCTGAATTACTTTTCTTAGCAATCTCTAACACCACAGATTAATTATCTTCTTCAGCTAAAATACTGAAACTGTTTAGATTCTAATCCGGCTTTTAACAACTTAACTCCCCACTGGCTTTCCATAAATGTGCTGCATCACTAAACTACTCACAACACTCTATTTCAACCAACTCCACCATGTATTGGCCTTAATATTTGATAGTCTATCACTGGTTGGTAACATGTAGGCTCTATCTACCAAGCCACTGGCTGCTCTTTGAATTATCAGCTGTCTTTTTTTTAAGTGCAGGAACTTATTCTTTTTTTTTAAAAAAAGCAAATATGTATGTTTGTAGTTTCTGTTATTTAATATGGGGTCGATGACAGGCTAAGGATTGAGTTGCCTCACAAGTTCTTGTTAGCAAGCAGTATCCCATTTGGATGAGTTTTAATCAAATCTGACTGCTAGTCAAATTATAACATTGTGTATTACATTTTACACAGTATTATAAATAAATACATAAATAAATAAATTTTATATATATATATATATATATATATATATATATATAAATATATATATATATATAATTTATTTATTTATGTATTTATTTAAAGATGTCTTACTTGAAACATGTTGCCAACCCCTGTTCCCAAACACTTGTTAGCCTGTTGAATAACATGTTGCATGAATATCAGAAGTGCATGATCACCAAACCTACCACACTAAGAACTTTTGTTGTAAAGAAAATGTTGCATGCTAGACTAATTTGAAGTCTATTTGTATTATATATACAACTACATTAGGATTTGTATACAACAGAACTATTAAAATCTAGCAAGAACACTATTATGTATAGGGCTAGTAAGTAGGTCACCAACCAGTTCTAAGGTTTTATTGAGCCGTAAAACTGATTGGTGACCTACTTACCAGCCCTATAGGATTTAGAATGTTATCTCTAGAAAGTAAACAAAAGAAAAAAAATGATTGATTTTACTTCAGATATAATATACACCCAATACTTGAAAACAAAATTAATCCACAAGGACATCATGTACTTTTTTGTTTTCTTTTCATTTTTTTTGTATATGTATACTAATTATTACATTGTTGAACTACTCTCAGAGTAGAAGGTGTTGTCTAATTATAATTGTTCAATGGATTGTGTCCCTTAGATTAGAGCTCTTATGTTTACCACTCTTAACTTTGTATGTCCAGCTGTAGTGTGGAAACCTTTGGAGAGTTTTGTCAGTACCACTGTGTTGGTTCATGTGGAGAGAATGGCCATTGTGCCTTGTGTTTTGAGAACACAACAAGCCGTGTGGGACAGTGCCGGCCAGATAAGTGTGTGTAAGTTCAGGTCAAAACTGGCAGCTCTGTTTACGTTGTTCTATGAATGTTTTGTGATTATCTTTAAATTCTGCCATATCACCATATATTATATATATATATGAGCTTTAATTATTTATTGGCACCTAGCTGTATAGCACTAAACACTTTTAATAAATTTAAAAGAAATCAACTAAGCAGATTTATTAACTTTATATTTTTGGTATTTGTTTTAGTTATGCTTATTGTGGAGTTAATCAACTGTTTACTTTTTAGTGCTTAACAAATTATCTATGCTTTTTACATATGTATTTTTAAGAACTACTCTACTAAAACAGATATTTTGAATTATATATAGAAAATAATAATTGAAATAATAAATTAAAAATGTCCAAATTGAATGATTAATTTGATAAGTAATTTACTTTTAACATTTTTATCTCTTAAATTACAAGACTAAAACTTTTCAAGAAGCAATAAGTTTTCTATCTCCACATCACTGCATATGATATTAATGCTGGATAAATTATAACAAAGCAAACATGCTTGCAATTTATTTATCTCTCTTTGATAAATGTATGTTGTATTCCTCTACTGATTTGGTCACCTAGAAAGTTTGTTGCATTAAATCTACTATGTCCCATGTAGATGCAAGCCAGGTTTCAGTGGCAAGTTATGTGAAGCTGCAGCCTCAGCTCAGAATTCCGCAGACAGCAGTAAGTCTTGATTTGGTTATGTCGCACTTAATATTAAAAAATATAACTCCTTTTTTTCCCTTACTTAAAATATGTATATGGTGACTGATTTTTTTTTTTCTGTAAGGGAGACCCAAACACAAAACTTAATATACATATGTTTGTTGTCAAACCCGAGTTTTTTAAAAAAGGAATTAGTCAAAACAATAAATTGCCAAGAAATTAGTTTATCCAAACTTCAAATCTCTAGTTTTTATTTTTGATATTGAAAATGGTTTAACTTCTAAAAAGAGGATTGTACAATCATCATTATATTTTGATTTAATATTCTAGTTGACAAATCAAATAGCATGCCTGATAAAGCAACAGAAATACTAACTATATGGTTCTATTAAAGCTAACAATATACTATGTTTGTTTACAGATCCACTGATGGTATACATACCCATTGCTATTGTCGCTGCTATTATCATAATTATTGTGATAGTTGTTTTAATCTTAAGGAAGAAAAAGGGGTAAGCAGTAATAGTTTCTCATGTTGAATGATGCTTAACTGTGATAAAATATTCTTTACACAAACACTGCATTGGTAGATATGTTTAAGTCCGAAACCAACACATCTGAATTTTATTTGTTCCATTACCTTGTCTGATGTTGATTTGCTCAAATCTTTTCAAACAAATCTACATATTGAAATTAATTGAAAATACCATTAATGTCAAGGTACTTCTGTAATCTGCTTGTTCTAATTTGTTTTGTTTTCATGTTATTTTTAAAATCCATATTTTCAACAAAACCATTACTGTTATTTTCATTTTAGCCGCCTTTCCCAATATGGACACAAGCGTATGGATGAAAGGAACAACATGAATGTCACAAACCCTGTCTACATGAAGAGAGATGCAGAAGATGATGATGAAGATGAGAATGAGCCTCTGAGAGGAGGGGTCATTTTCACAGGAGAAACAGTAATTTTTTTTTATATCTATACTTTTTTGTTTAATAAGTGACAGGTGTTGAGTTTTAGAATGCTGAAGTTGAAGTAAATAGATTTTATTCTAAGTTGAGTCGGTGGTCAGTTTAAATTTGGCTGCTATCCCCTGAGGTATATTAATTTTCCTTCATTTCAATGTTAAACAAAATATTTTAATTCGATTACCTCCCTTAGATAAGTTACTCGGGGGGGGGGGGGAAATAACTGCTTTTTCTGAACAACATTTATTGCTTTCATTATTATGACTTACAATTTAAATTTTTTTTGTTTCTATGTCACAATTTTATTTTTATTATTTATTATTGAAAACTTGATTGATCTTGGTAGCATGTTTATAAATTCCATGGATTAAAAAAATGCTGGTAAGAAAAATTAAGAACATGTGCTTTTTAAAAGCTGCACTAAAATAACAAAAAAAATCTCATCATTGAAAATAGACGATAAATTTTTTTTTATTTTTAATGGTGGTGATTTGTGAAACCATTGATAAATATTGTAGTTTTAATTTAGCACACTGTACAACTTTTAAATCTGTTGACATTCTCATTGCAGGCAACAAACTTTGCCAACCCAATGTACGATGTTTACAGCAACGACAGCTCACAGAAGTTATTATCCAACGGAATAGACAGCGATATGCGTGTAGATTTTGTTGGATCAGCTAATGAAAGAGAGCTGCACTCAGATGGCAACAGAAACCTGATCGCGTAGCACTTGGTGATAGCAGAGAGAGATTGTGGGATGGGACTGAGAGATTGTTTGAATGAGTGAAAGTGGAGTTGAGCAGTTGTAGACTTTGTTTTAAGTTTTTTGAACTTGAGACTAAATGAAAATACTGATCCAGTCATTGAAGTGTATATAAAAAAAAACCTGTTGATAAATGTCTGCATTGAATGATAACTAATTATTCAGCCATAAGTAAATAATCTACTTATACTTAACCATGATTAGTCTGTAGTTTAATTGAACTGGTTCCATTGTCTATGTGCTATTATAACTCACATAGATATAAAAGTTTTGTACATACAACAAAAATGCCAGGGTGGACTGATCATGTAGCAAGGTGTGGACAAGTATCTACACATGTAGATGGAAGTTTTGCCAAATTTGTTTCGTTTCTTTTTCACACCTGTTTCATTGTGTTGATGTTTGTTGAAAATGTACTTAATCAAAAACAAAAAAAACGAAAGTATGTTAGAAAAAATGTATTTCTCAGTTTTTAAAATATAAAAATATAATTATTTAAAATGTATACATACTATATTTATTGTGTGATATGGCTTCAAGCAGCTGTCGCTAGTATTGATTGCTTAAAGCAGCCATGGTCTAGTACGGCATACGCCATCTATTTTTGCTATAAAAAGTTGCCTTCTTATTACTCAAAAACAAGCAGCTGATAACTCCCTTTTTTTTCTAATACAATGCTATGAGAAATTTTTTGCATTGACAATTTTTTTAATAAATATTTGTTTTGTAGCCTATATTTTAACATCTTACTCACAGGTTTTTAAATTCCATACAAAATAGTTTTAGAAGTTTTAAATGGCTAATGTTTTTAGAGCTGTCTTTGTTCAGTCATCTTACTTTTTCATGTACATAGACTTCCCATTTTATTTTATGTTATTTGTACAGCTAAATTAAAACATTGATGAAATCTGAAAATGTTGGATATAAAATAATTTTTGCCATTTGAATAGATGATCTTTTATCTGTCTTTTGATGGAAAATGTTTTTAATGATTATTTTTGTATTGTGTTGGGCAGTGTCTGATCCATTTTTATTGTTTTGATTAATTAGTTTCACAATCAGGCTAGTTTTACTTCCACAAACCTATGTTGTTTTTCTTATGTTTTAATGTAGTTTAGATAACTAACTATATATACATATACAATGTAGATGTTTTTTATTACAAAGATTAACTGTAATTTTACTTACATTTGTTACATTTTAGCTGAATAGCCAAACTAATTATTAACCAAGTATTTTTTAAGTTTGGCTTATTTTTGGAAAATACTTATTGCAGTCGAAGATCTCCTTTCATGTAAAGTTACAATGAATAAAATATACAACATACATTCCAAACAATGAATAAAACTATGTCCCTGGTTTTAAAAATTTTAGTTATAAAATGAAACCAATTTTTTTCTCTAGAAATGGAGTGACAGTTAATAGTTTGACCTGAAAGTTTTGTATATTTAATGATCTTTGACTCGTTTCACATTCATTTTTTTAAAAATGTTTTGAAATTATTCAACATATCAGAAAAAACTTCCACTTAAATATTTATTGTTTTAGTGTAATTTGTGTTTCAAATTTGATAGCATATGTGATCTTGCTTTTTTAAAAAATTTTATTGTTCTGTTTATTTATATTTTACTTTTTATAAACTACATCTTAAACTGTCGTAGATACATCAGACACAAGATTTTAGCATTTAAGTTTTTTTTTTTTAATTACCATTAAAAAAAGGACTTATCTGAAGAGATGTAAGTTATTTTTTTCATTGGAGTTTACTCCCTTGTCTTCCAATGTTGTTTTTTTTTAAAGCTTTTCAATAACTTAATGAAAACAAAGAATTTATTTTTGCTTGTAAAATTAGATTCATCTAGAATAGTCGTAGTAATCTGTAAAATTAGCAAGTGGACATTCACATCAGGCTTGCTATGTACATTATATATTTTAGGATTTAAATTGTGAATGACTAGCCACTTGTATTATGTAGTCCAATAAGTTTGTGTTTTAAAATGTCCTGTACACTTCCAGTTGTAAAATAATCTGCAAGCTACGGACCTCATTAGAATATTTTAGCCTGGTATGACAGCCCTATTTTGTCAGGAATTCACTGTGCACTAAACTAACCTAGGTAGACAAATTCTGGGATTAATTGTTTATTGCTTGCTTTAAAACTAATTACAGGTTTACTGTTTTACAAAACAGCTGATTTGTCATGTTAAGTCCCACAGCTTTTAAATGATTGATAACAAAATAGTTTTCAAATCAAAACATCAAGGAAGATAACTGTTATCAGGTTGTTATTGAATCGGAAGTTTTCTCCCATATCCAAAATGAATGTAAAAACATTCCTTCAATTTCTTGTAGATATTATGTTACTTGATGGGCAATTATAGGACCATTGGTGTAGTTAAATATTTTATTCACATATTTGTTTTAGAAAATAATGATCAAAGTTTTTAAATGCGTTCAAGATTTAGATTGTCAGAGTTATGTAAATGTATATAGTAGTCTGGCGCGTTGCTTAGATGGCTGGATTGACCTCTGACCCTGAAACGTCACGCGTCGTTTTTAGACGGTTTTTACGTTTATTTTAGGGGTCCCATCCACGACAAATGAAAAAACTGTTAATCTCGCAAATTCTCATCATTATTTTAATGCAGAATGCTAATAAAATGGATAATATGCCTTAGAATGCCAGAAAAAATCGAGAGATTTGTTGTTGTAAATAATGAGAGGATTTCTAGTGGAGCGCTCTCCGTAAAAACTGAACCGCCGCTAAAAACGACCGACCTCCGGGGAAAACGGCCCGACCTCCTCTAAATTAATATATAATTGAGATATTTACCTTGTATATTTACATTATTATTGATTCTGGTTTCCAAAATCTTATCCCAAAATGAGGTACCCACGCTGACATTTCTATCCGCTATTTTTAGTATCATGACGTCATTGCTACGCTAGTTGCCAGACTGAAACAACTAGTTTTTGTTTTTTACGGAATGAACTGTTAAGTCTAGTATTTTAATTATAATTCAATTGTAGCATGTGTGGAAAAAGTAAAATTATGGACATTATTGTTGTATTAGTAATTGTATTAGTATATTGATTTTTTCTTCACTGTGGGCCGACAGTTGCTGCATTCGTGACCGGTGGTTAACCTCGTCAACGCTGCGTGGCCTATTCGTTTATATAATCAGTGATGCTCGTTCAGTGGCCTTTTTCAGAGCTAGGCCTAATTACGGGCGATTTTTAGACTTAATTGATCGGCCGTTAGCCCTTTTCATTGCTGCGTATTTTTAAAAAAAAATGCTCGTTCAGCTGCCTTTTTTTTTGCGCTAAATAATCTGTTTACGGGCATTTTAAGCGTTTATTTATTTATTTTTTTAAGCTAGACGTAGATCTAGTTAAAATTTTTTTTTTATACAGCTGGCTGTCTAGCATGCCTGATATGTGAACTTTAAAAAAAATGACCGAACTTTAAAAAAAAAAATGACCAGAAGTAGGGAAGTAGGTCTGTTATTCAATTTGTTTGAAGAAGGGGGGGGGGGGAGAGAGAGAAGTGAAGACACCGACCATCTCGTGTACGCGTGTCCATTCTATGACGTGTACTATAGGTCACGGTGACCCCGCGACCGTGGTGGGATTTTTCATCCACAGGATAGTAAACATAAGCAAGCAATCACGCGAGTGACGATGTTTGGAGATTTTATTTTTTTTTAAAAATCACATACGTCATGTTTTCAAGATGAAAAAAAAATGTAATGTAAAAAAAAGGGGGACACTAATACCATGTATGGACCTCAGCTGCCACACTGTTGACTCAATATAATGTGATTGAGTGTAAAATGTATTTGTATTTATAAACTATCTTAGCAATTACTATCATATTATTTTATGCATATTTATTATTTGAAATAAAAATATTTATTATGGTCATTTGATTTATGCAGGTGTTCATTAGTTCATAAAATGGTATGAATAACATGTAGAGTAGAATTTAATAAATAATAAAATAACTAGATCTAGTTTTATTATCAACCAGTTGCTTTTTGTTATTTTCCGGTGAGTAAATAACCTAAGCTGACGCAATTACCATGGCGGGAATTAAAAGCTCGTGGACACAAGTCCACGACGTAATGTTATGCCGGTCGAGGGGATAAAACGCTGTTTTGTCTTTCATTTTCCAATATCGGAAAAATTTCAAATTCTCTCTTTTCTCGTCAACCGAGTAAGCTAGATATTCAAATGTGGTGTCAAATGTTCTCTTAAGGGGTAAGGAAGTTAATGGTGTATTTGAAATAACAGAATATTTTATTTTAAAAAATCCATAATTCAACCTAGTATATAGACTGTTCTCTGTATTATTTAAACATTCACTTCCAAGGGTGGGCAACACTGTTGTTTTGACCTGGATGTTAACTGTGTTCTTCCTTCACACTTTGACCTCCTCTGCTTTTTAAAAAGCTAAATTGTTGTAATTGTACAGCATGACAGCTCTAGCTGTTGAAAATAGGAAGTTGATTAGTCTTTCAATATTCACACAAGTATTAATCAGCATTGCTTTAAACTGAAGGGGATAAATACTTTACCAATTTGTCTTGTGATTTCGTTAATGATGTTTCTCACCAAAGAATTGCTTTTGGTGTTATAGAATTAGTTTCTAGACCTGACCCACGCAGAGATTATTCACTGTGTGATATTGTTACTGCCAGATTAAATTTCTAATTTCTGGTACAGTTTACGTTTCTTCAGGCTGTTGTGATTTGTTTTGTTCATAACACATTTTTTTAGTCCACTTAACCAGATCTGAGTTTAACTACAAAAAAATGTATTACAATTGAATGTTGCTATGTTGTAAGTACACAGTGCTGTACCTCAGTAATTTGATGGCACAACTGTGTATTTAGCCTCAGTAATTTGATGGCTCCCTATTTCTTATGGAAAAAAAAAAGTGAAGTACACTACAAATTTTGTTCTCCTCTGGTCTGAATGGTACCAGAACTCAGCAGACCAACAGCATACTTTCATATGTAACTACTGCACCTATCACAGCTGCTGTACCTTCACAGTAGAACCTCATCCCAAGATGTACAACTGGTTTCATGTGATTACCTCCCTTTAGATTTCATCATTTATATAATGTATGTAGATTTTTTTTTTTTAAAGGTTGTGAGAGATTTTAGTTTACCTTGCTTTTTGTTTGGGATGACATGTTATTTAGTATATTTACTGTCCTGATAAAACATTTTTTTTATAAAATGTCTGTTGTCTATTATAATTTTCTATTTAAACTTCTTGGAGCAGTGTCTTAGTCATATTTCCAGTTTAGATGAGATCTATTTTTTTCTGCAGGAAACAAGGTGGTTGTAATATTTATAGTTTGTATCAGAAATTTAAGCATAACTAAAATACAATACTTGGCTTAAGGACACTCCTGTAAATTACCTCCCATTAAAATTTCTACAAATGGTAGTGTAAGTTTTGTTAGGCATATTTTATAGTAACCTAGTTGCTATTGTATACTTTTTTTAATTGTAAAAAAAAAATACCCGTAACATCTACATTCTATTGTAAAATGTTATAATCAGTTATTTATTTTGATAGCATGTATTATATTTTGCTTCTAAGAATTAATCTACACATAACATTCCCTTTAGGAAAATAACATGTTGAAATAAAAGTTGTCTTTTTTTTTTGCTAACCTACAGAGAATTGTATTTTGGAACTGTTTTAGTCTACCAACTGTCTACAAACGATGCATGCTATTATTTGTAGCCCATCTATGTTTAAAAAAAAAAATGAATTATTTCAACACAAACATGGTGCATTTAATGGCATAATAATGCATGTACATTTGCTTTTTCGTACAAACCATAGAATAGACGACAGGTTAACTTACACTTTGACATGTTTAATTTAATCTGTTAAAGTTGACTGGGTCGTTTTATGTATACAACAATGTTTTTCTGCATCAATAAAAATAAGTATGATGATTATAAATAACAGATTCTTATTGTAATTTGTATCAGTGTTCTCTGTCCATGTAAAATCTTTAGTTTTTACAGCTTGATTGGTTCCTAAGCACAAAATTGTCTAAGAGTAAGGAACATAGTGAACACTAGCTTTATGTTAAAAATGCCAATTAAAAACTTGGATGAATGTACTTCCTGATAAAACGTTCACCTATACAGATGTTATATTTACTCAGGTTTAATTCCTAAATGACTATATAGCTTGATGCTGGATAAATACAAAGGATCATATAACAATGAATAACCAGTGGGTTATTTTCTAACAAGCAGCCTTGTTACTGTAAACTCTAACCTGATCAACAAAACTATTGTATTCATCTTTAAGTGTGTAATCAACATTAAAAATCACGGATTTTTAAAAACTCAAAAATTGATAAATTGCGTTACAAAAAAGAACACTTGATAATAGATGATGGACAATCAATTTTTTAATCAGTTTTTCTTTAGGCTCACACCATTTTTTTTTCCATTTGAGCTCGAGATATTATATCCTGCACATGGTGATGGTTAAATATTAGCCAGGAGAAACAATTTGGCATGGGGTGTTCTTTTTAGACCAAATGTATTTTTGTTTAATAAAAAAGCCAAATTCACAAGAGGGTGTAGTAAAAGGAGTATATCTTAAAAGATGGATGACATGGTTCTCAATCTGAAAGAAGAATGTTCCAAAACAAGAGAAAATTAACTTCTCATAATTAAGCCTGGTAGTTTCTTATAAACTTACTATCCCCCTCCAAAAATAAGTTAATTTACTAAATAAAGAATTACATAATTATTAAATATACTTATATATTAATTTCAGTCCGGCCTAATGTGAATTTTAGCAGTGCTATAAATTCTTAGTAAATGGTAAACTTAAAAATGGTTTTCTCATAACTGTTAACGAAAGAAAGAGGCTGTATGGCTAAATCTTCAAAGAACATTATATGCACTCACTTCATTTTATTTCCATGGACTTTTCTTCTTTCTCCTTTTTCTTTTTAGCAGATGCAAGTTTGGCCTTAAAAAATAAATTATTAATAAGAAGTATTAATGGCAGAGAGGATAGACCTAACTTCTTCAAGTGAAAAAAAAACGTCTACACTGATTCAAGTTAAAAATAGATTGGCACCTAAAAATATTCATAGCCTTCCAGCTCATTACCTTTTCTATTAATGGCAAAAGCTTTTTCTCTTCGGCTAAAATTTTCAGCAACTCCATGATAAATGGCAGGTAGTTGTGACGTCTGCGAATATTCTCTATCTGTAAATGGGAGAGAAATCTTTATCAGCTGATTCAGAGTGGGACCGCCCAACTATGAAAAAAATGGAATTTTATTTTACAAGGGGAAAGATTTTCTCAAGGATTCAAGGTATTGACAGAGTTTTAAGACATATCAAGGAAATTTTAAAATAACTTAAATGTCAGCTTATAAACAACAAAGCCTGCACGTCTTTGCAAACACAAATCTATCATAGCATGCACAGGCCTAACTTATTTGTCTTTCCTTTTTTGAAAGTTTCAAAATGTCAATTGGCAGAAAAAAAAATTTTCCACCAGTTTTACCAAAAATGGTAATCTCTAGGGATTTAGAATTTTTTTTTTATAAAAAGGGAAGAGTAATATTGGGGATTAAAAATGCAAGCAATGGCTTTGTAAAATGTCAGCTTCAATACAAATTTGCTGCTAATAATAATGAAACTATTATTACAAATGTAAAATAATTTCTCGCCTTAGTTGTTATTTAAAAATCTACCCATTAAATACATACTTTATATCTCTCCTCTTTTCTGTCCTCTTCACCAATTAAATAAGCAAGCCTGGCAAACTCTGACTGGAGGTCACTGTGGTCTCCTCCACTGCTCTGACAAGAGAGAAAACATTGGTTATCCTGGCGATATGACAAGGGATAATGAAACTAACAAGAGAGAAAACATTGGTTATCCTGGCGATATGACATCAAATAATGAAACTAACAAGAGAGAAAACATTGGTTATCATGGCGATATGACAAGGGATAATGAAACTAACAAGAGAGAAAACATTGGTTACCATGGCGATATGTCATCAAATAATGAAACTAACAAGAGAAATAATTGGTTATCCTGTAATAATAGCAACAAAAATATAATAATAAAAAAATGACAAGATATTAAAATGCTAATTAACTTGTAGCTATAACAAGAAAAATGAAACTACGTTTATTCTGTGACTAAACTGAAAAAAACAATGACTGTCCTGACCTCTATTAATGAATTTAGTTCTTGTAACCGCTTGGAATACGCTCTCTTTTTATCTGACACAACAGCCATTAAATTGAAATGGATTTCATCAGCACTATACCTGAAGGGATAATACAAAAGATTAGAGCTCATACAAAGAAATATTAAGATATCTCATCAAGATAATTAGAACTCCACCTAACTTCACACTTGTTTCACTAAGAATTTGTTTTAAAATAGCATTACTCAATGTGTACATTCAGATAAAAAAAATACACAGTATCAGAGATTGCTTCTAAAAAGCAATCAAGAACATTTTAAGCCATGATGTCCTATTTAAACTAATTTTTTTTTTAAAAAGCAACTGAACAAAAAACTAATATTACAACTGAACAAAATATTGCACATAAGACAGCAAACAAAATTACTTTTGCATCCTTTTCTCAATTACAGGCCTAACGATATCCAACCAATCTTTGTCTGGTGGAATTGCACCTAAAAAGGTCAAAATGTATTTGTTAGAGCACTATGCATTACAAGTAAACAAATATCAAAAATTTTTAAATAAAAATTATGCTTTATAAAATAACATAAAACTAAAGTGTGCTGTTAAACTAGATGACAAATATGCATTTACCTAAATCAACAGGACCACTTTTTAAACCATCAAGTTCATATAAACGCCCATCAATAGGGATATAACTCACAAAATGGAAAACATCGTCATCTTTCTTTGCCATTTTTTCATCAAACTCAAACATCTGCTGTCTTAAAAAAAAATGTTTTTTATTATTGCAATTTTTTAAAATGTACAGTTCGTTGTATTCTTAAAAATTATTGTAAGACCATCACATGTTCAAATAACACGCAGCTTGTAATACAAACAGCAAGAATAGTTATCTTAAAATCTTGAATACAAATATTTTTTTTATCTTCTTCTTTGAAGCTGAGTAGAAAAATATAAAGTTATCCTAAATGTTCCCCCTTTTAAACAGTGTTTCACTCTACAATATTATGATCTGACTAGATGAATAAAAACTTTACAAACCTAGAAAAACTGTTGTGAACTTCTCTTATTGTATCAGAGTTGCTCAAACTTAAACCTCGCAACTGTGGACAAATGAAAAATACAGATAAATAATGCAATGGAGATTTTAAAAAAGGCAACAATATAGACAAATTGTATAATATATAATGTTTATGATAAAGTGAGAAATGCAAGAATTCTAGAGAACACTTGGGGTTTTCAGGCAAGGTGTGAAATAAGTCAAATAGTCAATTTTTCCACAACTGACCTTACCTAGGCACTCAATAGAATATGCTTAGGCAATCTATAAAAATGGCAATATAGGAGAGAGGTATAATTTTAAAGGTATTAAAATTAATGAAGAAGTAAACAATGAGTAATATATTATGCTTGTAAATGTTTTTAAAAAAACAAAAAAAAACTAAAAAAGGAATGAAAAAATACAATTCAACCTTAAGCCCAACATAAAAATAACATAGGGTTGGTGTTAAGTTTATAGTTGGGTTTCAGTTTATAGTTGGGGTTAAGTTGATCTGATTTGGGTTAAAGTTCAGGTTTTGACTGAATGAAATCCGCATGTAATTGTATCACTGCTTTCCAACAAGCACTTTAACATCAGATTTTTGTCTGTAAGGAGGAATGTAGATTGAAGGCAAGAAAATTTAAAAACTAATATCTCACCCCGGGATCTAAATCCTGTGCAAAATCTTTGAAGTTAGATAATGTGTCACCAAGTTCAAGGTCATCGTGTGTACAGTTGAGCAAAATACTCAGGATGGCCTGAGTGGCACAGGCATTATTTATCACCTGTTCATACAATAGTCCCCTTTAATTTTGTTTCAATCATCAATATACAGTCAATTAAAATTTTGATACCAATTTTACAAAATTCTACAATAATCATTTGTGTGACTTAGGACCTTCCTTTAAAATGTATACAAATCAATGACAGGAGGTTAACTTTAATATGTGATGTATGTATTATAAAATGAACTTTCTCCTTTTCATAAAATTGGTATTTATAGCTACACAGACTATATATTAGTCTATTACAGATTTTACTTCTGAAAAAAAAAAAAGCTCAGTTTCAGACCTGACAATCAAATAACAGGGCAGATTAGTAAATTTCAACTGTCTCTTTCACAACAAAATAAAAGGTTTTACCTCAGTACTATGTTCAGAAAAATTATCACTCCCAAACTCAGTTTTGAACATTAATGTAGCCAATAAATAAAGCAAATAACTATAGCTGAAGGCAAGACCTTTAGGGCAAATGTTAGTTACCTGAGAAGCAAAGAATATTTTTTGCAGCCTGCTGTCTTGTACAATAGATTCATCTGGCTCAGCATGAGGAGACCATTTAAACAAAAATATTAGCCCATGTACAGGTCTGTGAATATAAAATCAAATTTCACTTTAACCAAGGATTTGATGGATTAATTTAAAAAAAAAACTCCACTAATCACATTAGTAAAAACAGGCAGTGTAACACAAAAAGGTAATTTCTCACTTTAAGGCTTCAAAGCTTTCAGGGTCCAGGCTCCATATCTCTTCAACTTGAACACCTCTACAACCTGAATGTCAACAGTTGAGCATTTTATTTTTAAACTTTTAAGAATCTTTTAAAAAGGATTAGGCCTATCAATTGAAAAATATTCCTTTAAATAGAAAAAAATGTTTTTTTTTAAAATAATCCAGAAAAGGTGCATCTCTGTAATTTCGATAGGGTAGTGCCTGCAATTTTAGATCAAGATTCTAGATCTAGATCTAGTAGTAGGGTGCAGGTTGGGTAGGTTGCTTTTGACTTTTTGTGATATGAAGACTTACAGTTTAGTTTACAAAAACTTTTACAGACTTACACTTACACCTCTCACCTCAGTCAGTACTGAATCATGAATCAGTACCAGTGACTAAACCCTAACTGACTAGAAACAGACAACATTTAGTGAGTAACCCATAGCTCAACGTAGATCTAGAAATCTAGATCTATCACTCAATGACCAGAGATTGATTCTAGTCTAGATAGATCTACTACTAATACTAGAGAAGCACCGGTAAGACAAGAAGAAGTATGAAGAAGTAAGAAGAGGTTGGGGGGGGGGGAGGGGTGGAATAAGCAACTACGAGAGGTGCAAAGAACAGTCGGTGTAACAATGATGTAAAATGAGCGTAGTTTTAACTCTCAATTTCCGAAAGATAAACTCACCAAAGCCTTTAATTAATTCAGTGAAAACACCCGGGTCGCTTTCAATCAAACACCAGTCTCCGGCAGAACCCATGTTGCAGATACAATACTTAGAGAATGACTTAGTTGTTTTCGACAGAAGTAGTATCGATACTACATTTAAAAAACGATATTTTCTAATATAATTATTAATTGTCTTTATTTTTCCTCGTCTAACTAAATGGTAGATCTAGATTCTAGATCTGAAAATAATAGGAATCTTACTATAGAAATGTAGTAATGACACGTTATTTTTCAGTCATTTACATAGGTCTATTAATCATTATTGTATCCTCTGATTAGCCCGCCGTTGAAAATCCTTGAGGCTCCCTCGGATTTATAGCGCAATTTCCATACGGACAATTGCGATTATTAACTCGTCATTTCTGGATGTATGGATGTGTGTCTGCAGCTTTAAGTGGTATCTCCTCCTCAACGAAGCAATATCGAGGACTAGTTCCAAAAGCAAATATGTTAAGCAAGTTCCGAGGATGATATTGATTGTGGGCCAAAAAAATCCCGGAATTCCTTCCTGGATTTCCCGGAAAAGCCAAAAAAACTTTTTAAAAATGCAGTTTTTGGCCCATATCTCGGCAACCAGACCAATTAGCGACTTGAAACATTTACCAATCGATTCCTGCCATAATTTTGAACAATATTGCCGAAGAAAGTTTTCAAAAATATCATTTCGTTCGGTCACAAAAAATTAATTACTAGTTTTTAAAACTGAGCATCGTGTAGGCCTAGGATGATATTTTTTTAAACTGAGCATCGTGTAGGCCTACTCGTTAAAATAAAACTATTTCCGTTGTTTAAAAACAAACTTGATCACTATCTATTTTAGATAACATAAGGAAATTGCGCTTAAATTGTCACTAGACTTTTTATTAACTTGTTTAAGTACCTGACTCAAATCGGGGAAATCAAAAGTTGACATCAAGCTCTCTAGACAAATTTTACCCCACCCTCAACCCCACCCCATTTTCCTAATTTGACGTCGCATTTTAGCCAAGCTTACGCCCCCCCCCCCCTCAACACAAACACCCCGTTAGCAATAACCATTTTTTAAACTTAGCATTACTATAATTCAGACTACAATGTCACTACAATCTTGAACATGTCTTAATCCCACCCCATTGTCTTACATCGTCAAAAAGCCCGACGTCGTCCTCTCACACACTAGATTATCTCTCTTTGATCTATGTTATATTGTAGCCCGTAGACATCAACTGTTTAATGGCTTTAAAATTATCATTTTACTCGAACAACAAGATTAATTAATACAAAACGGAGGGAAGTAATGTTGTTGTCTCTCAACACACCGCTTTTGAATGCATTAATTACAAAGAAAATCAGTTTTCAATAAACAAATTAGAAAGGAAAGCAAGACAATTACTAACTCTATTACTATTTTCGCTGCAGGTATCGATACACTTAGTATCGTAAGCCTTATTTATGTTTTGAAAACATTTAAACTTCCGGATTTCGCGTTAGTTCATTGTTAAATAATAAATTCACTATTATGTAAATATTATTATGGCCACTACTCAGGCATACATGAAGTTGGACTATTTAATACTATTTATAAACAGTCTTATTTGCTTTGTGTAGATTTTCGACCTAGAATAAGTTACTGCACTAAGGTCTATTGCTCATGCTGAACTCACTATTTTTAGCGGATGCGTAACTGTAGACTACAGTGTAGAGTAGAGCGGCCGCCCTGGGAGCATACTATAGAACAGAACAGTGTTTCTTCCCGACTTTTTTCTACGGGACGGGGGGGGGGGGAGGAGAGAGGCACTTGAAACTTTCGGGGGGGGGGGGGGGGGGTGGGCGGACTAAAAGCAGACACTGTTAAAATTATATATTTTTAATATAAATTCCTTTTATATAAATTCTTTTTCGGGGGGGGGGGGGTAAAATCTCTTCGCCCCCCTCCCCCCCCCGGAAGAGATGTCTAAAAGAAACACAGCCTTAGAAGCGCTAAAGGCGTAGAAAAAATAATAGCTCGTTTTCAGATAAATTACTGTATTATCATAAATACTCGAATTTACTAAAAATAGAAAAGTGGATTGCTTTACAAACTATTTCTACATCAACTGGAAAATTAGTGCTGGCTTACTGATTTTTAGTTATGATTATTATTACGAATACGATTGTGGTCGTGGTCATGGTTATGGTCATGATGGCGATGACGATGCTGATGATAATGATTATGAAGAGGAGGATGAGGATGATGAGGAGGAGGAGAATGAATCCTTGTAAATGTAATAGATTGAAATAATTGTGAGGTCAAGGGAACTCACTCTTCTGTATTAGTTATATTTATAATATTGTTATCTTGAGTGATGTCCCTTGTGCACTTCCTTCCGTCCTCTCTGTGTGTTTCCATCATGAGGTAGTTAGACCCAATTAAACGTGTTATATACAACCACAGGCTTCTGTCGTCAATCTATTATAACTGGCGACGAAGGATAAACATCTACTAGAAAGAGCACCTACTTACGCAAAAAAGAGGTTTGCTAGAGCTTATTAGCTAATTATTTCTAGAATTATGGCGCTGTATGGCCAAATAAAAGAATTTGATGCGAATGATGAAATCATTCAAGATTACCTAGAGAGGTTAAGCTTTTACCTTGAAGCTAACGACGTGACGATAGAAGCCAAAAAGAGAGCTGTTTTGTTAACAGTCATAGGGCCTCAACAATTTAGGCTACTAAAAGACTTATGCGCACCAGCTAGTCTAATTACCAAGAGCTTTAACGAGCTGAGCAAATTGCTAACAGACCACCATGCGCCTACCCCATCAAAGTTTTTATGTAGAGCTAGATTTGACAGTAGGACTCGTCAACCAAACGAGTCAATATCAGAATATGTTGCTGCTTTACGTCATTTAAGTAGATTCTGTGAATTTGGAGAAACGCTGTCTGACAGACTATGTGAAAAGTTTGTGACAGGTGTAAACAGCCCTGAGATTCAAAGAAAGTTGCTGCTCGAGTCAGATCTAAAATTGGAAAAAGCAATACAACTTGCAATGTCATTCCAGCAGTCATCAGATGCGGCGAGATCTTTAGCACCTTCAGAGATCCATGCAGTAAACAGCAGGTTAGTCAACAAACATCAACCCCATCAGAGCATTCCAACTTATGCTAAACAGCCTGCACGTTTAAAGCCTAGATCTAAATCTAGTAATAATTATCAAAAATGTCATCGATGCAAAGGTCCCCATGCATCTCATCGGTGCAAGTTCAAGTCTGCAACTTGTTATAAGTGCAGTAAGCAAGGTCACATTGCTAAGGCCTGCTTTGCAAAGTCTTCGTCTGTTGCTAAATCTAGCCAGTCAAGACAGTACCGCAACCAAAAGCAGCACTATGTTAACTCTCACCAAGACTACCTAACCCAACCAATGAACCACTCTACCTGTGAAAATGCTCAAATTGATTTGCAGCCGGATTTCAACCTGTTCTCTGTTAAATCAATAAGTCATGCTCCCATCAATGTACAAGTTAATATCAACGGTAAGAGCATCAGCTTCCAACTTGACACTGGAGCATCTCTAACAGTCATAACAAAGAAAGATTTTGACGCTGTCGCAGGAGGATCAGTGTCTCTACAGCCGTGTCACAAGTGTCTAACAACATACACTGGTGACAATGTTCCGGTAATAGGAGAGTGTATGGTTCATGTAAGTTATAATGGTCAAAGTGTTAAACTTCCTCTTCTTGTGGTTGAAGGAAATGGACCGCCATTACTAGGTAGGAACTGGTTAAGTGATCTTAAGTTAAATTGGGAGAGTATTTGTTCATTGAAGAATGTAAAAGAATCTAGTCTTACTTCACTAGATAAAGTTATATCTGAAAATAAATGTGTTTTTGGTAACTCAGGTTTACTAAATGATAGAACAGTGAAGTTAAGCATTAAAGACACAAATCCAAGATACTGCAAAGCTAGAGTTCCACCTTATGCAATGAGGAACAAAATTGAAAATGAGCTAAGTAGATTGGAATCTAATGGCATTATAAAGAAGGTAGACTATTCCGATTGGGCGACACCCATTGTGCCAGTGTTAAAGAAGGATGGTTCTATAAGAATTTGTGGAGACTATAAAACTACACTGAATAAGCAAATAGAGCTAAATAGGTACCCTATACCTAACATTGAGGAAATTTCTTTGAATTTGGCAGGAGGAGACAAATTCACTGAATTAGACTTTAGTCATGCTTACACTCAACTAGAACTGCATCCAGATTCAAAAGTCTATACGACAATAAACACACATAAAGGACTCTACCAATATGAAAGACTATGTTTTGGCATATCATCCAGCCCTGGAATTTTCCAAGCTGTCATGGACAGTATTTTTAAGGACATTCCAAATGTTTGTGTGTACTTTGACAATGTGTACATAACTGGTAAGAATGACACTGAACATCTTAAAACACTAGATAAAGTCTTGAAAATTGTTGGTGAAAAAGGTTTAAAGATAAACAAAGATAAATGTCAATTCATGCTGATAGAAATTAGTTTTCTTGGTTATATATTAAGCAAGCAAGGTATCAGACCTCAACCTGAGAAAACAAAAGCCATTAAGGAAGCACCCAAACCTGAAAATACTCAACAACTAAGAGCTTTTTTGGGCTTAATAAATTACTATGCAAAGTTCATAGGAAATCTGTCTGGTAAACTATCACCACTGTACAAGCTGCTACAGAAAAATGCAACTTGGCACTGGGGTAAACAACAAGAAGCTGCTTTTAATACAGCAAAAGAGGCTTTGTCTTCTGACACCTTACTAACTCACTATGACCCAGGGAAAAGACTTATATTAACATGTGATGCTTCACCAGATGGTGTAGGAGCAGTCTTGTCCCACATGGATGAGAAGGGTGACAGACCCATTGCTTTTGCCAATAGATCTTTGAACCAGGCTGAGAAAAATTATTCTCAGTTAGATAGGGAAGGCTTAGGCATCATTTTTGGTGTTAAGAAATTTCATAAGTTTCTGTTTGGTAGGAAGTTCACCATCTTTACAAATCATAAACCATTGCTAGGTTTATTTGGAGAAAACAAAACCCTACCTGAGCATGCCTCA